ATACTACTTAACACCAAATGTGATATAACAGATATTTCAATCAATAGACTATAAGGTGGATTTGCTATCGATCTCCGGGTATCCTACTGACTGCAAAGATAATTAAAATGTTAAACATTTAACAAGATAAATTGACATAAAGGTAGAATATGTTTTTAAGATAAAGGGTTTTAACAGATAAAGGAACCACTTGTGAAAACTTTGCAACTGACCATTTTCTGTATAAATGGAAAAATAGATGGCAGCATCATCAGCATGAGTGTTGGTAGGGTCAGGAAGAATACATGGAAACATATTACACGAGTCACTTAATTTTTTGATCTGACAAGTAGCTCCATTTTGATCAGCTTAAGACACCATTGTAATGTATCTATATGAGCTTATTAACATATGGATTGTGATTTAACATTAAAATTGTGATTTTTAAAAGAGTAAATGAACTTTTAAAGGTTTTTCAACATTGTGTCAATGGGAATTTAGCCTGACCTTTTTCAGAGAACTTCAAAAACTTTGAATTAAAAAATTTGAATTAAAGTAAATAACTTGATCCAATTCAAAGTTGTTTTGAAAGAATTTCAACCAGAATCCAATTATGCCATCAAATAGAAGAAAATGTTGGTCTTTAATGATTAACAATGCGAATCATGACTTGAAAATCTACTAGATCTACGAGGGATTTTCTGAAAATGTGACTATTGAAACACTGCAAACATCATTTTCTCTACACCATCAAATAAACAAGGCAAAAGCTATATTATCTCAATATATAAGCACAAGTGCCAAAGGGAAAGGACCAAAAATTGTAATGAAACTTAGCAAGAAAAAGCAAACTCTAAGTGCATACCAGTCAAGAAAAACAAACCCCATATAGCCCAAAACCATGATCTGACGTGAAAAGAAACAATGTCTAATACCCCCTTTCCCCCACCATTCAAGAACCAATATCACAATGCAAGACCAGAAGACCAAGGGACATTTCATTTATACTGAAGTCATTACAATACATGTCGAAGAAAATATTATAAATTGATAACCAATATTCATAACCTCAAAAATAGTTGTAGATACAAGTACTCATACAAGATAGAGCATTCAGTCTCAAATGATGTGGGATAGATACAATCCAGTCTCCAAGTCCATAGGCGTTTCAAAGGGTCAACATCAATTCACAATTTAGTCTATGATTTAAACTTTCAGAGCATTTCTAAAAATGTGTGATGTCACGAGGATACGTTGTGATGCCATTCAGGTGACATGATATTTTTCAAAATCTTGTTCTCGTATAAATATTTTCTAAATATGCTAAACTTTCAAAATACAAAGCAATATTGTGGACCAATTTAGGTTAAAACATAAGTTTTATCATGTTTTAAATATTAATGTACCATTGGACATGATTTTAGAATGGTTTCTTTTTGAACCCCCTTTTGTGCTTTATTTCTTGCTTATTTTTCAACCATTTTTTAAATATTTAAAAATAACACAGTTCAAGATGTAAACTATGCGTTGGTGTAAATCATTGCTGAACTAATGTCTGTGCGTGGCAGCTAAAATTTTATTTAGAATAAATTGACAATTATTCCAACTGCATATCCTTCAAAATCAATTGGGTAAAACTATAATACTGTAAAAATAAGCAATACATTTGACCAGTAACATAGGTATCCGGTTACCATAGCAACACGAGAACATGGTATGTGGAGTAAGAGCACAACACATTGAAGAGTTGGAAAGATTGACACTTAAAGAGTGTTACAGGGTTCCAAATTTATTTCAAAGGTGTCAGTCATGCCTGTAAATTAATAATTTTTTTCATTAGACTAATGCTATATGTGTGATGCGATATCATACATGCTATAGTTGGCAACTGTGTTGTCATTGACCAGAAGAATGCCTTGCGCCAAAAGCAGCCCAATAAGCATAACATCCAGTCCATTTTGACAACATGCCATTCCATTCCTCAACAATACTTACCTAAACGACAATGAAAATATGTGCATGCCTGATCTGACTTTTATCTTTATGGTAAACAGAAGGACAAATTGCGAGGACAGGGCATGTTTTTGAATGTTAAAATGAAGGCTGTCTTGCTGTTCTAGAGTGGCTTCCTGAGACGGATAATCGAGAATTGAAGGATTTGTTTGATCAGTGGGTCCGCAAACATACCAAGTACATATGGGGGAAAGGAGAATATTTTGCGAAATCAAATAAAGAACTAACATTAAAATATGGTCAAATTGAAAGCTCCACATACCCTGTTGTCATGTTACTATGGTAACCAGACACTTTTGTTACTGTATTGCTTATTTCTGCACAACATGAGTCCAAATATGAACAATATTCATAAAATATTGAGATTTTTAGAGCAAATGGTGCAGAACTTTTGAATCAACCCTCGCACAGTATATGCAAAAGTGGTTTAAACGTTATATGGGGCCTTTAATTATGTCTAGTGTCCGTTTCAATTTCTGTTGCAATAACAGTATCGTCTTGACCTTTGAAGCTTGTGTATTAATCAATTAATTACCAGTGATACATTATTTATGGCATCTAGTTTTCCAATTATACTTTTTGACCTTCACACGTCTAAATGTATGAGGGAATAAACTATACAAGTACGAACATATCTATGGAATTTTTTCTGCATCTTTATTCGATTTTCACACTTTTGCATTTGATTACAACCATTCGATATTCCACTCTATTAAAATGATTCGAAACACGTAATAAATTTGTTTGTTTTTGCACATTTATATTTGATTTATGTACCTATATATGCGGTAAATGCACTTGTATATGCGGTTTATGTTATTCAGTGTTTGGTAAAATATCACATATTTAAGTCCATGTACACACACGAACAAAGACAGTTGACACATATATTTAGAACACGCATCAAATACAAATACACTTTAGAACCAAACAATGTTCATTTACCGAACAAGCATAGAGTACAAAATAGCACGGACATATAGTGACTTACCCCACATAATTAATGACATGATTCGCATAAAATGATGTGGGGTAAGTCACGTGACTTACCCCACATAAATGACACATGCTGCATGTAGCATAAAACCATTCGGTAAATCAAGTGACCAGTGACGTAGAAATTTCAAAATGGATGAAACAAGCGAGGAAAAATAATTTGAATACGATTCATATTCACAATTCAGAGAGGAAATTGAGAAGTTATTAGATCATTACAACAGGCATGAGGCTACATAAGCGATCCTTTCTTAATAGAAGATATGTTTTTTGATTGGAGAATCACACCAGAGCTCTTTGAATATATAGGTGGCGCAAGTCACATGGTCGAAGTCACGTGACTTACCCCACATCAAAACAGTGAACAATGGTTTATATAAATTCATTCGGTAAGTCACGTGACTTACCCCACAAATGAATATGTTTAGCACAAATGAATATATTTACCCAATACGAATGGTACTTGGCATCGCACATATTTAAAATACTTATCAAATTTATATTTGATCGGGTCGAATACACTTTTGAAGCATCTTACATATTTGTTGTGTAAGACAGTCAATTATATGTGGGATAGTAGGTACCATTTGTTGTAACTGGTTTTGTTTATGTTCGGTTTAACTTACTCCATGGGGTAAAAACCGAAGATATCAATGTTACGAATATTGATGCAATAAATACACTATACATATCCTGACCATCACAACTTGTGATATACGAGGCCCGAACAGAAAGTTGCTTACCAAAGGCTCTGGTTAACTTAGTTTTAACCTCATAACCTCATAAAAGATACGTATATAGGATATTACAAGGATATGTACATGTAAATCACATAGTTTCTTGTGTTCAGAATTAGGGTACCTAGATATAAAAAATACAATAGTACCTGAAATGAAATAAAAATTATGCTAGTCTCAGATAGTACTAATTGGAACCATGGACATCTGTAGTTTCGTAAAATTTTCGTAAATGCCTAAACATTACCTTAGCTATATGCCACGGGAATTAGTGGCCACTCTTTCTAATACTGACACCCACATATAGAGCCTACCAATAAATGTATAACCTGTTATTGGTATCACAAGTATGCATGAAATTGCATTATTAAAAGTGCTGAATCTACTATAGCGGCTATATCAATGTTATTTCTTTAGCTGCTATCCCAGGAAATTGTTAAAAATAGTTGGAAATTATATTAACTCACAGGTCCTTAGATCTTTAAGATATAAAATATGAATAATATGTTTCTAGAAAATGCCAAGACAGCATCCGTGTATTTAATAAATCACAGCTATTAACAACTCAATAAATAACATGTTTACCAAGATACTGAAGATAGGTTACACTAACACGATGATACTAAAAATGCACGCCACACTCTGTCATATTATGATTTAACAAATGTACTTTACACACCTTCAAATAGCCCCCGACGTTGATTAAAAAGTTTGTTAATTAAATCTATCAATTTGTTTACAATTTCATAATTACCAGGATCCATATTAAAAATTTACATTTTTCTACATTCGACATATTCCTAATGAGTCAATAAAAAATCGAATGTGCATTCGTTCTAGCCGTCACATAAAGAAGAACATGTTTTTCATCCTCTACCTCATCCTTATTGCAAATTTGACAATTTATTTCAAATGGATTCTGTTCAGTGCCACCTATTTTCTTTTCTAAAACTGGCCATTTTAAAAACATAATAGCTCCCAAAGGATTCGCGCTATCAATTTAGATCAAGTTATTTAATATTTAGAGTGCTCAGGTTGCCACAAATGTGTAAGTTCTCAATTTAGAAACATGAACACGTAATGGTAAAACATCTTTATTTTTCCTCAACTAAAGTATGTACATTATGGGAATTCTTAGAAAATAGACATGACAAGGAATGAGGTATTAAGATATTTTTTGTTAAGGTTTCTCGGTAGATCTGGTACTATCTTTAAAGACATTAAAATCAGCTTTCTCCACTCATTCGAGGCAACTAATTTAACAATGTTTTTCAGGCTAACCATAATATTAGGGAAGAAAACTCTGATACAAGCAGTAATGAAGAGAATGAAGAGGGATCGGAAGAAAGTGAAATAGAAGATGGTGAAGACGAAAAACCATCTACCAATGATGCTAGGCAAGGGTGGGAAATTGAAGATGGTGAAGGCGAAGGACCATCTTCTCCAGAAGAAGAAAGTGAATAGCAGTGAAATACAATAATTACTGTTATTCTCCATTTTTATCGATATAAAATAATATTAAACATGCAATAGTCGAATTATAAATACATGTTATGACTAAAGCCTATATGTCTAAATTTATTATACAATTTATGATTTCTTTACAGGGCTAAATAATGTAGATGAATACGGTGGTGAGTCAAAGTGTATTTTCTAGATATCACAACCAAGATAAAATAATCATTAAAATAAAAAAATAAGTTAAGCTGGGCAATAAGCCATGGTACCCCAGGGTGTCTCAAAAAATGTACCAAAAAGTATATCATCAGCACAAATAATCCAATCAATATTGTCCTAATTTATTTCCCCCAATATAAAGTTTTTAGTCCAGTCTTGCCCTTTTGATGCCTTGACCCTTTTCCTTTTATATCACATGGTCGATGCAACCTCATATTTCCATTAAGGCATGTATTCTACGACATTGTTCCATCACATTTGATAATGTTTCAAATGGAATATTTTGGATATCTCTTAGGATGTTGGCCTTGAGTGGTTCTGGGTCTTTTGGCTTGGGACTAGCATTAAAATGCTCCTTCAAATAGCCCCAGAGAAAAAAGGTCAAGGATGAAGACGGCAGAACTAGAGTTCTACCTTACAGAGGTACACAGGCTAGCTTAGAGTCCAAATGATATCCGAATGAGAACACAGTGGTTTCAAAAGGATTGAGCCCCTGACACACAGCCGGGGTCACACAGGAATTCCCATAAATGCAGTTTCTTGGATGTCCGATTTCTATGTATAAAAAACGTTGTGAGGGCCTCCCTATTCACAAAATTTGACGGACCAGACATTTTTCTCTGAGGTTATTTGAAGGACCATGTTTATGCTAATCCAAAGCCAAGCCAACTCAACAACTTAAGGCCAATATCCAAAGAGAAATTCAGTCAGAAAATATTGTCAAATGTGATGAACAATGTAGCAAGAAGGATGCAGGATGCCATTGAAATACAAAGAGGTGAAATTGATCATGTGATGTAAAAAGGGTTAAAGCATTACAAATGCAAGACTGAACTACTGTGTTTTGGGGAGAAAACTTACATGGTTTGGCTAGTATGCAAAAAAAATCTTAAAATATTGATCGGTTTATCTGAGCTGTTAATTTTGGGGTAATTTTTTGAGGCACCCTATATGTACATATTAATTAATGTACACAAATACAAATTGTTTGATACCCCCCCCCCCACCATCATCCAGTCACCATTATCCCAAACCACAACCCCACGAGGCATTTCATTCATACTTTAATCACAACAATACATTTTGAAGATCAATTTAAAAGGAAAGGAGACTAATACAAAATATATAACCAGGGAACTATATGCTATTGTAGATAAGGCAGAAGGTGATATTGCAGATAGACCTGAAGATTTTCTGACAGAGAAGAGTCCCAAGGTATTGACAGGCCTGTGATAAAAACAATCCAAGGGTTTAGACGTCAACTACAATATTGTAGTCTAGCTACAAGCCCCTTGTGGCACAAGTTGTTAGAGTAGATAGTCCAAGGTCTTGAAGCAAGACTATAATATTGATATGTTATCTACCATATTTTTAGCATGACATATTGTCGTATATTGCTTGGAAAAGTACATTTTATCAAAAATGTGTAAGTTGAAATGTGAGTTTCATTGGAATATGTCATATGCGTAAAAGTGACTAGGTGGGTAAAAAATATGCATATTTTCAATTTTGCCAGTTACTGATAACACGTACAAGGATACATAGATTCAAGACAAACTTTATTTTACTTTTATTTTCAGGCCAGAAATGCCATAGGAATGGCTTTTATGCGGACGTTTCTCTGGCCTTATGGAGTAATACCTTATTCATTTGATCGGCTTCGACCATTAAGTAAGTAGCTTACTATAGCTCTCATGATGTATTAAATATTCAAATCATACCTTCTCTAGTTACTCAACAGATATATATAGGATGGGCCAAAAACGTCTCTTTTTCAAAAATGCTGTAATTTAACCCCCTACAATTTTTTAAGTTTAGTTTCAAATATTATAAAATATTTGTAGACTTTAGAAAAGCGTTTGACTTAATTTATCATGACATTTATGGTACACATTGATTGAAAATTATAACATGCGTGAAAGATTAAACAAACGATTAAAGGCATTGTAAGTGTTTAAAAATTCAAACGCACTTTTTCTGGCATGGTCTGCTGATAATGAGAGGGATGCATTCTTGCATAGCTATTCATTTGTATTTACAGGACCCATGTAAAATCCAAACCATGTTGACATATATTGTAGTCTGCTTACATAAATGTATGAATCCCTGCATAAAACCAGGCATTAAACTGTATCATATATTTGAACAATGCAGTTGTTCACCAATTAGTGTCGTAATTGGCTTACAATGAACAGTAAATGGGCAGTCTAGATGGTTTATATATAATAATTAGTGTGGCTAAAATTAATAAATAATGTGTGAAGAATAGTCAAAGAATTGAAAGGCATAATATTATACATATGTTGAATGATGTCATCCACTAACTGAATAAGTAAAGAGTAGGGAAAAAATGGAACACTGCAACATTCTTGGAAATGTTAAATTTTTCATGAATAACCTTTTGTAAAATATCATAAGATTGGAAATTTATTCAGATTTAACGAGATGTGTTCAGATCTCACTTATCTACAGGATGGGCCATAAAACAATACACAAGTTTAAAGATGAATGCTTCATATGATATATGTTAAACCATGCCATGTATTATATATCATTTTAAAGATAAATCATTTCCTAACAAAATGACACCATCAAATTGAAAAACCTTTGTTTTCTCGTGGAGTTCCAGACTAAAATTGACACCAGTGGTGCCGTGAGCGACCAAAAATCAAAAGATGAAATTTCCCAATTTTCCCTCCATATTGCAGTCAAAGCTGCACTCAATATGCTCGACTGAATCATCATATATCCATTTAGGAGTGATACAGAATTGATAATCAATTAAAAAATATATAAGCATTATTGCTGAATTTTGCACTATACTTGTATAAAACAAAACTAATCCATTACATGGATTAGTGTGGCCAGTTTATAATGCCCAACTTGCTATGTAATATTTTATAATGAAATAAATGGCCATATAATATTATTCTTGCCAACATAAATCTATTATCTTTTGTAAATTATTTATGCAACTAGCAGGTATAGCGAAGTAACACAAATTCTACACTTATGCCAATAAGGAGTTTTGTGGTCTGAGCGTTTCCATAGTAACACAGGGTTATCCAATGAGAAGGAGGGGACTGCTTGGTCAGTATTCCATTCCAACACAAGTATCAAGCAGTCTTACAATTACAGTGAGAGAATACGAACTCACTTTATGTATACGTATAAATATTGAAATTTAAACTTGCCACCCATTCCCCTCCACCACCCTTCAGTTTATAATGCCCAACTTGCTATGTAATATATTATAATGAAATAAATGGCCATATAATATTCTTGCCAACATAAATCTATTATCTTTTGTAAATTATTTATGCAACTAGCAGGTATAGCGAAGTAACACAAATGTACCTCTTTTGAAGGTGCCAAAGTTCATGACACCCCTGGTGTCAATTTTATGCTCTAACTCCACAAGAAAACAACGGTTTCAATCAGATGGTGTCATATTGTTAGGAAATGATCTATTTTTAAAATGATATATAATACGTGGCATGGTTTATACGTTATATCATATGATTATATACTGTATATGACAACTTCAGATCGTGAAGTCACTATTCATTAAAAACAGATTTTCTAGCTAAAATGAGGAAATCTACGAAAGAAGATGTCTACCTTTACATGCAATGATAGCTCACAGTCCGTAAAAATACCATAATTTTCTTTATTTTGAATGTCGTCCAATAACTGGAAAATATGAGAATTTAAAATTATTCAATTCTCATTTTCAGCTGACTTTTCCAAAAAACAAGTGGAAGAAGCTTTGAAAAAAATTGAAGACGCAACAAAAATTAAAAACACGAAGTGTATAGAGTTCAGACCTCGAAAAACAGAGAAAGATTATCTACTTTTTACTAGAAAAGATGGGTTTGTAATGCCTTAATTGTTTTACTTATCATGAAAATATGGAAAAATGAAATTCTTTACATATAAATGATTGATAAATATTGAAAGTATTTCCATTCTTTAGGGATTGAATCTTACAGTTCCACAAACTACACATATACTTTATCTACACTTATCTCCAAAAGGGATGAAGTCCACTTTGGATCACTTGTTCAAACCTTTGCGTTTCTGGCGAGCGTAACATTCATCAAGTCATATACCCGAACCATTAAAAGCGAGTCACAAAGATGAAGTTGGAAACCTTACGGAGAAGGTCGATGATCTAAAACATTATCTTATTTCATTTAAAGGTGTTGGTCAAGAGTTGCAAAACGAGGAGGTGCACAAGACGTTTCAATAGGTATAGGATGTACGAGAGTTGGTACAATTATGCATGAAATGTTACATGCCTTGGGTTTTTATCATGAACAAAGCAGAATTGATCGAGATAAATACCTTGATATCAAATGGACAAATATCGCCTCAGGTAAAATAGAATTCATAAAATATTTTCACACATTATTAAAGGACTACTGTGTGCATCTTATGTATCTCATAGTTATGCAAATTAGAATATGTTTAGTTAGTTAAAGAAAATGTTATCTATCCAATACAAGAATAAATATTTCACTTTTTGTGATTTTGTAACATGGGGTCTATGGGGAATTTCCCCGAACTAGAAGTCAAATTTCAAAAATACGAAATTTTCAAAGTTGATAAACAATTTTCGAAATCATATTTCTAGAAGTACTTTTACATGTAGATTTCAAATATGACATCATTTTGACTGAATTCTGAATATCTAATGACGTAAATCAAGATTATTTCTACTCGCATCTAGTCTATTTTACCAATGACTGCTAAGTATATCCTGGACCTGGACACAATATTTGAAAACACATCACATACAACGCTAAACTTTGAATCATGTCTTTAAATGATATATTTGTTATTTTCTAGGATATACCAATAACTTTGATAAGTACAATCTGGCATACGCCTCAACACTTGGTAAACCGTATGATTTCGGCAGTATAATGCACTATGGACCATATGCTTTTGCAAAAGTTCGAGGATTGAAGACACTACAAGCAAAGACTAATCCGAAATTGTACTTTGGACAAAGAACTCACTTAAGTCCGAACGATATTGAGGAAATACGGGTTTTATACAACTGTTATAGTAAGAATTCTTTTCAACATTTATAAACCTAGAGTCCAAAATATTATTTTTAACAGATGAATCCCAGTAGGTCAAAACTAAGGCCTCGTTTCTTTAGGGGTAGTTAAAACTTTGCCCCATTGGTTCATGTTTTAAATACCGAAATGTGTCCCACCAACTGTAATTAACACATCAGACACAAGTTGTCAAAAAGTTGTCAGTGTAATAGATTTCTTTCTACCTTTTGTAATTCCTATAACAACGCTTGTACTACCGCACTATAAGTTATTGAATGATTCGAAGTGCAATACAGAATATATTCTGCTCGAGAAATTCTGTATTGGAACGAGATGAAGTCGAGTGTCAATACAGAATATCGAGACAGAATATATCCTGGATTACACTTCAAATCATTCAATAACGTTTTTATCGTGTGATCCTCTGTATTGCTACTGAGATTGTCCCCTCCGTCACTGTGGCTAGTCGATCTATGCGGATGCAGTCATTTATATGCAATGTATCGTGGGTGCTCGCGTGTAATATAGGGAATGGGGTCATTGCAAAAATATGACAGCAAATCGAGGACAGTGATCTCAGAGTTTCTACTTAACATTGTGACTTGAAATCTTGCATACACATTCAATATACATAGTATGACAATGTGTGAAAGTTTCAGCTACCATATTCCTGTTATAGGGAAGATATTTGAACAACATTTCGTAAACGTCAACATATATGTATAAAATGGATGCCACTATGTATCATTTGGATTCAGAACGGTAACAAATGGATGCTATAATAAATTATGCTTTTATCATAATGATTTATTTACAGTTGGACAACTGGCAAGATTTTCTTTGTCTCCATTGATCTATTGGGACACTAGCCACAGTGTCCGTACCAATATTTTCTGTATTGCGACGGAGATGATCAACGGGGACAATCTCAGTAGCAATACAGATTGGTACAGCACAAGAACTGACCAATCAGAGGGCTTCATTTTACGGATCATACGATAAAATCGAGTATTGACCTCTATGTTTTAGTCTTTTCTTCACGAATATAGTCCATGGTATGAAATCTCTAGGACGTCTAATAAAGGAGCTGGTAGCACACTATAGCGCAGCGATATTTGACCTAATTTGACATAATTTTTATTATTACCGTTTCATATACTTCCGGCTTTTAGGCTGAATTATGCCTGCCATTAACAGAGGTCAAAAAGTTACCAAATAATAAAATCACATTTTTTCACAATTTGGAGTACACAACGCAACAGAAAATAATACAAAATGATTTAACATATATGATTTAGTTTTCCAAGCTAGAAGTTTGAGGTTATTTTTCTTATCAATACCAAAAAATTATGTAATCAGTGTATCGACCTTTTGTATTGTTTCTCAGGTATTAATAAGATAAATGCAACAAATGAATCACTTTTATATTAGAATGACAAATGCTTAAATTATGCTAGTTTTTCACAAAATGTGTCTCAATACGTTTTGAGATATGGACTCTTATTCCGCGGTGAACATGATCAATAAAGGAGTGTCTATTGCTCTTCCTTGACTAATTGGGACTACGCTAAAATTCTATTTCTCGTAGTTAGATATAGCTCAGTTGCTTATAAATCAACCAATAAGACTTGGTCGAATTCATGAATATTTGAAAAAAATCGTTGTCATTATCTTCCTAAAACTTGATAATATCCAGCGGTAAGGTCAAAGAAGAACCAACCATAACTAGACTTTGGAAATTGAACAAGTTCAATTTCAGACTCCAGATTAAGACCTTTTTTTAGCCGAGTCATCCAGAATAAGCCGAGTCATCCAGAATAAGCTGAGTCATCCAAAAAAAGATGGATGAATAAAATAGGAAGGTAGGATAGGATAGAATAAGAAGGAACGATAGGATAGAATAAGAAAGAAGGATAGGATAGAATAAGAAGAAAGGATATGATAGGATAGGATAGGAAGGAAAGGATACGAAGGAAGGATACATATGAAGGATAGGATAGGATCAGATAGGAAGGATGGATGAATTTTTCAATATTTTCTTCTCTACTCTTGACTTTCTATCAGGATACCATCAGATCGATTTCAAAACGCCATAACTTCCAAACCGGCAGTCAGATCCAAATTTGGTTTGCAGATTCGGATTCCTGACAAAATTCTACACCTAATTCATAACTCATTTGTTGGAGATTTTTTTTATTTTGACCTACTTTTCGGACACCATATCTCAAAAGTGGGTCAAAATACTTTCTGACGGCAAAAGGCTAACACTATTAGCACACTCTTGGCTACATGTATACACAATTTCGAAGAATATAATTGAAGTGTAGTGTCAGAAACGCAAAAATAAAGAAAACCTTTGAATTTGACCTAGATTTTGACCTAGGCATTTTGGTGTCATGTAAGATTTGACCCAGTTCTAGGATAGGATAGGATATAGAATAGGAAGGAAGGATAGGATAGGAAGGAAAGGATAGGAAGGAAGGATAGATAGGAAGGATATGATCAGACAGGATAGGAAGGAAGGATGGATGATTTTTTCTATATTTTCTTCGCTACTCTTGACTTTCTATAAGGATATCATTAGAACGATTTTTCTCGAAATTTCAAAACACCATAACTTTCGAACCGGAAGTCGGATCGAAATTTGGTTTGCAGATTCGGATTCCTGAGTAAATTCTTAATTCATAACTCAGATGTTAAATTTGGAGAACTCGTTATTTTGACCTACATTTTGACCTACATATTTCAAAATCGGTAAGCGTAATCAAAAATCTAATGTCATATCTTTATGACCTTTATGATCAATATATTCTAGTTAACGGGAAAACTGGAAAAGAATAATAAAAATAAAGAAAAATAATAAAGAAGAATACTGACGAAAACAATAGACTCCAGATTTACATCTGGAGTCTAATAAAACTTGATGATAGCCAGCAGTTACAGGGTGTTCCATATGTTTCAGGAATGATGCTGTGTTTTATTGGTTTTCTTTTCAATCTAACTGAATTTTTGACACAATGTTTCCAAACATGTTTTGAATAAGTTGGTAAAGTTTCATATCGTGAAGTTCAGTAGTCTTAATAATATGGTTGCTCTAGTAACCCAGGGGTAGGGTAGGTGGAGCAGGTGTAACAACACACAAAATATATGAAATATTTGTAAAAATAGTTTTTTTTGTACGAAGCGTGATTAAGTATTGGGTTGTCAGAGTTGGATCAAACTTGTCAGTAATTAAACAAAAATGAAGGTGGATTCCAAGAAAGTAAAAGAATGTCATCACTTTTGATAACATCACAATATAAACACCTGTCATGTCATGAGTCACAAAGGAGAATAAACACAGGTCATTTTGGACGAGCGGCCATCTTGAAAAGTGAAAAAGTCATTAGCAAAGGAAACCTTCGACTTAGGAAACACACTACAATCTGTGACAAGACATGTGTGAATAACAGTTTTCTGCAGCAGACAAAATTAAACTCCTAACGAATGCACATGGGGACTCAATGATGGTAACCTCTAGAGTATACGAATGGCACAAGCGGTTCAAATCTGAAAGGGGAACTGAGACCGATAATCCAAAATGTGGACATCCGAGAAAAGTGAGAGCGCTAACTAATGTGGAGGGGATGGATGCTGAAATAATGATTATGGCTAATAAAGGGTGTGATTACATTTTTAATTTCCAGGAATCCACCTTTATTCTTTTTAATTTCCAACAAGTATGATGCGACTATGACATTTTTTTCTTTCTTATAAACATCTATGATGCATCGCTACAATTTGAACAGGGATACGCAAAACGGTGGTTAATGTCTAAGAGAAACAAGTGGGAGTCCTTCACTGCGTCATCAGCAGGTATTTCAGTTTCAACAGCATTTCGCCCCTTAGCCTGTATGCTTCCACTGAGTGGGGCAGTGATGGCTAATCTTAACCATCACTCGTTGAAGGACACCACCTGTCTTTCCTCTTCAGCCAAATCCACCTTGAGCTGGACTCTGCTACCATACCAACTGCTTTGATTGCTGACTTAAGCTGCGTTGGTGGCAATCCTATTTGAGAAAGGAAATAGCGAAGAGAGGAAGCTGGAAAACCTCTACAGCCTACTTCTATGGGGTACTGGACAGTGTGCCAACCTCTGGCCTTGGCTTCGTCCACTAGATCTTGATACTTTGCCTCTTTCAACTGATGGGAGATGTCAAGGCGGTCTTCCCATGGGACAGTTAGCTCTATGATGATAAGTGTCTTGCTGGTGGCTGAGGTCAGTAACATATCAGGGCGGAGATTGGTGACAACTATCTCTTGCGGGAAGATAAGTCTCTGGAACAGATCCACTTTCAGAGTCCAATCGTTGGCTTTTGAAAGAATGTTCGATTGGAAGGAGGGCTGTGCCGGTTTGTGTTGAACACTTTTTCCTTCCTTGACAAACTTTGCCAGTCTTGGTCTTTCGCTGGGCTTGTTTGTGTTCATGGCAAGTCTCTGCTGGTCCGTCCATTTTGCTATTTCTTGGAGAACCTTGTCATGGCGCCACCTGTAACGTCCTTCTGCAAGAGCTTTTGGGCACCCACTTAGTATGTGGTTTAGTGTACAGTTATTATTGTCACACAGAGTACAATTAGCTGTTTCCTCCTTGCCCCATACTTTGAGGTTGGATGGAGTTGGTAGGAGGTCCGAAAAAGCTCTCAGCAAGAAACTGAGTCTTTCTTGGTCCGTGGGCCAAAGATCCTTCCACTTTAAGGATCGTTTTAGAGCTGGTTCCTAGTTGGTCCAGTCTCCTTGCTTGGCTAAGCCCACTGCCTTCACCAGTCGGTCTTCTTCTTCCTGGTTCCGAATTTCTCTGGTGATCTTCGCCCTTTTTGTCTTTTCCGTAAGTTGTTGAGGACCGTAGTGGCCTAGTCCCAACCTTCCTTTGCACACAGTCCCAACAATATGCTGGTGCCTTAAGCGTTCGTTAGCTGTGGCTACAGCCTCCTGCGCCTTCCATTTCCTTCCACAAGAAAGGCTGTCACCTGTCTTGTTGGCCTTTGGGTCTTTGGACTGTTCCAAAGTAATTACAGTTCTTACTTTGGTGGTCTTATACTCCTCAACCACGGATGTCACTGGTAGGGAGAGTTTAGATGTTGTAATGTAAAGATTGACTGTGCTAAAGGATGGAGGTAGACCTAACCATTTCCTCAGAAGTTTGCTACAAACTCTCTCCATAGCTTGAGCAGTAGAAAGAGGAATGTCATACATCAGGAAAGGCCACTGCAGCCTTGGGATGATGCCATACTGAAAACACCAGGTTTTGAAACGTCCTAAGAGATGGCTTGAGTCTATGGCCTTCAGCCATTTGTCAAGTACGCTTGAAACTTCAGCTCCGTTGTTAACATCCCTTAGGGTACTGTCGTAGTATTTCCCCAGGCACTTAATCCTCTGGTCTTGTAATGTTGGGATCTTCTCACCCTGGATCTTGAATGAGGTTGAAGAAAGTCTGCCTTTTACAAGAACCAGGCTCCTTGACTTGGCAGGCTTAAAGTGCATCCGTGCCCAATTTGCCATTCTTTCCAAACCAGAAAGAACCCATCTGGTGCCTATTACAGAGCTGGTCATCACTGTAATATCATCCACGAAGGCGCGACATGGCGGATGTTTTGTGCCGTCATCTGCTGTAGGGCCCTTGCACTGTATTTCACCTGCCTTTAGTAGGAGGTTCATTGCTGTGACAAACAAAACTACTGAAACAGTACAGCCGGCCATGATACCTTTTCCTAATCTCTGCCAATTGGTGGTGTAATTGCTGACTGTGAAGCGCATTCTCAGGGAGTTTAGATGTCCCATAGTCAGGTTTACTATCTTTGTTGGAACATGGTAATGGACTAATGCTTCCAGTATCAGTTGGTGCGGTACACTGGGGTAAGCCTTAGCAAGGTCCAACCATACTACTGAGAGGGACTTGTTCCCTTTCTTGGCTTCCTTTACCAGTTGGCTTATTGCAGCTGTGTGCTCCAAGCAGCCTGAATGTCCAGGGATCCCATCTTTCTGAACACTTGGGTCGATATACTGGTTGGCCAAAAGGAAAGATGTCAAGCGCTTAGCCACAACGCTCCAGAAAATCTTTCCTTCCACATCAAGTAAAGAGATCTCCCTGAATTGGTCCATTCCCTTGGAATTGAGTTCCTTTGGGATAAAGCAGCCCTCAGCCAATGCCCAATTCCTTGGTAGGTCCTTGTTCTTCCATATACCTCTCATCAATTGCCACAGACGTCTGAGCAATTTTGGGCAGTTCTTATATACCCTGTATGTCAGTCCTGATGGACCTGGAGCTGACCCTGCTCTGGCTTTCTTGACAATTGCAGTGATCTCCTCCAGCTTGATGTCTGATAAGTCAAAGGGGATGGTTGGGTTCTCGACTGAAACATCAATGGGGGGATCTCCCAAGGGTAACTCTCGATCAGGATCGCTATGAGCTGTGTGGATTGATGTTTCGACTTCCTCTTGAGGACACTCAAGGCGACCGCTCTTCGGCTTCCCCAACAAATCTGAAGTAAACTTCTAGGGATTGTCAAAGAAGGCCTTTCTTGTCTTTTGTTTGTCTCGTCTTCTCTTCCTGATATTCTCGGCTTTCCTCAATTGCACCAGCCTTTGGTGGAGAATATGCTGGAGATGACTGATGCCATCTCTCTCGCTGGCTAGTGACGTAGCCTTCAATTGTCGCTGAAGGTTCCGATTTTCCTGTCTAAGAGAAGCTATCTCTTTCTGACGTCTACTTGGCCCAGCAGGTTGTTGTTGTTTCACTCCTGCACCCTTTGACCCGAACTTTTCCTCGCATACCTCATATATGATACTGGTCATGGCTTCGAGTTTCCTCTTTGAGTTTCCTCTCAGGGAGTTATTTAGGATAGTCTCAAGTTCGCTGTCAAGTTCTGTTCATCGCTTGTCTGTTGCTGCTGGTAGGTTGAGTCTTGGCTTTCTTTCCTGAATGAGGTCCTTACTTTGATCTAACGCTCCCTCTGTGGTAGGATTGGCTTCAACTAGAAGGTTAGTAGCTCTGTGGTGTGCCTCCTGGCTGCAGACCTTCTTCGAATTATGAGCAGTATTCACATCTCTGGCTATCGCCTGATCTGTTCCCACTGCCTTACGCTGTTTTAGCTTCTCCTTGCACTGAGTCTTTCCTTGGTGGATCTTTACTCCTTTTTCATTCTTAAAAGTGCCTCCGCAACTCCCACAACGTCTTCTCATCTCTATTGCGTCGATGTCATCATTTTGAGTCCTATTCGTAATCCATATGTCGTTGCTTTGGTCATTATCATTCTCATCCGTCGTGTGCAGATCATCCTCCCCCGCCTTTCGGTCTGCTTGGGGGCATTCTCTTTTATTCCTACTTGTAGCTTTAAAGTTAAGGTGCTTCGGGTTGCTGGCCCTAACACCTGTGTTGTCGTCTTTCCTTTGAACACTTTATACAAAAACTACTATTTTTACAAAAATGTCATGTTTTGCGTGTTGTTACACCTGCTCCACCTACCCTACCCCTAGGTCACTATAGCAACCATATTATTCAGTCTACTGAGTTTTATGATATGAAACTTTTCCAACTTATTCACAACATATTTGGACACATTTTGTCAAAAGATCAGCTAGATTGAAAAGAAAACCAATAGAATACAGCATCATTCCTGAAACATATGGAACACCCTGTACGTCGAGGAAGAATTGTAAGGCGTTCGATTGCATATGACTCTAATTGATTATTAGACATGCCCTTGGAATATATGAACATTCCAATACCTCTGTAACATTTAATAAGATATAAATCTTACCTATTTGTTATTGTATTATGTTTTATAAAACATGAACAATAATTTGTTGTTTGACCCTTTCCGATCATATGGAAAATTTCTGATAATAAAATGTTTTAAATGGTAAGAAAACTAATATGTTCCCAAGTATAAATTACCTAAATATTTCACACTTTGTTGAATCTGCTTGGCTCATATTTGAAAAATCAAACAAAATCTGAAAAACACACTTGCGTAATTGCACTAATTAAACACGGACATCTACAGTAAAATTATAGTATATTTGCACATTATCATAATCTAATTTTTGTTCGTATGCTTAGAATAACGGTCTGTCTCTAATAAAACATATAAAAGTTCGAATCAAAATATTTACGTTTTTTGACCCCTTGTGATGAAATACATTTTTCGACCTGAAAGCCGGAAGTTTTTTCAGCAAATGGTATTTTAAAAGAATCAAGACATATGCACCTGTATAAATATTGCTTCAAATGTTGCTGCCCTATTGTGTGCTACGGATCCTTCATATTCGGAAGTCATACCATGGACTAATATGGAACACAGTCAGTTTGCTTCGTTGCTATCGACTTTCGTAATTCACGACTCTTAAAAAGAGAGAGAAGGGCAAGGGTTCAGAGGTGACAATATTTTCAATGGACGTTAATCAGTCTGCTAGCATTTCTTCAGATCAGTACAATCGAGCCTTCTTACATCAATAGAGATGACCATAATCACCGACAAAACAAAATGGCGGATTCAAAATTTTGTAAAAACGCTTTGAATAAATATGATTCAAATTTCAATCATATGGTATATACCGACGTTTAAGCTTTTAGCATTTTTAGACATTTTTTAACAAAAATAACAGAGTTCTGGTTTGACCTCCAGTCAATTTAACTATTTCCACATATCATTTACATGACCAGGATCACAATGTGCATTGTCAGAATGACCCTAAACATGATGAAATAACCTTTTTAGCCCTTTGAAAGTGTGACTGAAAAAAAGCTAAAAGTAGGAGCTGGGGAAGGTCACTTAACAGAATCTTTTGAATTTTTCAGAAAATATGCCCAATATAATGCTCTAACTGATACAATCTTTGAAATTTTAGAAAATTGTCTGAAACAAAAATGGCGGTCATAAAAAGGAAAATAGATCACTTTTCAAATCAGTTTTTTCATTTTTTTTTCTTTTTCTATGAATGAAATCAAATTTTCAAAGATTGTATCATTTAGAGCAATATATTGGGCACATTTTCTGAAAAATTCAAAAGATTCTGTTCACTGACCTTTCCTACCTTCACATTTTCATAGGGCTGAAAAGATTATTTCATCATGTTTAGGGTCATTCTGACCATGAACATCGTGATCCTGGACCTGTAAATGGTATTTGGAACTAGTTGAATTGACTGGAGGTCAAAACAGAACTCTGTTATGTTTGTTCAAAAAATGTCTAAAAATGCAAAAAAATTGTCACTTCCTGTTTTGTCATTTCCTGTTAACTGCCATAGCACCTTAACGTCAAGATAAAGAGAGATGTAAGGAATATGCTTACATCTATTAAAACATCACATCGACATGTGGTATTTAGAAACTAGATGATGGAAATTTGGACAAACGTAAGGCTTAGTAAGCGAAAGAGGTAATTATGAGGTCATCTCTAAGCCCTCGGGTTTCCCTCTTCCTACTCTAAGACTAATTCTTGTAACCATGGAAATCGTGACAAGAGGAAATGCACTATAATTTTCACGAAAGATGGTATTGACATTATGCATATCATTGCAGGTAGAGCTAGCAAGGTAAAACTATCAAGTATTGATTCTAAGGAAGAGGTTCCATCCTCTAATGAAAAAAAGGATAGAAAACTATCAAGTATTGATTCTAAGGAAGAGGTTCCATCCTCTAATGAAAAAAAGGATAGAAACAAATCTAAAGCTCAAGTAAAAACTGCTAAAGCAAGCAAAGCTACTAAAGTTTCAAAGGTAAGCAAAGAGTCCATTGCAAACAGCAGAGAAGATTCGGATGAAATATGCGGTGTGGTTGAATGTAATTTCAAAAAGGACCTAGAAGGATGTAGATTAGAAGATGGGGATAATGATGATTTTGACTGGAGCTTTGGACTGGAAACACCCAGTGCATACACTGGACCACTAAAAGGGGACAAAACGTGTAAGAACAAACAAGCAGGTGAGTGATGGAAGGCGGTTGCTAATAAGTAATAATGATATTACAAGTGAGATTTCGCAACTCACTTATTATTCTCTTAACGTGGATACACAGTATAGTGCTGAACAAAAAAAGATGACATTGGCGTTGACGTTGCATAGGTTATACGGAAATGATAAATATTCTTACTATAATATCCAAAACGGGGAAATTTGACTATGATAATTTTTGCTTATTTGGCATTTTTCAAACAATTACGTTATTTCATGCCCAAAAACAGCTGCTTTTTCAAACTTTCGGCATGTTTTCTACAAAATCTAGCCATATTTTGGGAAATGGGCGAGGGCTGAGTCTCTAAAACTGGCCAAAATGACCTAAAAATTGGGTCATCAACTTCAGAGATGTCATGGAAAAATTTTCGACGCAAATTCCCCGAGATTATTCCATTTTGTAATTCATTATAGCATTGCCTTTCAAGTATTACACAAAATGTATTGAAATGTATGTTGCTAAATGCAAATATTTAAGTCAAAGTGTAGAATTTGCGATGATATTTTTGAGCATGTTAATAAAATGTATGTGTCACCAACTCTTGGCCAACTCTTGAAAGCGGATGTTTAATATGTCTTAGTCACATAATTAAGTATGTTTTACGATATGTATACGATTTGTCAAATATTTGTATCCTCCAACACATCGGCCATATTAATATACACTACTGATGCATTATTTTGGTGAAAGCTATGCCACAAGGTACATTTTAATGACATATCTTCGATTGCAGACAATGGAGATATATGATTGAGTTTAGGTATTTCTGTCGTGAATTCAAGTTGTCTAGTTGAGGCTGTCCAATATTTTGTATCCTCCAAACATTAAAATATCATCTTTGGGAAAAAATATTTTTAGATTATTATTTTGAGAAATGAAAGTACTGAATAAACGTGTTTAGATCATCATTATTTAATTTTTGAATTATTTGAATTGTCTTTGTAAAACTTTATTAAGCATGTGTTGGAGGATACAAAATGACTTTAAAATTATGTGAAATATAAACTTACAATCAAAAGTTAGTTGTATGCATATTTTTATGTTTATATTTAAATTACAGCAAAGAATGAGTCATTGCCAAACCAAGAAACAATATATTTCACTTACAGTTTCACATGTGATCATGTTATAACTTTGTGGGAATAGCGATGCATGTAACCTTTACATTTCTATTCAACATGCTATGCTTTCTTTTTTATTTCCATGGCCGACACATAACCATACAACTTTGAATGATGTTTCTCATCCCCTCATTGCCCACGCTGTGTGTTTTTTCATGACATATTTTGATTGCCCTTTGATAAATGTTTATTTGGCCTTTACCCGAAATGATAATGTTGCTTGCACGTCTTGGTCATTGTAAGTGCCAGAATACTTTTATATCGATTCCAATGAAAATGATTGCATCAATTGCAATCTTTAATACTTCACATGCAATATGAGCAACATGCCCGTAGCCAGCTTTTAGTAGAGAGGGGGGGGGGGGTAGGGGGTAGAACTTGTAGATGATTTTAAAAAAAATTGGTCAATATGAAGCAAGTTGAAAAAATACCTTTTTTGATCTCAGATCTCAAATCTAAAGTCAGATTTGAACTACTGAGAACTTGTAGATGATTTTGAAAAAAGGAATTGATCAATTTGAAGCAAGTTGGAAAAAGACCTTTTTGACCTTGAGAAGATCAAATATTTTTTGGACCTTGAGAATGTCATTGAAGGTCAAATCTGTAGTCAGATTTGAACTTTTGAGAACTTCTAGATAATTTTGAAAAAAAGAATTGGTCAATTTGAAACAAGTTGAAAAATACCTTTTTGACCTTGAGAAGGTCAATGAAAGTCGAATCTCAAATCTAAAGTCAGATTTGAAAATCTGATAAAAAAATTGGTCAATTTGAAGCAAGTTGAAAAAATCACCTCTTGAAGGTCAAATAGAAGGAATATATCGTTCAAGATCGCACGAGCCGCCAATCTCCCTCCACACGTACACATCCTGGCTAAGGGCCTGAATAATATAAAGAAAGACTTCAAACAAAAATGTGCGTGTTATTTGGAAAAAGAAATTACCCCTGGAGTAACTTAATATCATTAAGTTACTGGGGTACAAAAAGCCGCGCGTTACAAATGTCCATTGAAATTTAGCAAAAGTAGAATTCCTTTGAGAAATCTTGGCTACGGCCTGAGTGTAGCAGTCACATCGGAATGTTCCGTAGAGGCTGATTGTAGACACTGAAGCTTGCGTTTGTCTAAACTGTAATCGTATAATATCTTTTAATATAATTTCGCATTTTAATTCCATCAAATTATTTATATAAAAGAAATCGAAGTGATGGATAATAAATGCTATATACTAGTACCCATTCAAATGCTTGTGTTTATAAATGATAAATACATATGTGCTTTTTAATAACTCATTTCAAAATGTTTCTATTATTTGATATTTGCTCTTGGGGACTAATCAGCTCCGGGTGAGAAATTTTTGTTTGAAATGAAACAAAACAAAGGCGCATAGATTTGAAAGAAAATGTGTTTTCATCAGTATAGAGACAATAAGTAGTTGTTTTTATGTTAAAATAAAAAAATAACAAATTTTGTGTTAAATTGATTGAACAAATTTATTTATAACTATAGGAACAATTTTCAGTTGCTTGAAAAAGATTTAAAGAATAAATCGAGATATTGCAAAACTAAATCAATTTGTTAGGATTATGACAGTTGATTGATTTCACCGGATATGAAGCAGCATTTAAGTTCGAAAAACACATTGTGCGAAATTATTATTTCTTTGCATAATGTCATGATGATCCGGGGTCTTCCAAACTTTTGGAGAGAAGTGTACAACTTTATTATATTTTTATTTACTGGTCATATAAATTGAATTTAATGTTTCTGGTTTGCCACAAATATCTTTTGAGGGAAACCCTGACCGGGGGACCGTCCGAACCCATCGAACCCCCGGTCCCTACGGCTATGCTGACCAAAAGTGAGTTTCGAAATCTCTCTAATAATTAATCTCACATATTTTTACACTTGCCTCATGTCTTGGTTTTAGTTCTGAATCACATTTTGGAAATGACAGATATTATCGCTCGTCTAATCCAACGACTGTTTAAAAAGATGTTCATTTGTCCTACAGGGCTTTCTTCCAAAGAATGCAAATTTGCGTTTATCGAAGCTAGTGGACACACAAATAAAAAAGCTCGATTAGAGACTAGAAAACAATCCGAGGGAACATATTGTGTGAGGTTTGCCTGTAATATGTATGGGAGTATGATCGGGGATCTTAGAGTGATAACAGTCAATTCAAGGGGCGATGAAGTTGGGCAGCATTGGAAAAAATCGGGAAATCTCGGCACCTCATGGAAAGAAACTGAAGTCGAAGTAAGGGTTGGAAAACAACAAAAGGTACGCTACAACTAAATTGATACCTTGGGATAAAGTCAAAATTGTTCAGTCTTCAAAGCTGAACACACGATTATACATGTGTACTTAGTATGGTCGATTTGTTCTTCTTAAAGCCGGCTATGAGGTACTCAATCCTCTGGTCTTCTGGTTAAGTTACCCAGACAAGGTGCTTTGAGTAAATGATTGGAAGAAAAATAGTTGCAACAACTTCTAAACACAAAAACGTTAGGTAGTTGTTTGACATGCCATCTATCATTTATACACGGACATCTGAGCTTTTTACCTAATTTTACTTATGTTACTTTACTTTTAGATTGTCTTTGAGGCAAAAGTAGGGATTGGCTACAAAAGTGACATCGCCCTTGACGATATATGCATCACCAAAGGAAGTTGCTAGATCACACTCAGGTGTATATAATACCAGAGTTATGGTGCCTAGTGGTTATCTTCTTACTTTAAGTGTATCTTTAAGTAATGAGAATATAATATATTCTTTAGACAATTGGTGACTTGTCTTTCTCACATAGTTCAACCAGAAAAAAATAACAGATACAGTTTTACATTTGGTGCAACTCATGTGCAAACCCAAGAAGGATTGGCTCCCAGGGAAGCAACTCGATATTTTCCAACAATGAATATGTCAGAATGGCGTTATTTTCTGACATTATAACGGACTATAAATTCATGTGTTTGAAATTTGTTTGAAAACTCGCGATTGAAATCCTGAAGCGAACAAAATGGCGGCTGTTTCAATTCGAAATTTGTAATTACGACATCTCCATTTATGGCAGAATATCGAGTTGGGACCCTGTGAGTCAATTCTTCTTGGTACAAAAAATAAGCTTGGATTTAATAAACAGACCGAATATACAGGGTGGGCCAAAAAAACGCCACTTTTTTTTTGAAAATTCTATAACTTTTTAAATTTTTATACAAAATCATAATTTACATACCAAATGAAACTTGAGGTTGTTATCTAGCCATTGATCATGAATTATACACTTTTACTTGAATAAAATATGTCACCAGCGTCTCACTTAAACATGTGGTGTGCCATGAGAAATAAGCATAATTTGCATAATGTTCCTAAACTGATACGCCTTGATGACCGCAAGCTAATAGCCCTAATTCAAACCCAAGTGAGTATAGGGTATGGGGAGGTCTCCAGGAGATGGTATGAAGGCACCCGATCTAAAAAATTGCTTAACTAAAGCTGGCAATTAAGACACGTTGAAAAAAATATAGCTAACATGTCATTGATACTGCTATATCAGCAAGGCGACTAAAACTAAAACCTATCATCAAATAGGGTGGCGGACCAATTGAACTCCTCTTTTTAGATCAAATATAATCCCAGTTGAAGGACTTGTTACATTATATTATTACTAAGAACCCTTGGGACTATATAACTGCAAAATTTTGGGTATGTAGGTTGGAACATAAAAAAGTTATAGTGTCTTGAAAAAAGTGGCGTTTTTTGGCCCACCCTGTAGTCTGAGCAAAACATTGAAATTCTATTCTCTATTGTAATTTACCTTTCGATTGAAATGGGACTGAAGTGTATTGTCAAGAGTTACTTAACAGTTATCTCCAAAGGTTGGCGTCACGCTCGTACACCTATTTTATATATTCAGCTTAAGATTCACACGGATACAAAACTTTTGAATGGTAGAAGAAATTCTTAAACAAATGGCATGTTTATCTTTATACGATACCCTATATTGTCTTTTACATTGTTACAGTGCAATGTTATTTTCCCACAACTAGAAGAGACTTGTTATGTTTGCCTAGGATGTGTTATTTTTCTGAAAGGGCTTTAGACAAGTTAGAGTCCCCATTTACACCCTTTTCAATCATTTACCATGTTTGAAAACACGCGTTTTCTAATTTGTTTTTCATCTCTCACTGACCTTATAATATTTATTATTTGCCAAAACCGTTCTATTCATCCAAATTTCTGAAGTTAAATCTGAACAAACAAATATTGCAATTCATCTTAAGTTCAAACAGAGAAAGTAAATAATATTTCAACTTTTTTAATCTGAAGAATTTTCAAGTGACTTTGAGTGTGTATCTTATTTTTGTTCAAATTTGACTGCAAAACTGTTGAAAACATCATGAATAAATTGAATCGTATATCTTTTAATAACCCCTAACCCAAGTCTTTGAATTTGCATTAGGATAGGTTCGCCTAGAAAAATAACAGGAATTAAAAAATACGAATACCAGATGAAGCCTTATGATATTGTTTGATATCAATAGGCGAGTGACAATATAATTTCATACAATGTTTATTTCAAAAACATCGAGGTCATTCTGTTGTTAGTATCTAAACACGTTTTAGGTAACTAAGGTCTGTGGTCACATGACGTCATTTCAGTTTTTGTGTGATCCTAATAGAGTCAGAATTCTATTAAAAACTATTTATATAGATTTACATAATCACGGGGGATAATCAAAACGAGGGCGAAGCCACGGACTGCGACTCGCGTAACTTTACACCGCAGTCCAGCGACAAAATGGAGGGACATCCGGCAGTGCCTTCTGCTTCTTCCGACAAAATAGAGAAATCCAGGTATTTTAAATGCTATCGTAGTGTCTAATCGGTGACCAAAATATTACTCTGTATCTACTGTTGGTCTGTAGATAAGAAAATAAGCAGTTGTCCAGATCAAGCTAAAACAGTAGCAAAGTTCTGATTTTACCTGTAAAATATGTGCATATTATTTAATTTACTATACATTTGAAAGGAGTTTGAACACGTTTCTGATATCTAAAGGTTAGTTGAGGCTCCGAGTATAATTCGTGAAAATGATTTGATAATAGAATGTGTTCATGAGGAGAAAATTAGATTCAAACTGCGCATTCATAGTGGACGCAGTCCAGTAAACAAAGCTATTTCAACAACGCAACACAGCCTCCATTGATATTCTAAGCAACGCAGTCCAGCCGCGAACACGAAATAAATAAGATAGTGTAAACTATATTCCTACGCTATTATTGTTTCAGGAAAAGAAAGTCAGCATCCAGATTATCATTCAAAGTTACGTTGATTAACATATATCTATTACCTGAATCAATGTCCCAAATTACTATATTGTATCGTTTAAGACCTAGAAATATGGCAATTCAATAGCGTATTTGGCAGAACAGTCGAGCGCAAGATGACAACGTAATATGTTTATTACAAACCAATTTGTGGATAGGGTTAAATATATAGATAATTGGATAGTGGTGAGACTTTTTATAAGAAGTAGAAATGCGAAACAATTAACTTTTTGATGATGCAATAAAAGCTGTTGGGGAAGGGTACATTAACTAGTATTTAAGATATCAGGAAAATATCAAATAATTGGAGAGTTGGTGAGTTAATGTAATTTTGGATGATCTTTCCAACAGTCCATCAATATTGCTAGCTACCATAAATTCATGATTTCAGCTGTATTTGACAGCTTGTATATATTTGCAGAATGGATTGAGACACGATGTACGTAGGTCTATTAAAATAGCCCTTTATATTCAATTTTGTCCAAAGTTGCTCCATTTCGGCCACACCTGTACACACATTGTGCTATCTACCTTTGGCTGTGATTGCGTTCAGCTCCAGATATAAAGCAACACTGAGTCGCGGACTGCGTTGGGCAGATGGATGGACTGCGACTATTATAAATTCCAATTTTCTATGTAATTGTACGTTTTCCGCTTACCAAATATCACACGAAGATGTAATTGTAACAACAGAACATGAATAATTATATTAATTCGATGTCATTTCTGATTCCTTTGTTTAAATCGGTATATTAGGGACAAATATTGACAAAATTACATTTTTTGTGGCAGATTTCGAATTCATTTGTGTTCATGCTAAACTATTGGACAGCCGAGCACCAAGAATGCCATTGCAGGTGGAGTATGAATATGTTGATCACCGACTGGAACATACTAGCTATTCTGTAGAATATCCAAACCAATAATCTACCCCAAATCCTAACATGCCGTCCAAATTAAGTTTGGACTTACCGCCATTGTTCAGTTATAATGCGTTGTAACCTCGTTTTGAATTACGCAAGTCGCAGTCCGTGGCTTCGCCCTCGTTTTGCTTATCCCCCGTGATAATGGCTTCAGAAGCTTCGGCAACATCTAATTAGGCTTATCCACATCGCCCTTATTTCATCTTTCATTTCGTATCAAACAATTTCAAATTGACCAAAGTACTCGTGACATTTATTCCATGTTTTGCATTATGTTTCAAGAATATTTAGATTCTAGCTAGAAATACTGGCATAGCCCTTTGGATTACCCGAGCCAAATATCAAAAGAGGGCTTAAAGTGTCACTACCCCAAATTCGATATACGATAGATGTTTCATAAAACGTTGAATCGTTGAATCAACTAACATGATCTATCAACTAGATCAGTTGAATTCCAAATGTGTACGAGCGGAGATTGCTATCTTACAAATATGATCTTTGTCAAATATCACACAGATGATTTAAATTTTTGACGAAAAACCTTGCAATATCTAGGTAGTAAATATTTTTAAACTCTAAGGCTGTCACAAAACTATTTTCCTCTTTTCACAACCTTTACAGGACGTTTCGGATCACATCTGTCTTTATATCTGGATCCTTTCTCAACTGTAATAATAAAAACTGAACTAAAAATGAAACATAGTCATGTTAGTCATTTGACTAACATATTATACATAGTGCGGTAAATTAATATGCTATTTATGAACATTGGTTATCAGAACCAGAGATTATTTTATTCGTCACTTTTACGACATATATGTAGTCCCTGTACAGATGTAAAAAGTATTACGATTGGACAACTTGTGCTTATTCAAAGAAATGCGATTGTTTATATTGGTTAACTAAATTTTTGTCAGATGGTACACAAAAATGCTTAGAGAATCAATGACATGATTTATGGTTCAATTCTAAATAAGTCGGGCTTCAAACGGGACGTGGTCTAATAATCAGGAGTAAGAGGATATATTAAGATTTTTTGCATAAAATGAGATTCCTCAGAATGCTAGGTTCTGGTGGGGTATTACAAAAGAGGACAAGGAGTCTTGGATGGCGTGTTCTTCAGAGTGCCCTTTCAAAGCATAACACTTATGCATCCACAGACAATGGTAGGGATATGGTAACTTGTAGAATTTACATACTGTATTTTTCAGAATTAAATCAACTTTTCAATTTTTAAGAGCTGGTTCTAAATATGTTATGTAAGAATATGTAATGCATTCTTGATATGGTCCTAATAAAATGCGTATTTTCCACAAGGGTTATTTTATTCATCATAATTTGATTTGCATTTTAAATGTTGAACGACAAATATTTGCACAATGGCGCGATAGAAATGACAGTAACTAAGAGGGATGGGATGAAATTATATTGTTTTACGGTGACCACTTGAATAACGCTGCGAGTTGAATTATAAATGTAACCCGCTGTGGGTTAAATTAAATTAAACCTCCGATTTCAGCTAAATTAAGTTGAATCTTGATTTCAAAATTTTCGACATGCAAATTAATAAAACTACGATTGTATTCAACCACAAAGGAACGCCCGAACACCCGCAATAATTAGAGAATTTTAAAGAAAACGACTTCACTTAGAATGACTCTAACTGAAGTTGATGATCTTCGTCATCATTACGTCATCATCAACTTTAGTTAGAGTCATTCTAAGTGAAGTCATTTTCTTTAAAATTATCCAATATCGCGGTTGTTTGAGCATTTATTTGTGGTTATTTACCATCGTAGCTTGATTAATTTGCATGGCGAAACATTTGGAATCCAGATTCAACTTAGTTTAGCTGAAATCAGAGGTTTATCGAAAACGAAAGAATTTCGGCAACCATCTTGAATGAAGCTTACTGCAGTTAGAGTCACCACCTTTGGAACAGTGATTGTTTTACCGCTTAAATAATGCTGTGGTTTGAATTATATTGTTTTACCACTTAAATAACGCCGCAGGTCGAATTATATTGTTTACCACTTAAATAATGTCGTCGGTTGAATCATATTGTTTTACCACTTAAATCACGCTGTGGGTCATGCTGCATAAATTATGCGTTATATAAAAACTAAAAGTACACACATATGTCAGATTAACTTTGAGTCGACCAATGCAGGTGCACCTTTGGTGTTTTCTGAATAGAGACAAGATCGCAAATTCATATGCAATAGACTATAAGTAACACATGGTTCTGCAATTTCACAAATATATTTTATTCGAAATACTTGATTTTAAACCTGCGGAGGGAAACCACAAGCTCTTAGAGATGACCTAGTTCCTAAAGATGATCTAGATGATCTAGTTCCTAAATACCGTACGTCGATGTGATATTTCAATCGATGTAAACTATAATCTTTAATCACAATGTTTACGTCGGCTTCTCTCATTAGAAAATGTAAAATATTCATAAAACCCGAAATGATTCGCCTGGAAACGCGTACAACAGATGATTTCGAGATGCCCGTCCGACGACTGTACCACTGTACTGATCTGAGAAGTAACAAGGAGGGGGGGGGTAAATCTGGGCCCCTAAAATCCAAAATTGAAACCCATTTCAAAAGGCCCAGTAATGCTCTAAAGGCCCAGCAATTGGGTCCCTAAAAACATTTTTTGGGGTCAATTTTTTTTGTTCTGGGCCCATTTTATGGCTGTGTGGGAAGGGTGTCGCCACTGCATTGCCTTAACGTGTTGTATGTATTTAACATGCAGGTACTGATAAGGAGAACAAGGTAGTAGCCTCAAATCAAGATCCAAAGAATACAAAAAGCATGTCGACCGCCCCTCTTTCGAAAACCATGTGTGCAATACGTCCACCAAGAAATGACTACTCGACAGACGGCTGTAACGAAAGGAGAAAATGGGTAGAAGCTTACATACAGCGCCCTCTGTACCACATCCGGGACTGGTGGGGCAAAAGTAGTGATGCCACAACAGAATCATTGAAAGGTCACATTGAAAATCCTATTGGGTTGGCGAAAATCCCCATTGGAATTGCAGGTCCTCTCATGTTCAATGGGGAAAACGCCCAAGGTTAGTTACCATACAGACTACATGTATCTAGTATTTAACATATTAAATTCCAGTTAATCAGAGCACACTGTTGACAGTTATATGCCCATCGAACCCCCCCCCGGCTACGGGCCTGTACAAATGTAATATGACTTCAGGAAACATACTCGGACCTTTGGCTACGACAGAAGGAACCTTAGTGGCAGCAGTGGAAAAGGGTGTTAAACTATTGAACAAAGCAGGAGGTGTGAAAACGTATGTCATTGGTAAAACGATGATGCGATCGCCGTCATTCACAATGGAAGATCCGAGACAAGCTGTGCTACTTGCAGAGTGGATTAAAACCAAACAGAGTATTTTTCAGGATATAATCAAAAAGAGGTCGCGTCACACAATCCTTACAGGGTTTACAGATGTCATAACACATGATGTGAGTTTAATTTATTTAATCTTACCATGATTACCTGGTTTTGACAGAAGCACTCATAAAATTCTAAACAATTAACTTCGTTTTTTTAACAATAAGCAAATCGTTTTATAGACTGGTGGTGTTGTATGAAACGTTTTTTAAAGATCAATTTTTCACTATATTTAAGAAAGGGCACATACGTTGTTAATTGAATTTCAATTGAGAAACATTGATAGATTATTTCATGCGACTGCGTGGAATTATTTCATGCGACTGCGTGGAATTATAAGAGTCCTAAGTTGTAGAGAATTTTCATTTTAGTTTTAAGGTTGCAACCCCGGGTATATAAGTGACCCCTAGTTAACTATGTTTGAGATATACATTTTTTATTTAAATAAAAATGTACTGAAAAAGGAAACCTAACGTGCAAAATAATGAATCTTAATTCCCCCTAAAATCACCACGAGCTCAATGATGTAGGGGATGAAGCAGTTACATTAGCAAACCCTTGAAGTGGGTGTAGCAGATATATTTCACAACCTTTTGAAGAGAGGGTGTAGCAGATATATTTCACAACCTTTTGAAGAGAGGGTGTAGCAGATATATTTCACAACCTTTTGAAGAGAGGGTGTAGCAGATATATTTCACAACCTTTTGAAGGGAGGGTGTAGCAGATATATTTGCCAACCTTTTGAAGAGAGGGTGTAGCAGATATATTTGTCAACCTTTTGATGCAGCAGCAGTTATATTATTTTTTCTGTTTTTTTGTTTTTAGACACTTCATATGCATGGTATCTGAGCTGCAAGAATTTTGAAGGGAATGCATCAATTATATCTTATGTTTTTATTTTTAGACGTCTCATATTCTGTTTGAGCTCCTTTAATTCATTTTATGAAATGTCACACTTTTGAAGAGGGTGTAGCAGATATATTTGCCGAACTTTTGATGGTGGTGTAGCAGTTACATTTTATATACCACTTCATATGGTATTTAAACTGCAAGAATTTTGAAAGGATGCATTAATTATATCTTATGTTTTTATTTTTAGACGTCTCATATTCTATTTGAGCTCCTTTAATTTATTTTATGAAATGTCACACTTTTGAAGAGGGTGTAGCAGATATATTTGCCGAACTTTTGATGGTGGTGTAGCAGTTACATTTTATATACCACTTCATATGGTATTTGAACTGCAAGAATTTTGAAAGGATGCATTAATTATATCTTATGTTTTTATTTTTAGACGTCTCATATTCTATTTGAGCTCCTTTAATTCATTTTATGAAATGTCACACTTTTGAAGAGGGTGTAGCAGATATATTTGCCGAACTTTTGATGGTGGTGTAGCAGTTACATTTTATATACCACTTCATATGGTATTTAAACTGCAAGAATTTTGAAGGGATGCATCAATTATATCTTATGTTTTTATATGCTATTTGAGCTGCTTTGATTTATTTTATGAAATGTCACACTTTTGAAGAGGGTGTAGCAGATATATTTGCAGAACTTTTGATGGTGGTTTAGCAGTTACATTTTATATACCACTTCATATGGTATTTGAATTGCCAGAATTTTGAAGGGAATGCATCTTGTGTATATCTTGTGTTTTTATTTTTTAGACGTCTCATATGCTATTTGAGCTGATTTATTTTATGAAATGTCACACTTTTGAAGAGGGTGTAGCAGATATATTTGCCGAACCTTTGATGGTGGTGTAGCAGTTATATTTTATGTTTTAGACGCTTCATACATGGTATTTGAGAATTTCTGAAGGGGGTGTGGCAGTTATATTTTATGTTTTTATGTTCTAGACGCTCCATATGGCATTGAAGTTACCAACATTTCGAAGAGGGTGTAGCAGTTATATTTGCCAACATTTTTGATGGGGGTGTAGCAGTTATATTTTATGTTTTTATGTTTTAGACTCTCCATATGGTATTTGAATACGAGACAGGAGATGCAGCAGGCCAAAATATGACAACATTTGCAACTGCAGAAATAGTTGGTTGGATTATGAAGAAGCTTCCTTTAGAATTACCGGAGGTTTACGTTAAAGAGTTCTCACTGACACATGGGGTTGACGGAGATAAGAAGGCCAGTATGTACAGTATGCTTGGCAAGAGAGGCGTTAATGTCATTGCTAAATGTACTTTGGAAGATGACGTTCTTCGGGCAGTTATGGGAACCAATGCCGAAGATACAATTCGTGCATTTACTCATTTCCATTGTGCGAGTACCAGGGTTGGAGCTGTGGGCTTCAGTATCAACGCAGCAAACGTGTTGGCATCGATGTTCATCGCTACTGGGCAGGACGTTGCCAGTTTGCATGAATCTGCAACATGCATAATTAAAGCCACCAAAACACCAGAAAGAAATGCTGTAGATTTATCCTTGCATTTACCTTCGTTACTTATTGGCACCATAGGTGGCGGCACAGGCCTTCCCTCACAGAGTGATTGTTTGAGCATCATAGGTTGCCATGGAGATGGTGGGGTTAAGAGATTGGCAGAAGTGATAGCTGGTTACACATTGGCTTTAGACATTGCCTGCTCATCAGCTCTGATCGCTAACTCATTTGATTCTGGACATGCGAAGTTAGGTCCAAAGAAGAAATGAAATAGCAATTGAACAATTCTGAAATATTATGTAGCAGTTATAAGTATGCAAAACACAAAGGCAGGATTGTTTACTACATTGGTCCATATGTGACGTAACTCAAACGTTAAAATTCAACGTTGTCAAAACAGGCTTTTAATATCAAAATATTTGTTGGTGGAAAATAACATGACAAAAACTTTGTGTTCTCACTAAGTTAATTTATTTCCGACGTATTGTTAACGTTAAAATTTAACGTTGTCGAAACGTTTTTTCGATTTGAAATAACCTCAAAACGTGACGTCAATAATGACGTTCATGGACCGTATTGATGTATTGATCTCAGGCCCGTAGCCAGGATTTGCCAAGGGGGGGGGGTTCGATTTTCAAAAATTTCCAGGGGGGGGTTCACATTTGACAATTTTGGCCCAAATTAGGCTAAAATCACTTGAGAAGTGCTCAAAATGGTCAAAAACTGCATGATTTTGAAAGAATTTTTGGCCAGGGGGGGGGGGGGGGTTCGCCCGAACCCTGCGAACCCCCCCTGGCTACGGGCCTGGGACGTTATTTAAATATTCAGCAAAACGTCGATGGATGGTTGAATTTCAACATTGTGAAAATGGTTTCAAAATATTTGTGAGTTAAGGAAACGTTACAAAGACGTCAATATGTTGAATTTCCAGCTGAAATCAACAGAGATCTTCTGAGATTGTGAACGTTACTTCTGCACAGACGAATCAAAACCATTCATGCAAAGCTTAGTAAAGGATTCATCAAGAGGGGTGCAACATATCTAAATATTTCTCCAGCATCGTAACACATTTTTCTAAAATTCATATTCATACTACACAAAATATACCGACGCATTTTTTGATTTTTTTCATTCCGATTTTAAAAGGTTTCTATCACACTACAGTTGGGGCCCTCTCTGTTGCTTGTTTACCACCTCCTTCATAAAGTTGCAATTGGATGTTCTATTGGCGGTTACATGACAACATGTCAAGATGGAAAACTTATTTAACGCATTGAACAAGAAGACATGAAGGTTCAAGGAAAATTAAAAGTCATTTCAAATATATAGGGTAACATTCAGGCTATTATTGTCGTCCTGTATAGCGGGGATTTTAGGGTTTGTGTAAAAACCGGGTGACTGGGTACTTAACGTTCCTAGCAGGGTTATGAATTTTTTTTTATTTATAACGTTGGATCTGGACGATACATGTACGTTATTCTTGGTAGAAAGTATCCACTCGACGAATAAAAAGAGGGCCTGATCGCATAGACGCAGCTGATAACTTACAGACTTCGCAAACGGAGGACGATGATGAAACATTCTGAGATTTCATAAGAGAAAAGCATAGTTATTATTTTCCTCAATATCGTTGAAAAATAAATTTTTGGAAATCAACAAGCAGGGTATATCGTTATAATAGCATCCGCATTTTGGTTTTCCGGATTATATGGTGGTGATATCCTCCGGTTATTCATTTTGCCAATAAATATCAAATTCATTTTTTGTTGTTATACATTTCAGTGGCGTAGCCAGGATTTGACTGGAGGGGTTCGAATATTTTCGGCACATTTTTGAGTCACCTAACGGTGAATTAAGCGTAAACTGTTTATTTGCACCAAAGGATTGGTATCGATATGGTGAACTTTTTGAACACAGGTTTCTCTTAAACCAGTCATCAAAAGTTTTTACACATCGTCCATTCAATGGTCATCTTTTGAATGGTAACAATATTATTTGAAAAAATATATATACTTTTCTCAATATTGTTTTAGATAACACATCAGACAATTTTGTTATTGGTATCATATGATCGGAATGAAAATGAAACATCTATCCGAACCCCATTGGAACAAAACGACATAAACACAATTGTGTTTAAGTCTTTCAATATTGTAGTTGTTCAAAGGAAACTGGTTGATTTTTTAAAAAGTATCTTGTTAATGAAATAAAGGGTTTATCTTAATTTTATTATCTATTTGGGGGGGGGGTTGTCTTAATTTTTTGGATACTTTTTATTAAATCAACCAAAATTAACTATAATATTGAGAGGTCTAAGAAAATGTTGTGTATGCTATTTTGTTCCAACAAGCTTCGGAAAGACATTTTATTTCATTCTCAAGAATTGGTAGAAAAACGAAAAATGTTAACAAAAACATATACAGGTATATAAATAATTTCGCATTAAATTGTTGTCAATCAGTCAACATTACACAAAGGACCGTATTGTTTTACAGAATGTTTTCAATATTTAGTTTAAGAAAAAGACATTGTTGAATTCAGTTCACCATATCGATACCTATCCTTTGATCCATTTTATTATTTTTTGCCAGTTTGCTGGAATTTAAAAGTTTTACATTTGCCAAACAATTGCAAGAGCAAAATCAAAAGTGAAATATCCCAATTTTTGACCAATTTCGTTAATTTGGAATATTTAGGGCAAAAATCTAGAACTTTTTTCAACAAAGGTCTATTAAGATCCCTTTAAATTCTACGTTTTAACCACTTTCTGGATAGGTCAGAAAACTAAGTCCAAAATAAATAGCTCAAGGACATTATCAGATATAGACTGCAAAAAGTTAACTAAAATTTGGGGATCGCATAATTTGGCAATAAATTTATTATTAATTAGGCAAGATTTTTGGGGGGAGGGGGTTCGCACGAACCCTCTGAATCCCCTCTCCATACAGCCCTACATTTAGTAGACTTAATGTAGGATAAATAAAAAGTAAGCAGCTGATTTCAGTTCTTCACTTCCGGCCGTCACGATTCTGAATCTAGATCAGAGACAGCCTTTCAAAGAGGTTAAATCATTATATTCTGTTATATTCTATTGATATATTCTTATATATCAATTTTGCAATAAAAACCTGGAAAGAAATTGTTATATCTAACAAACTGAACCGGTGAGAATCTAGGAGCTAATTGCACGATAATCCAAATCCACACTGGGGAAACTGTGACACACCCACTCCATAAGTTAGGGAATAGAAGTCCCCGCACGGATCGCTTCTCAAAGCCTGTTTTATTTGGCGATTTAAAAAACGATCATAGTCTTGAATTTTGAAAATACGTGAAATGAATGAACAAACTATATAAAAAGAACTCGAGACGCTGAAGACTCCCGATTGCCAAACTTATAAAAGGTGAAAACTGGGTAATGTATATTTCATTGATAATTGCTAAACATCAATTCGTTTCTCATATAGCGAAGTCTCTATGGGAAAATAGCTAATTTCCACTTGATGTCCGAAATTCGTTTCATCAATTTTCACTATATTCTTCATAGGTGAAAATTTGACGTCACAGAGATTCAATTCTCTGAGCAATAAGTAGTGTAATCCATTGTTTTCTATGTTTGACCATTTAATAGAGCAAACTAGCAGTGTGATGTAAATGACCACATCTGCACTTAGGTTCCAATAGACCGTTGGATTGCTGAAAGGGTCAGCTTTAAAGTATCTGACCTCCATTTGAATTTTAGTGAATGCAAAACTAAATATAAACCCTTTCATCCCCAAGGGTCATTTATTAATTTTATGAACATCAATTTCGAAATGACATATACCCCTATGGCCAATATGGATTATTTTTAGATTTATAATAATTAATTCAATATCAAATCATTTAAAAGTTTGAATACAGATAGGCTGAGATAGGGGTCATTGAGTGCAGTGACCCCATAATAATACAAAATGCGTCAGAATTTTTGTTTTCAGAAGAAATGAGATTTGATATTTGAAAATAATATTAACATCTATAATTTGTACTTTGGTTATTTTGGAATGTATATATCAAAATTGCAGCAAAAGTGTATTGACTTATTAACAATATACACCTTTGACTTAACATTGGGTATTATCGTATCCCTTTGTCCTAATATTATATTTTTGAATATACCCATATGAGTTTACTTATGAATGATATAAATAGTTCCAAAGGAGCATCACACACAATCTAAAGAAGGGGTATGAGCAATTAACTACATATCAAGGTTAAGTGGAATCCATCAAGCTAAATATTTGACCGTTGACCTCTATTGTCACGTCTATTTACTCATACAAGGGCCGATCAGAAAGTTGGAAGCTCAAACTTTAACATAAGACAGGATAGTTAGTTTGCTTGAAACTGTACGAGTTTCATATAAATTGGTTTATTGGTAGTGACACAGAGTCAATTGATGTTTTCAATGACAAAGTTAGGTGGAGCAGCATTATATATAAATTATCTGCTGAGTTGTGGTTCTCGAAATTTACCCACATCGTTTCAAACCTCTCATAAGAAGGCCTTAAACATGTGTTTTTGGATCGAGTGGACAGATATAGGAAGTGCATTGCAACTGGGGTTGAATATTTTGAATGAGAATGAATATTAGACGAAAAACAAATTAAACATGATTAAACTACAATCTGTTGACAGATGACACGACTTAACCCTAGAAGCCCTAAGGGGGGGTCAAAATGACCCCCCTGTTAAGTTTTTTCCCAATAACTTTTTATTGGCATCTGGTAGGGTCTTCAAATTTTCAGTAGCTGAAGCTTCAGATATAAGACATGTTTTCTGAAAAATCCAGCAGAATTGTACATAGGGTTACTGATTTATTATGATGTAATCATCAGCTGCAATAGACAAAATCGGAAAAAGCTAGCTCTATTTCTACCATACATGTTATCTTTCAAATAAGATTACACAATCTTCCATCATCATAGTTGTTAAAGTTATTACACCAAGTTGTAGATAATTGAATGAAGTATATTTTGGTAAAAGTTTGAACATCCTAGCTTTACTAATTTGTTATTAATCTATTATGATGTAATCATCAGCTCCTATAGACAAAATCAGAAAAAAAGCGAGCACTAATTCTACCATACGTGTTGTCTTAAAAATAAAATTACGCAATCTCACATCATCGTAGTTGTTAAAACTTTTATACAAAGTTGTAGATAATTGAATGAAGTGTATGTGGAAAAAGTTTGAGCATCCTAGCTCTACTAATAAAATTTTTACAAGGGGGGTGCCCTTTTGACCCCCCCCCCTTAGGTGTTTGTGTGACTATTTTTACCTTAGGGCTTCTAGGGTTAAGTGTTAGAAATTTCCAAAACTGCATCTTAGCACATTTTTTATTAAAAACGCTGCTCCACCTAATTCAACCATTGAAAATATGTATTGACTCCAATGTGATTCCAATGAATAGTTTCTGAGACATAATGGTCCATATAGGCATTCTGAAACCATATTTTTCACATACCACCCCGCACTCATATAAAAAGGAGAGATGAAAAGTCACACAACTATCATGGAGAGTGACACAAATATATCCTTCATGCAATTAAAGTACATTCTCCTGTTTTATATGAAAAATCAATGAAAAAATATGAAGAATAAAAAAAGAAACTTGGCTGTAGATGTATTTACACGAATAACAAAACATATATTACTGTTTGAAATAGGTGGTTTTTATTTTCATCAAGAATGAAGTGCTTTGCCAATAATTCGGGGAAATGTTACAGCACATTTTGTCATATGTACAGTATTTTACCAATAACATAACAAAATATTGACACACTGATGTATAATTAATGGGTAATTTACAGAAACTGAAACTTCGAAAAGTGAAGAATCTCTCAAGTCCATTATTATCATTTTACGACCTGATTATAACCACGATAAGGATTAACATCCTCCTATTACAGGGCTTCAAGATCAAGAATATCTTCTTTCTCTTTCCCCCTGGTGGATTCTGAACACCTGCTTAGGAGGATGAAGGATTAAGGAAATATTGACTTTATGAAGAATCTGTTAATAACCCTAAAAATCATATTTACCCGATGAAGGATTGCCTTTCTTTATAAATATCTAAATAAACATATACTGAATCTGCTTAACACGTTGAAAATCTTTAAATAATATAAATCAAAATGATGGCTTAAAAGAAGAACTGTCAAATATAGTCTAAAACTGTTGTCAACGCTACAGATATTAAAATTAAGAACAAAAATTCCCATGGCTTTTTATTAACATCAAAAGATTTTCCATCACTTTTTACATACAAAGTACAAGGTTATGATGTAATGGTAGAAGATTCATTCGAAAATATTGAGAAATTATTGAGAAAGTGTGTCTTAAATGACGTCATAATCTGACATAAACTGTCTTTTAATGTGAGTTGAATCCTTGCATGTACGACCTTGACAATAATTGTGCGAATTCCAATATAGCATATAGTTGCAAAATGATTATAATTTTGCTTCATTCGTATTTTGACAATAAAATATTAGTCTATCTATTATTGTAACACGTACAATAAACTGTAACACGTACAATAAACATGTTTTCCGAACCAATATAAATCACGAATGAGGGGTGATTAATTTGTAGTTTGTAGTGCATCCATCAGAAATGTCACCAATCCATGTAGTCTCTTGCCAGAAATCCATGTAACGAGTTGCATCCTATCTACCAGATTTTGAATATGTGGGCCTTGTTCTGCCAGTGTACGTTGGTCTACTGCCAGACGTCGCGCGAAAGCTCGATCTTGTCGGGAACGTTCGTCCACTATACGACGACGACGACGCGCCACATGAATCTTTAGCGATTCCTGACCCAGCGGCTTAAATAGTAAAAATAAAATGTAAGCGTAGTATGTACAAATATTTTCTTCATTGGAGTTGCACAACCACCCTATAGACTATTTTATTTATTGTTACACATATTTTAGATTTAAAAATGGTTTTTAAATGCAGATCGGATATAAAATGTGACAATTAAATTGCAAGCAATATGTGACCTGCCAATCTATTCCTTACAATCCAATCTCAAATATCACTGTTCCACAGATGGATGACTCTAACTGCAGTTCATTCAAGATGGTTGCACTGATTCTTTCGTTTTCGATGAACCTCCGATTTCAGCTAAACTAAGTTGAATCTTGATTCCAAAAGTTTCGCCATGCAAATTAATAAAACTACGGTTGTCTTCAACCACAAATGAATGCCCAAACACCCGCAACGAATTTTAAAGAAAACGGCTTCACTTAGAATGACTCCAACTGACGTACACCATCATTATGTCACGGACGTTACGGAACAGTGTATATAATATCTTCCAAAAGATCCGCGATTTGTTGTTAATTGATGAAGTTATTTAAGATTTAGATTTCCTCAAATAAGGTTTAAATGGGTATTTTTAGAAAATAGGCATGACAAGGAATGATGAGTCCAAACTATTCACATACACATTCTCAATGTTTAATTTCCTAATTTATGATCATGCGTACATGATATCTAAGAATGTATTTGATACCTGTAATGTTCAAGTATGTTGAAGTTGAAGTAGGGCAGTGTAGCAATTTCAATTTAGTAATCATTTTACATAACATTGACTCAAACTTTGCTTAAAGACAGAATCAGATCTAGCAATATATTGATAATTCTGACAACAATTGTTTCGATTTTAGAATATGTTGGGCTCATAGCTCATATCATTCCTTGACATGTCTATTTTCTAAGAAATACTAAAAATGTACAATATATTTGAAGAAAACTAAATATTTTTTCAAAAATGCATTCCTTTTTCTATTTTATGGTTACCATTTTTATTATTTTGGGAGAATTTAAACAATTTTTCCCCAGTTTGGCACTTTTAATCCTCAATAACTTTACCATTTCATAACATATCCAGCCTGATATCGTGGATCTTTTGGGAGATATTATATCTAAGAAGGAATATATTGGTAGGTCAACTGTACATGTTGCTGCATTTTGTCACTCCCCATGGGTCTGGTTCTCCCTTTGAGTTGTGTGCATAAGGAGAAGTATCGTAAAATATTTTGGTCATGTATCAGTATACATTCTTTTGAATAGCAAAGGATTCTGTTCGTTAATACAATATTGTTTTAATTTACAAGCAGGAATTTTTGAATTTAAGTGTCATACCTGTACAATCGTACATTTTTCGGAGCCCTTTGATGTCCTGTTCGCTCAGCATTTTCCGTTGTCCAAGTACAACATTACTTGGCTTTTTAATCAATATCGTTTTATATTTATCTCCTTTTGTATATGCATGTTCTCCGTAATGCATTATACTTTTAAGATCATAAACATCCTTATACACCTCAGTACCACCAGGTGGCTGCTTCAAAAAATTTGAATCCCAACCTAAAATGTAACGCTACATCATTGATTTATTAAGATAAACTTGAGTTCTTCTGAAATAATGAGGATTTTGTATATATCTCCATGGTGAATGATGATATGCAGGTGTTAATTTTGCAAAATGAACATCATAGACGATACCTCTGGCTATGATACAGTTTAAAAATCTTGGGCCTTGGTTGAGTATTGGCTTATATTTTTATTCTATGAAAGCATAGAGATGGTGTGATTTTTAAGCAATTTCCGAAATATAAACCCAAGTTCCCACCATCCTAACTCACGTGGCCTTATCTGAAGCTATAGCTACAAAAGAATTCATGGCAGAAAAGAACCGTGGAAAAAACCGGAAGGGACATTAAAGTATAACAACAACAATGAGTAAAACCCTTTTCCCAATTTTTCCCTATTAAATAATTATGGTCTGAGAAAAATGTCAGAAATGTCTCTGTTTATGAATACACTCAACTAATCAGCTTAATAATTTGCAGACGTTAGTATAGACAGGTTCCAATTTCAGAATATCTCAAGGGAAAGGGTTTTTGAGGCATTTTTTAGAAAAAGCAACAGACCTATTTCTTCTGGATCAGTTTTTCATGCTGATAAAGATATTAAAAGATGACAGCTCAACGGGGTGGTCATGACACTGAATTTTAGCGTTTTTACCCCCCTAGGAAAATATTCTAGGGGGTACTATGAAACTAGTTCATAACTCAAAGGATATATAAACTATTGTTCTGAGTTCTACAGCATACATTGTTAGTACAGATATGAATACTACCCTAAAGTTATAGGTTGATATCTTTGTTGGTTTCGGAAAAATACAATTAATTAGAAAAAAATATGCAATTTTTGTCATTTTTTTCTTGCTTATTTTATATTTGTAGCTTCAAGCAAAATATGATAACTTAAACAGCTCAAAGTAGTATTCTAACAACCTTCCCAAGCTATGTGTGATATTGTAATACATCTCTTATAGTGATGAAGTACTATTTTGTAATTTTAATATGACTTTACAGTGCCCTACCCCTGGTAAATAGAAGAAAGTTGGTGTGGTTTTCTTCTGGTTTTATAACATTTTATTGTCTTCTTAGTTGAAGATACAATCAATTCTGTCAGTTAACCATGAGAAGCTTTACAATGGTTTACTATTCCCATGAATAGAGGGTTGGGACCTCAAAAATACTGTTAAGTGGCATCCTTGGGCAACCCTCTTCAGAGGATTTTCCTTATACTCCGATAAAATCTGCAGGGGATACTATAAGAAACCTATATATCTAAGATACTAATGAAGATACTGAATTCAAATTTTCAGGATTTGTTCCTGGTATGATAGGTAATCTGTATGACAAAAATGACAAAAAGAAAAAGCTCTTTTGCCATAGTAACAAGAATACGACCCTATTTGTTTCCTAAGAAATGTGTTTTAAGAGGTTTTGTCATTCTCTTCATATTTTTAATTCTAAATATGTCTACAATGTGGGATGATTAAAATTATGGTAAAGTAATCTTTTCTATTGTTCTCTAAAACAGAAGTTGCTAGGGCGACACATAGATCATAGAAAAAATCCTGAGATGATCGCTCTATTTGTCAGGAAATTAAAATGGAAACTGAAAAATGAGTTTCTTCCTACTGAATAGCAATTTGGTAGACCATGGCTGACATGCACAAGAGAAAACTCTATCAGTTCTATGTCATTTTGTTGTTATTTTTATTTATTTATCGTGCTCTGGGACTTAATAACACCTAATGCCGAATCTTTTCCAACTGCAAAGGAAGGCAAGATTTTAATAATGAACATTCATATATCTCAACAAATATGGCCTAAGATTTGGACAATGATGATGAACTCTGAGGGAAAATTAGACGAAACATTAATGTGAGTGGTCCAAAAATAACACTTACATGTTTTGAAAAAGTTATGCTCTCGGGTGAATCAGTGCTCATTTAAGGATAGTCTGAATCAGGTGAATTTTTTAACCTAATTGTACCCCTCCCCAAAACCCCCAAATTTTGACAATTGTCGAAAAGTGGCAAACAACAATTAAACAAACATCATTAAAGTTCAATATGGCTATTTCGCTTCTATGTCATAAAGATGTGGTACGATCTCAGGTCAATCAATAAATTTCACAAGTGACACTCTATCTTATGAAGAAAATATTATCGTATTTGAAGACATGTCAAAAATTTGGTGGAAATAATTTTGTCACTCCTGATTTGACCTGGAAAGGTTCAGGTAAGTAATCACAAACAATTTCAGACAGTTATATCTTTGATTATGACTATTTTCTGACCATGAAGACAGGTATACAGGGATAGTAAAGTCAATAGGACTCAGGGATATTTCACTAGCAATCAACCCATCAATATATTTTTTCAAAGTTGTTGACCTCATTTTCACCAAAATGCCATCATTTTAACAATGTTAACAATTCGGTGTCTTTAAAGTCCCTGGAGCAATCCACTTTCCTCTTAGGAAATAGAACATGTCTCAAAGCATATTCTAATTATGCATTCAACAATATAATTAAAGGTTGCATCTTTAATAAAAATTAGGTCAACATTTTAAGTAAAAAGTATGTTGATTGGGCCATTCCCTTTAATATCACTTAGGTCTGATTTCAATCATTATATTTACTTTTCTTGAAGATAATGCATAGATCTAAAAGATATACCCATGTTCATGGTCAGAAAATATTCATAATTCAAGTTAGAATTGTCTGAAGTTGTTTGCGATAACCTACATGCTCCTTTATAACATTATTATGTAAATACAGTAGAACCTGTGTAAGTGGAACACTCTCCGTTCTGCCACAAAGCGTTCCACTTAGAAGGTGTTCCACTTATGGAGGTTTTGGGTTCGCAGGGAACATACAAGATCAAATATAGGATTTATATGTATCATTGGAAATATGATTCTCCCTTCATTACAGGGCAGGTATATACCATTAATAATCCATTTATTTTACTCAAAAAGGTATCTGACATTCTTAATCCTCCTCATTCTGCCAAAAATGTTTTCTGACATTCTTAATCCTCCTAATTGTGCCAGTCTTGGGTACAAAGATTAGGCAATTAATTTTTTTAAGACTTGTTCCTACTGCTAATAATTCAATTGTTTTTAAATGACATTTTTAATCTTACTTATTAAGTTTGAAACAAACAGCAAGGGATATTAATTAGTGGTAGCATCACATGTCCAGTTCTACAGGAGGTTAATCCAATTTTCTGAATGATAATCTTATGAAATCCTAATTTGCTGATTATCAAATTAATTATTGGTTGCATCACATGTTGACCTCTACAAGAGGTTAATCCATTAAAATCCATTAAAGTCCTAATTTGCCAATTATCACAGTATTCCCTGTTTTCATACCCAGATATCATTGAAGGAGATTAATTCTGTTTACATATTTCAATATTGAAATCTATGGAAATTGTCTGTTCCACTTAGCAGGTTAATTTTTCAATATAGGGTGTTCACTGTTCAAGTTTGGAGGTGTTCCACTTGCAAATGTTCAATTAACATTAAGTCAATGGGTTTTTAAAACGGGACTTTGAAAAGGCGTTCCACTTGGGAGGTGTTCCACTTACAGAGGTGTTCCACTTAGCAGGTTCTACTCTACATTACTTGTGCATGATGACCACCATAGTCTAGTTGCTCAAATGAGATCAGTTGATGATTATAATGTTAAGACTTTATGTCAATGTCCAGACTGTATGCCAACCTCTGTAGTATGTGATTACACTAGATTTCATTATGATACATGTACAAAATTGAAAACTTACATATGAAATATCTTAAGTCCTATATTCTAGTAATACATGAATTAGAATGTCACCTAACATTTGATGATGGTATGAATTTATTGATTTGGTGTCTATCAATACATGTTTCTAACTTAATGCTGCAAAATGATAAAATTCACCACATCCACTTTCTTCAATTTTCCAGGGGTAGGGCACTATAAAGTCATAATAAAATTACAAAATAGTACTTCATAACTAAAATAGTTGTATTACAATACCACACATAGCTTGGAAATGTTTCTAGAATACTACTATGAGCTGTTAAAGCTGTCATATTGTGCTTGAAGCTACAAATATAAAATTGGCAAGACAAAAATTGCGTATCTTTTTCCTGTTTTTTGTATTTTTCTGAGACCAATAAGGGTATCAACCTATAACTTTAGGATAGTATTCATATTTGTACTAGCAATGTATGGTGTACAACTCAGAACAATAGCTCATATATCCTTTGAGTTATGAACTAGTTTCATAGTACCCCCTAGAATATTTTCCTAGGGGGGTAAAAATGCCAAAATTTAGTGTCGTGACCACCCCGTTGAGCTGTCATCTTTTAATATCTTTATCAGCATGAAAAACTGATCTAGTAAAAATAGGTCTGTTGCTTTTTCTAAAAAATGCCTCAAAAACTTGAATTATTTGAATTGGAACCTGTCTAGTATGTTAGTATGATATCTATCCTTATTCCTGACCCTTTCCCTTTTAAACGGTATATCAAAACCCTCGGACAAATAACGGCATTCTTTTGAATCTCATTTGCCAAACTACAGTATCCTTTTACCTGGTTTGATGTTGCTCCATACTATATCAATGTTCTTGTCACGATCTGATCTAGCCTGCTCATGGAAAAATCCGAGGGCGTGTAGAGCCTCGTGCATTATAGTTCCTACAGAGCAGCAACCAAACCCTACTGACAGCTCCTGCTTCCCCGACTTACACCCAACCTTAGACCAGCATCTGGAATTATTTAGCCCTGCATAATGATTCAAGAATGTGAATGATAAAAAATAAAATTTGAAATTCATATACGTAAATAAGAATCGCAGATTTGTGTATAAGAGATAGATAACAGGTATGGTATTGGAAAAAAACAGTCATAACTATTTTCTAACTTGTTTTTTTGTATACGTACCCATCCTTCCTCGTGAAATGGACAAAGTTCGAAGTCATGAAACTTGTTTTCTTAATAAACTGGATACACTTTGCACCCCCTACCGCAGTTTTCATCTCAATTTCCTTCAAGGCCTTTGTTATGTTGACCATGCAGCCGCGAGCTGTTAACACAATAAACGGTTAATGTTATGATGGATATCATATCCAAATATAAGAATCCCTCAATAAGATTGCAGCATACCCGTCCACTTATTCTCAATAGCCCTATTTATACTACACGCGACATTCCAAGACGTCTTGGCTAAAACGTTTGAGAAAAAGTATGTTGAGTTTACACCACCATTTTCAAGACGTCTTACGAAATATAATTGAGTTTACACCTGTTCTTTTAAACGTCTCACACATATGTAGGTATACATGTAAAATGAAAAAAGCAGTTCAGTACTGGTTGAAGGATGGTTCAGTCAATAAGCCATTCCTTTCCCGCTTCTATACTTTGTGCTAAAGAATGCATCGGTTTCACAAAAATATTATATTTATATTTATTTTATACTATTATATTTATATTTATATGTCCTAAAGACAGAACAAATATATATGCAGATATCCCACTTCACATAATATACTATATGTGTAGTATTTCTCAAATAATAACACAATCATGTGATAAACGTTAATTCTCGTTGAATTATATTTTTCAATTTGTTAATGAAAGCATTAATTCAAACTTCAACTTACTTAAAGTAGTTTCATCGATGTCATATTGAACCTTCCCTTCTGGCCAAAACTGTATGGCTACGACGCCAGCTCTAAAAGTAGTCTCATCTTCGGCTATATCGCCATCTGCCTTATCTAAAATGCCATGTGATGTACGTGTGTATTTGTTAAAATGTTAGTAAGAATTATGCATATAATTGTGATCCACTAAGACAACGAATTAATTACCAAAGACAAGATACCTTTAAGAGAATTTCTGATTCGGATGAACATCAATACATTATTTTTAAAGTAACAGAAAATATATATAGGTGATATCAAGATATCAACACGGAGTTATGATATTGGAAAATACATATAGTTGCAGTAAATGTACTAAACTGAGTATTTATACAACTTTCAAATGCGGATAAGGTATACATTCGTTATTCACTCGGTCAGGCTCGAGATAGATATAGGAGAAATGGGAACGTATTGATATCTTCCCTTAGTCACTGCGTTCCCTCAATTGATATCAATATTTCCCTAGTGATACCCTATATTTAATTTCCGATGATAACTCCTGTATATATTTACCTCCATACTCTGCCGCACCTTCATCCTCGCCCTCCTCCTCACCTACAATGTAGAAGATTTTTTCTCAATAACACCGTGAATTTAAAAAGGGTATGATTTGAGGCTTGAGATTGAGGTTAAATGGGACACAGTGCAAAAATGGTTCCGAATGAAGTTATCCGCCCACCTTCAGATATCAAACTGGAAGTGCCCAAAGAATGAAAGAGAGATCAACGAGTATTAGAAAATACGGATGAAAGAGAGCAACTTAAGAGCACAACCAGTCAAATGGCTAACGAATCCCCAGTATCCAATAAATAAATAAAAAATCACAATCCAAAGCCTATTGGGCATGGACATGTTATCCTTACAATTACAAAACTTGTAGATTGTTGGAGAATTTATTTTACAATTACAAAGCGCTCTTGACATGGAAAACAGTTTTTAAATATTTGTTTGTCACTTCAGTCAATACATAGTCAATACATAGAAAAACATGCCTGACAATTGTGAAATGACCAGAAGGCATTATGCAAAACTTTGGGAGAGGACAGAAATAACACAGAAATAGATACAAGATAAAGTAACGATAAAGTAACGATTACAGTAGGAAATACAAGCGTGTGTGGTATACCTTGAATGCAGAACATGATGTCGAATCAAACGTTTAAAAAACCCATATGTGCATATTGGTTTACAACAACATACAGGTATTATTGTCAAGTTGAAATATTTTGCCGAGTGTCTGTTAAAATTTTATAAGATATATATGCCACCATAGTCTCTTATTTATCGAAAATGATATGCGTTGCTCTTGGTAAAACACTTAGTGAAGTCCTTTTTTCACCCCCCTAATACACACAAGAAAATTCAAACCAATTGTAAATAAATGTTTTTGATAAGATTCTATTAGTATTTCAACGTCATTTTACTATTAAAATGTGTTAAAAAATTATTTTAAACCCCTACCCCCTGTTTGAAAATGAATAGATGGCGCCTCTTTAACTGCCCATAGCGAATTCGTTTACCACACATTTTTATTCCACCGAAGATGAATTTATTCTAAAGAGTGTCTGGAACAAAATGATGCCAATCCGAGTAACGAAATCGGAGCTAGGGACAGGATCAATACATATAAAATGAAACGTGAATGGTTGAAGGGATTGGAAGTGCTGAATCAACTTCTTTAATTTACAAAATTTGTAGCAAAAATAGTTGTATTAAACATGCCAAGTAAGAACGATGTTTTCAATCTCAAATTAAAGATGGAAAAATATTATGAAAATCATTATTGCCTTCATCGTGGTTGATTTGGTTTGTTATAACAATAAAACTGTGGTTCAATGTTTTATGTATTATACTTTTCTGTTTGATCTCTGGTCAGAGTGGGAAGCTGTTATTGCAAACTCGCTGTGGGATCCACAGTCTCTAAATCCCTTAGAGGAGAGTCTTACAAGCTTCAGATAAAAAGAGACTCTGATAAATAAGAATATCTGATAAATAAGTGTATTGAAATGATTTGCCACCTTCTTGGATGTGTCAATCAAAATTAATATATTCAGCTAAACAAAACGTAGGACATAAAAGTTCTTATCTAGTATAAGAGATAATTCATATCCGGCTTAGCGGGAAGAAAGTACATTGACCTCGGGATAATCTCGATATCCTAGACCTCATATAGGATAATCTATGTGTATACAAGAAATGAAGGTTTTGAGAAACATTTACAATTTTGCATGAATATACAAATATGAAAGATAATGCCCAGCTATTTTTATAAAATCTAAGTACTGTTACTGCTTAAGTACTGTTAAACCAATGTATTCCTCAGTCATAAGTAATACCGTGGCTCGATATATATGATTGCACTATTTTCCAGTATTTCAGCTAAGTTCAGTGTATTTCTTCCACATATGTGAATATTTTCTGCCATTATGACATGAAGTATAAAAACATTATTTACAATTTACACACATATTTACTTTGTTTGCACTTAAACATCTGTTTGTTTGATTATTGTTTTCACGATCAGATTTACATTGTATGCATTATTCAATAGAAAATGTTCAAATATATTATCTTAACAATTTTGTAATATATCTGTTGTCCCGCCTATGTGAAAAATATCTGAACAAAGCTATTCATGTAATTGAGCAGAGTGTAAATGGTAACCATGTAAATTACTAAAGCATTAGTAATACCATTTTATGGAAAACACACCTTAATCTGACAATGTACATGTAGGTGAGACAAAGAAAAGCTATTTTTAATATTGGGCTTAAAATATAAAATGTTTTCTCTAATAGTTGCATATCCATTTTTATCATGGGATGTTTAGCAAAAATGCCAAGACTTCCAAAATACATACCATTTTATGAATACGATATTTGAATTCAAGACATAATTCCATTTTTTCAATAGTAAAATTATCAGACCATCATGATATACATGTATATGCCTCACTTGCGCTCTGAGCTTAGTGCTTCATCTCTTAAATTTAATGGTTGGGCAATCCTTTCTTGGTCATTTTTGATATTATAAAAATACAATTTAATTTTGATTGAAAGTTAGTTTCTGCTAAATATATTTTCTCGCAAGGATCAGTTGGTGGTTTCAACTTGCGAATGTTGATTTTATTTGTCACTTGTGTTCCAAAATCACCTTCATACCTGTCATATAGAGCTATACCTATTGCAATAGACACAATAGATGCAAAAATAGAAGATCTTCATAAAAAATAAATCACTTAATTACTTGTATATCTCAATAAAACTGGAAAAACAGAATCAACAGTTATAAAAGTTGAATACTTTTTTTTACATTTTATCAGAAGTAGTAGTTAAATTAATATACTCACTCGCACTAGTTCCCCCCTCTCCTGATTTCACTTCTTTTTTCTCATCTGATTTCTGCGTGTCTACTTTGTTGTCCAGTTCCAAATGATTTTCAATTATTTCTACTCTAGATTCCAGGTCCCTGAGTGTGTCTTCGAACACATCTTCTGATGTTTGAACCCCGTAAGTCGCTAAAAGAAACACTAGTCCAAATGCGCTAAGTAGAAATCTAGGATTCATATTGAAATCCTCACAGACTCTCTGGCGATTAAAATCACTATTTGGTCCCTGTGTTTTTCTGTTTATTCAATACCTGTTATATAACAACCGTTAATTCCTATTTAAGGCGAGTAGGCTAGTTTGGCATGTCGCGGGATTCAGTAGCGTGGAAGCGGAACGGTAACATAGCGAGATTATCTATCCTAAAACAATACATGGTGAGGGCCTGGGAATATCCGCAGCATGCTGTACAATAATCTGAAACAAACAGCTATTAATAAATTGATAAATAGAGGATTATATAACAAAAGTAATTTAATTAATCTATTGTCAAATTAATTAAAGACATTCGTATTGCATATTGTTCGATTGTTTGTCATTGTAATATACCGCATTGATGGAGTATATGATACTGTGTCGATACAAATAACAATTTAGCATCCAAATCAGTTGTATGGAATTAATACTTCAACATTCAGTTTTAAGAATTTATGATCCTCATCCTGATAATCTAAAAATCTCATCTGTAAACTTCTATTTTTTCAAAACAGTTTGCTACAGTTCATATTCAATATTGTAATGATCAGAGCCTGACATATAGAGGTCGCTACCGTTGAATTGCATTTCGGGAAATGCCTTGTGGATGCCATTGTGGGATACATAGTCTCTACAATACTTTAAAAGATAAAGATAAAGACTCTGATAACCAGAATGTGTGGAAGCTGCTTCCATTGAATGTAGAAAACCCATGGAAATCATCAATAGTTTTTCTTAAATGACGAACCCCTCTTTGAGAGCTGACATCACTCAATGAATCTATACAAGGTAATGAATTCTCTGTACTCGGAAATCCTTGTTAAATACCCATGTTGTAATAAAGGTCTGGACTCGTTCAAAGTCGGATATCTCATTATGGTTAATTCTTTGGCCTTTTTCACCATTACTTTTTTTGTACTGTTTCAATAAAATCAGAAGGAAATATATACGATTTCGGTGTAACCTCAACACAATTCTCTAAGTCTTAGAAAGAGTTTTAACTTTAATCATACGATAAAAGATTCCCGATTTAATTATTCAAAACAAAACGCGGTTTTGCTAATGGTATCATTAGTAAGCCCTAAAAATAGATCAGTTCTATATTATGTTAGTATTGAAAAATTCAAAGATGCATGTCTAAAAATCTAATAACAGAGCTACGCAATGAGATCAGTTTTGATCTCTAAATATCTTATCTGTGTCTCAGGTCTATTGTTTTGTTCTATTGTTCCCTGTATCCAAAATCAGTTCTGTCCAAAATTTCAATTTGGAAGGATTAACGATGCCTTTCAGTGAAAGCGATAAGGTTTCTATTGAAAACTGTTTCAAGGTGAAAGGATGGGGTGGAAGATGAATCTTAAAGGAATTAAGAGTTGGAGTCATGCAACTTTAAATATACTTATGGGCAAAGATAGATGCAATACATCAAGAAATTATTAAAGGACAGGATAATTACGTCACGGGAGACGATACCGTTGAAAGAAATATATAAAAGCACGTCTACTTGAAAAACTCTCTTTCAAGCATATACAAATACAATCTAAAGGCTCCATCTAAAGTTGCAAAATATGTTCTTAACATTCATTTACTATTTTTCATGACTATAAAGTTATTTTAGAGATTTTTGAAATAAAAATTTCAAGGGGAAAAAGTTGTCAAAGGATGTACTATTTGAATAGTAAAATGTCATACCTAATGTGCCATTTAAATGGATCAGCATATTAAAAAACTTGTGCCCCCTTAATGACATCGTGATTAGGGTGCAAAGATCAATTTTTTAAAAAAAAATTCTAAATACGCTAAACTTTCAAAATAAACCAATATTGATTGCATATCTAGATTGAAAGGAAGAATTTATTATGTTTTAGATATTGTCCTACCATTGATTTCTATGAGAACTAAAATTTTGAAATGCATTTTTCTTTGAACCACTTCTATGCATAGATGGGTTCATTTCTTCTACACGTGAGGATAAGTTCTACACATTGGTGTGAAAAATGGGTTATTAAAACATATTTGTGGGCTCTAAATTTAGTTTTAAATAAAGAAGTGGTATCGTTATGGAGAACTTTTTTAACACACGTTTCTCTTAAACCAGTCATAAAAATCTAAAAATTTAACACATCGTCAATTTAATGGTCATCTTTTGAATGGTAACAATATAATTTGAAATATATATATATATATAGTCTATATATACTTTCATCTATATTGTTTTAGAAAACACTTGTTTTGTTCTTGGTAGCATGTTTCCAGAGTGAAATGAAACATCTTTCCTAACCTCATTGGAACAAAACGACATAAACACAACATGTTTAGGTCTCTCAATATTGTAATTGTACAAAGCAAATTTTGGTTGATTTTAAAAAAGTATCTTGTTCATGAAATAAAAGGTTTATCTTGATTTTTATCTATTTTTGGGGATTTTGTTTTACTTTTGTGAATACTTTTTTAAAATCAACCAAAAATTCCTTTGTATAACTATAATATTGAGAGGTGTAAACATGTTGTATATGCTATTTTGTTCCAACAAGGTTCGGAAAGACATTTTATTTCATTCTCAAGAATTGGTAGAAAGATGCAAAAACAATTGGACTAAAAAACAAAAAATGTTAACAAAAACAGTTATATAAAATATTTCTAAATAATTTCCGCATTAAATTGTTGTCAATTAGTAAACATTACATAAAATACCGTTTTTTACAGAATGTTTTCAGTGATTGGTTTAAGAGAAAAATATTGTTGAATTCAGTTCTCCTTATCGATACCACTCCTTTACGATTTTTCGAACTAAAGGGCCTTCAAAAATCAATTTTTGAAATTTAAAAACAAAGTTTCACATATCACATTTTTATAACATTCGGTAAGACTTTAATATAAGCAAAAGTGTATATGGGGCCTTTAAGGCTGACAATATGATGTCAAAGGATAGTTATCGATATGGTGAACTGAATTGAACAATGTTTTTCTCTTAAACCAATTATTGAAAACATTCTGTAAAAAACACGATCCTTTTTATAATGTTGACTGATTGGCAACAATTTAATGCAAAAATTATTTATATATTTTATACAAGTGTTTTTGTTAACATTTTTGTTTTTAGTCCAATTGGTTTTAGTTCATTTCTACAAATTCTTGAGAATGAAATAAAATGTCTTTCCAAACCTCGTTGGAACAAAACAGCATATACAACATTTTCTAAGACCTCTCAATGTTACAGTTACACAAAGGAAATGTTGGTTGATTTAACAAAAAGTATGCAAAAACTTAAAATAAAAAAACCCAAAATAGATAAAAATTAAGATAAACCTTTTATTTCATTAACAAGATACTTTTTTAAAATCAACCAAACTTTCCTTTGTACAATTACAATATTGAGAGATCTAAACACATTGTGTTTATGTCGTTTTGTTCCAATGAGGTTCGGATAGATGTTTCATTTCATTATATGTTACCAAGAACAAAATAATTGTATGATGTGTTTTCTATAACAATATAGAGAAAATGATACAATTTTATTTCAAATTATAATGTTACCATCCAAAAGATGACCATTAAATTGACGATGTGTAAAATTTTCAGAATTTTTTGATGAGTGATTTAAGAGAAACGCGTGTTCAAAAAGTTCATCATATCGATACTAGTACAACTCCTTTATTATATTACATTCATTCTTCTTCTTACAATTGTCAAATCATGAAGAAAAGTGTGTTATTTGTTTACCTATTTGTATTGTTTGCAGTGTTCTCCCCAAAAAAAATTTTCAACTGGGTGCAAGATTTCAAGTCTGAAAAAATCAGCACTAGCTACGCTCACAATATCTCCGTGTAGGTGCTTACTTCACCCATTTTTCAAATCAGAGGTTGAAATGCAGATGCCAACTGGGTGCCAACTGGGGGGCCTTTGGTTTCAAGTAGGGGGAGCCCCCGGTAAAAGTGACATGGGGAGATCACTGGTTTGTTTACTTTATCACATGCTGTTGTTTTGGTGAATTTAAAGATGGAGATCTTGACTAAAAGATATAGAGACAAGTTTAGAGTTGGGTCACTTTATTTTGCTCTCGTTATTCTATGTACAGCGTGACCCCGTTCCACAATAACAGCCTAACAGGTGTTCGCATTTCAGTTTTTTTAAATATGAGAATCAATGGAAGATAAAGAAGTTAGGACAAAAGAAGTGTTCAGATTGTGAGATGCTCAGATAAGACATGTTTAAAATTGTTCAAATATTTATTGTTTCTTACTCGTAACACACTTTGCCTGACATATGTACAATGGAAGGTTTGTATTCCTTGTGAAAATGTGAATCGGTGCTCATTATCCAACATCGTGTGGGATTTGGGCATTCAATTACGATAGTAATAATTTAATTATTAGCATTATTGCACACTGTAAAATAACTTATCGTTTCCACTCTGAACTTCTTATAACCAGTCTCCTAATAAGATCACGAGTGAGTAAATATTTTACAGTGTACAGAGTATTAAGTGTATGATATTGTATAAATATCAATATTGTTAGAGGGTCATGTGGGGTTGACTCCATGCATCCATACATAAGGATGTCATTTTATCGTCTTCCATATGTTCTAGACCTTGTGGGCGGATACCTTGGCCTAGTTACTGTCACAGGCGTTCGGGAATAAGTTCTCGAGCCAGTCGAGGCTGTTCTCGAGCCAGTTGAGGCTGTTCTTGAGCCAGTTGAGGCTGTTCTCGAGCCAGTCGAGGCTGTTCTCGAGCCAGTCGAGGCTGTTCTTGAGCCAGTTGAGGTTGTTCTCGGGTTACTTGACGTTCTTGAAGCAAATGTCCTTGATGAAGTTGATGATGAGTCTGCAGGAATACCACTTCCAGTGCCTTTGAAGTAATTGAAATGACATGTTTACTTCAATTAGTTAGGTTTAATAATTACATGTTAATTTTACCCTGGCAAATAGGTTCGCATGGTAAAATAACATGTAGAATTCTAATAGGACCTTTCTCGATCAACGATTTCATTTGTTCATAACTTTAGATAGCTTTGAAACTCAGTATAAAATGCAAGATGGGATCCACACAAAGTAGGCTTCAAAGTATGGCCACATTTTGAAAAGAAAATAGCTCAGTCAAAGTCAACGAGACAATAAATCAAGATAAAGATAAAAAGTAATTTCCAAGAACATGATGCTAAACTTTCCTTCAAATTGTGTAATACAAGAAAGCCCCACTTATGTAAATGTAGATGTGTTCATAAATCAGAACCTCTATAATCATTTGAGGTTGGATTGAGTATATTTTTCAATAGTGCGCACCTTGATTTGGCATATTCTGCATGAGAACAAATAATAGATGATTGTCGTATAATATGTAAACTCCTTTGTAAGATATGATCATTGCAAAGAACGAAGTTCCGATATTTGTCAGAAAAATAAATTACATACAAAATGGTATATAACATTACAACCTAAACTATTGATAGACATAGATACAATCATACGATACACTCATATCTGACAGGGGATGATTTGCAACAATACTGAGTTTAAGCTTGCAATGCTTTTCACAACCTAAAAGTGGACAGGAAATATTTTAAGGTCGACACAGGCCGGGCCAGACGATTTTAATATTATTGTTTTATAATTGTATGTATTTTAAATGGCGTGAGACATAAATAAAATATAACATAACATAACATTTAAACGATGCATTTGTATGGGCGATCAGTCATACTTATAGGTTGGCGTTTCAATTTTATATGCAAGCTTAAACTCCCTAATTTCAACCATTGCACTAAATACAAGCCAGATCCGCTCACTAATCCGAGAATTGTTCTAAGCGTTCCAAATTGCACAATAGTTATTTAGATGCATATTACAAAATTTCAGTCACCTTCTGTGCCCCGCCCTTATAACAATAAAAACATTAATTTCACCCAAAAATAAATAAAATAAGGATACTGTGTCTTTATTTTTGACACATCAAATTGGCAAAATATCAAAACTCAGGTAATTTGTGTATATGGCAAAGATTATTTGAGATACTACAATAATGAATTTTTATAGCCATTGTCATTTATGGCAATCAAATTTTATTGTGACCATTTTGCAAGGACAATGTTTTCCAAATAATTTGCGTCGCTTTATTTTTGAAATTAAAATAATTGCATTTCATTTTGATTGAAAAGCGTATGATAAATGCTTTAAATTTATGTAACAGTCGTCTGATAAGCTTTGACGCTATCTGCTAGTGACAAAAAGCCCTGTTATCCCATATTTCACCCTAATCTCGTTCACGTCATTATAATCCCACTTCACTTCAAAATATATTTTTTGATGATCAATGCAACATTACAAGCTATATAACTTCAATACCTGTGCATTTATACATCCTTGATACTGCCTTGATGTCCTGGTCACTAAGGTGAGTTCGTTGTCCAAAAACTTTATTACTCGCTTTTTTGAGATCAATAGTTTTGAATCCCTTTCCTTTTGTAAATGCAGCTGGTCCATAATGCATTATACTTTCCGTATCATAACTATCCTTGTACTTTTCAATGCCCCCTTTAGGTTGCATATCAAAGTTGCCAGACCAACCTAAAATTCGAATCTAGTTCTAGAGCGTATAATTTGTGTGCGGAAATGCATTGTTAAACTATAAATAAACCCGATGACAAAATGGGTAGTGGAAATTTTGCATTTAAAATATCAGATGATATTATTCAAAGATGAAGATAATATAAGCAGAAACGATAATTTTTTTTATTTCTAAAAATCATTCCTGATTGTTGATAAATATACAAATTAGAGACTTTCGTAGCTGAGAAGGATACACAAGATCGGTTCTCTGAACAAATTCTTACCCGGTTTGATGTTTTTCCAATGTATTATAATACTCGAATCACGATCGTATCTTGCCTGCTCATGGAAAAAACCGAGGGCGTGTAAAAGCTCATGCATTATTGTTCCTGTAGAGCTGCAACCAAATCCTATTGACAGTTCCTGCTTCCCACCTTTCATGCCAACCTTGGACCAGCATCTGTAATGATTGAATTTACAATGGCGAAACAATTCTAATTCTACTTAACTAGTTACCGCAGTGCTCGTGCTAAATAAGTAGTTTTTCTAGTAAAATCTAAGTACCAGTATATATGGACCTTGTCACCAAAGATCAAATCTCTCTATTGATAATTAAAAGCAAGCAAATAGAGGGTATTGATAAACGAACCATATAATCATAATATTAGGAATTAAATACACACCCGTCCTTTTTCGTTATAAAGATATAATTCCTGGTCAGCATACTTGTTTTTTTGGTAAACCGTATACATATTGCACGACCTATCGTTGTCTTTGTTTGGATTATCTGCATGGCCTTTGTTATGTTGGCTATGGTACTGGCAGCTGAAAGGATGAACATAATTTTTTTTAATTTGTGTGGCTCCGTACCAATGGCATCATTCACCAATAGGCTAATAATTTAAATATATTTAAGGAGACATTGATGTTACTTAAACTATCATCAATGTTAGGAAAAATTAAGAGATGGAATGTGAAAGGAGGAAATACAGCAATCTAAGCGAATTTTCGAAGGTCCACGAAATGTATTGTGTAAATCACAATTAGTTGGTATTCTAAGATGCTGTTATAGATATGTAAAGATAAAAACGCAGACTTGATACAACTCCTATATTTATGGATTTATTGATTGCAATTTTCACCTTTTGAACTTCTAATTAAAAATATCATCTAAACTTACTCAATTTAGCTGCATCAATCGAATAATAAACTTTCCCCTGTGGCCACATTTTCGTAGCAATGGCACCAGCCCTAACCTTTGCTTCATCTTCAGCCATGTCGCCTCCTGCCTTATCTAAAATGACACATTTATACGATGGTAAACTATTTGACCGGTGACAACACATAAAAAGAAGCATTTGAAAAACGTCAATTACCAACTACCTGTACATATCAAAACATCGAGAAACCCCTAGTAAAAGTGTTAGAAAAAATAATTATAAAAAGACTAGTTTAAAATATGCTTTTCGAGGATGTATAACTGAGGATTTGAGACATTTCATTTTCGTAGTGATTTATTGAAATGGCATGATGTCCATGCTTATCCAATGCTTTTTCGAAATTATCATATTCTTTACCCCTCCTCCCCATCACGCATAGTCAATACTCAAAACAAACCACTGTTATAAAGAGATATGTGGCCATATCCACGTGTTTGTACTGGTATAAAAGAATATGTCCAACCGGGCGAAAGTACTGGTTTAAACAGATATATGACCATAAAATGGCATTATCAACCCGAAAGAACTGGCACATCACACCACAGAAATGTGATCATATAAAATGACATTATCCATCTGTACGTACTGGTTTAAACTAATATATGGCCATATAAAATGTCATTATCCACCCAAGCGAAAGTACTGGTATAAACAGATTTTGACAATATAAAATATCATTATCTACCCGAAAGTACTGGTATAAACAGATTTTGATCATACAATGTTAGTATCCACCCGAAACTACTGATATAAACAGAATATGACCATATAAAATGTAATTATCCACCCGAAAGCACTGGTATAAACAGATTTTGACCATAAAATGTCATTATCCAACTGTAAGAACTGGTATAAACAGATATATGGTCATATAAAATGCCATTATCCATCTGTAAGTACTGGTATAAACAGAATATGACCATATTGAATGTCATTATCCAGTCGAAAGCACTGGTATAAACAGAATATGACCATATAAAATGTCATCATCCATCTGCAAGTACTGGTCTAAACAGATTTTGACCATAAAATGTCATTATCCAACAGTAAGAACAGATAACAAAATAAAGTGTCATTAAATTCACGGCTAATTATATTTAGGACAACCTTTTTTATATCTAGTACTATCTATACTAAAGCATTGATTAAGTAATCTTGTTTATAATCACCTCCATATTCTGGTTCTGCTTCATCCTCGCCCTCCTCCTCACTACCTAGAATAAATATACAATCAATGAAAAGAAAGATTCAAATGTGGCAATCTTCTAGATTATATCCTATCAAAATACAAAACGTATCGGAAGTTTGTCGTTTGTGAGTACATGATATAAAACTAGATTGGATTGCCCTTATAAATAAGAATGGCCATGATTTGTTGAAAAAATTGTCATTACACTTATATTTATTTTCCAATAACTTGCATTATATGTATTTTCTTTATTCGGGGATGTGCCTGTAATGCTTTTAGGGCGATTGACATTATTACATTTTGTTAATTGTAATCTAGTGATTTTTGCAATAAATGCTGGAAAGGGAACTCCGTTTTTCCATCTGACTAAGTCGATGAAAGAGAGTTTAACTTGCTTTCATTCCAGAGAATAAAAGAATAAAATAAACGAGATGTTGGTATGCATTTAAAAGAATAAAAATGGAATGTTGGAAATGAGAAAAGGAAAGAAATATCAGTATTGCTAATTTAGAAATTGGATTTTCACACCGAAAAAGTGCTTTTATAGCGGTGTATTATTATAATCAGATCTATTCTACAAGTTTAATAAGCAATAATACAATTTTTTTCAAAGGTACTCACCATACATTTAGTTTCAATTTATATATTTTCAAATTAACTATGACCGTTTTTACAAATAGTGTTTGCTATAAATGCAAAAATAAAAGATGGGTAAAAAATATTTTTTAGGGATAATACATTTGACGGACAATGTATTTACCATGTGTAATAACATTTACTGGAATTAGAGCTTTTGAAGGATTTGTATGCAACCCTTCCGATAATCTCTATACAATTGCTAAAATACATGTATACGAGTGTTGACGCTCGCCTATTTTCAAAATGGCTGCCAATTTTGTCTCGCGAAATTCACTTTTGACCCATTTCCTAGCTTTACAAATAATTTCAGCTGTCCTACATTGTAAAAATCCATGTCAATGTAAAGAGTAGATATATGAAATAATTTTGTTACAAAAAATCAGCAAAAAATTATATCCATTTTTTTTTATTTTCAGCCATTTTAGTTAACATTGATTTGTCCATCTGACTCGCGAAATCCACTTTTCCGTCAACAACAGTGGCACGTTTAAAAACCTCTGTCGATGGGATTCCTGTTTTAAGTTATTTGTGTGGACCAAAAAACGTACACATTTTAACCAATCCTTATTAAAAAATATATATACTGTTAGTCTGCCACATTTATTATATGCACTTAGTATTTCCCTTCATTTGTCATTAAACGTGGAGTACACATACGAAAAATATTCATTATACATGGATGGGAAACAATGTAGTTGAAACTACCTACTTGTACTAGCACCACCGCTTTCTTCTTTCTCTTCTTCTTTTTCATCTTCCTTTTCCTTTTCTACTTCTTTCTCCAGTCCCAAGTAAGATTCGATGCGTTCTAGTCTTCCAACCACGTTCTTGAGTGCTTGTACTTCATTCTCATATTCGGGCTCAACCTCTTCAGACGTTTGAACCCCGTAAGCCGCTAGAAAAAACACCAGTCCAACTGCACTAAGTAAATTTCTTGGATTCATGTTGAAATCCTTGCAGCCTGCTCCTCTGCACTATAATTCGTTCTTTGGCCTCTATGGTGATGTGTTTACGGAGCACCAGTTATATACTAGATATATTATATAAAACAAATATATATCATTTTGGCATGTCGGGGATTTGGAGGTTTAGAACCGGAACGAAGGCTTCAAAGTTACCTATGTTTCAAAAATACATACTACGGGCCGGAGAATGACCACAGATTGCAATGATCTAAAATAAATCTTAATATGAAGTGATCAATCAATAAACTGGTCAGGTATGGACACTTTATTTTGTACAGCCTAGCTATATATCATTCTATTAACGTGTGAGATGAAAACTGTGGGGAATCTGTTATTACCTAGAGACCCTTTGTCTGATAAGCAGCTAGAAATTAAAAATAGACGTTGGAGAGACTGAGGCGAAATATTCTCTTTCTTCTTGTTGGAAAATAAGTTACAAGCTTAAATGATGTAGGGTGATATCAAAGGTTTGAGACGTGCAAAACTAGTATATCCTCACCTTTACACAATCTTACTTTAGTTGGGTCAGTAGAAAATAAACTTTGGAACCGTATATAAGATACAAACTTAATTTTTTCACCAACAGTATATAAGTAACAACATCAGTAGTAATAGAGAACAATTATTCTAATACGAAAATAAGGTGCATTGAAGATATCTTATGATTTCCTTTACACCCAATATAGCGAAATGTTTGAAGGTCAAATGAAAATGAACTTAAAATCATAATGTCAACTTTGCTTTCAAGTATTAGATACAAACTTAAATTTATTTAATGATATCAAAAATTAAGGAAAAATATATTGAAATGAAAATAAGTTAATATATAATAGCTTATATATGCATAATATAATCCTTATACGGTCAAAATCTACTAATTCACTGTTCCACAGCTGGGTGACACTAACTACAGTTAGCGTCATTCGAGATGATTGCCGAAAATCTTTAGTTTTCGACAAACCTCATTCAGCTAAACCAAGTTAAATCTGGATTCCAAAAGTTTCGCCATGGAAACTAATAAAGCTACGATTGTAAACAACAACAGAAAAATGCTCTAACAGCCGCAATATTAGAGGATTTTAAAGAAAACTGCTTCACTTAGAATGACTCTGAAGTCAAACTGAAGTTGAAGACAACTGATGTTGTCATCATTCAATTCAGTTAGAGTCATTCTAAGTGAAGCCGTTTTCTTTCAAATTCTCTAATATTGCGGGTGTTTGGGCATTTATTTGTATTTTTACAATCATAGTTTGTAATGTCATCGGAAAAACAGGTTTTGCTGAAAGGGAAACTAGCTGCAAAATTACAATGCGTGTCACACTGCATACAAAGTTGACAATGGAGAGAATGCAGTCTAGGATTTATAATATAGACCTTGCTCAATACTCATCAGATGAAATCGAGCTCCATTTCCGTGTTTTTGGACTCCCTAAAGAGTCAATGGTTTCATTCTGATGTGAAAATTGCAATGGCAGCCAGATTGTATGACTGAACAACAAAAATGCATTGAAGCAGATACAGATTACTTTTAAGTGAATATTATATCCAATGGGCATTGACCTAGAGTGCTCGAGTTATAAAATATTGTATCATTTGCAGAAGTGATATGCCCAGGATTAAATATTTCTAATTACTCAGATGCAAGTAGGTAGTTACCAGTCTCGCCACCAGGTGGCTGATTCGGGGAAAATAACATGGCGGGGTATTACAAAATTCCCTTAAAATTTAATATTCATCAGTTTAAGTGGCTCACTTTTCATATTAACTCTATGTATCTGATAGTTATACGATATATCCAATAAAAGAAAATATCTGCCCAACACAAGAAAAGATATTTCACTTTTTGTGATTTTACAACGTGTGGAATCCCCCCGACCTAGAAGTCACATTTTCAAAGAAAATAAACTATTTTCAAAACCACTTTACTAGATGTAATTGTACATGTAGATTCCAAATATGACATCAGTTTGACTGAATTTTGAATTTTAAATGAGGTAAATCAAGATTATTTCTACTCGCATCTAGTCTAGTGATGTTAAATGTAACGTAACAGGTGTTGTGTCAAGAACCATGTTACAAAGGATAGGTATCGATATGGTGAACTGAATGCAACAATGTTTTTCTCTTAAACCAATTATTGAAAACATTTGGTAAAAAACACGGTCCTTTATGTAATGTTGACTGATTGGCAACAATTTAATGCAAAAATTATTCATATATATTTTTCATAACTGTTTTTTTAACATTTTTTGTTTTTTAGTGCAATTGTTTTTGTTCCTTTCCTCCAATTCTTGAGAATGAAATGAAATGTCTTTCCTAACCTTGATGGAACAAAATAGCATATACAACATTTTTTTAGACCTCTCAATATAATAGTTATAAATACAAAGGAAATTTGGGTTGATTTAACAAAAAAACATGCAAAAACTTAAAATAAAACCTCCAAAAATAGATTAGAATTAAGATAAACCTTTTATTTCATTCAATTTATTAAATTAAAAGTCAATCATACAATGTTTCATACAATACATGAAAAAGACACCCCACGTGGCGTATACATTTCGTGGCTAAATAGATTTTCAACATTCATGTTTTACTTTCAATTTAATTGAAAAAAGAACAGATGGAAGCACAAAGTATCACTGGTATTGATTAATAAGTTCACGTTTGATCATTTTTTCGAACTGTTTTATATGGTTTGCCTTTTTAAAATCTGTTGATAAAGAATTATAAAGTGTCGCTCCACTGACCGCAATTGATTTAAGACCAGTTTCAGTTCTAAATTTCTTTATTACCAAATTATATTTATTTCTCTATCATGGGAATGTATGTCAATTCACTCTCGAAAAAAGCTTGAAATTACGAGATGGAAAATCTTTTGATTAAGTCACAGTTTTCTGCACAAATGTAGCAATCTGAAGTTTATTTATGTCAAAAATATTTAATATTTTGAACTTTTCTGAAGATAGAATTCGAAGGAGCAGTTCTTGGAGAGTCTATCATTATTCTAAGGAATTTCTTTTGTAAAACAAAAAGTCTGCTCAAACATGTCAAATGATTTTTCGTTGCATTGCCCCATAGAATATTCCCATAACTAAGATAGGAATAAACTAAAGAAAAGTAAGTAGTTAACAAGGCATTCAATGTCAATTTATGCCGAGTTTTATATATCAATCCAATTAAATTCGAAATTTTGGTGCAGAGTGTATTTATATGAGGAGCCCATGTTAGCTTAGAGTCAATAATTACACCAAGAAAATTGATATGATTTACCCTTTCTGTTAGTTGATTATTTAATTTTATTTCAAAGTTGTAAATTTTATTAACTCTTTTTTTGTCAAAAATCATAAATTTAGTTTTTTCTACATTGAGTGTAAATCTATTAGAAATCATCCAGTCATTAACCTTTTTTAATTCTTCATTTATGTCTTTCTTCAGATTATTAATGTTATCATCAGTCAATAGAATATTTGTTTCATCTGCATAGAGAACAAATTTGAGTTTATCTGACGTTAAATAAATATTTATAAAGATAATAAATAGGAGGGGACCTAAAACAGAACCTTGTGGTATCCCATATTCAATATTAGAAGTAGATGATAGACCTACTAGAATTATTTGATATTTTAAGATACTTTTTAAAATCAACCAAACTTTCCTTTGTACAATTACCGTCGATATTGAGAGACCTAAACACGTTGTGTTTACGTCGTTCTGTTCCAATGAGGTTCGGATAGATGTTTCATTTCATTCCGAACATATGATACCAAGAACAAAAGAAGTGTCTGATGTGTTTTCTAACACAATATAGAGAAAGGTATATATATGTATATATCAAATTATAATGTTACCATCCAAAAGATGACCATTAAATTGACGATGTGTAAAATTTTCAGAATGTTTTGATGAGTGGTTTAAGAGAAACGCGTGTTCAAAAAGTTCAACTTATCCAACCTCTCCATTAAATGTGTGTGATAAAATGTAACATGAAATCGGGTATGTGCACTCATTATTGCAACCCTGAAAATATATGCATAATCTAGAAAGATTCGCTGAAAACTTAAAATGGAAGACCCAGTCGCATTACTTTGTATATAACATTAACTGTTATTAGATAATTTTCGACAAAGGTTTTAATTCTACTTACACTGATACGTATGTTAATAAGTATAAGTGTAAGTTACAGATTAAAATCATGTTTTGATTTAAGTATTAGATAACTCATACTTATTTCAGGTTATTTTTTCATTACGAATGTGTTATTTCCACACAATAAGCAAAAACATTTGTGCATAAATGTGTACAAGTACATATCATTTATTTGAATGATGAGCATAAGGTGACTGTATTTTGGTACATAGGTCAACATTTGTGGGTCACATATTTACAAGCCTTCAGTCCTGCTCATTGATGGATCCAGTGCCTCTCATCTTCAAATTACTTGTCCAAAACATTAAGACACCATCGATGTCTTCACTGTCTGTACACATCAAGTCAGGAAAGTGTGCTTCTTCATGGTCTGCGCGAGTCGAGGTGTTCCCCCTATCCGAAAGGTCTTCTTGAGACCTGATCATGGAAGGACTTCAACAGTGACCCTGCCTTACTCAAAGGACGGCGTGGTGTATCAATTTTGGACAATTTGAATTTTAACAGGGAGTATTGTTAGGGCACACATTCCTCGTTTTACATCAGAACAATATGTTAGCTACAACTTAAGCAGTGGCTACTGACAAAGTGCAAGAGGAACTTCTCATATGGCTAAAACGAGCAAAAACGAAATATCTTTTAAATGGGGAAAACATTTTTGAAAAACTGAGGAGATGAGCTACTAATCCATTATGTATCGGTATAATGCAAATTGCAATATTTTTTTGGCTTAACATTTACCCAAAATGACAAAAAATAATCAGATCTAGAGTTTTATAGAAACATCAGTGAACATTTGAAATTGATCTACCTAACGGTTCACCTGAAAACGCGTAGACAAGACTTTACAGACAAGATTTTAGGACGGAAAATCCAAAATGGCTGCCTTGATATTTACCCAGAATGCAAAAATACTAATTAGATCTAGATTTTCATAAAAAGAATCATCCCTGAAACTTTGGAATTGATCTACCAAACGGTTCACCTGAAAACGCGGAGACAAGACTTTACAGACAAGATTTTAGGATGGAAAAATCCAAAATGGCCGACAATTAAAAAATGATTGCGAGTTTTTGCTGATTTTTTTTTACAAAATCATCGCATATAACTACTGTTAACAATAACATAGGCTTTTATAACAAAGTACACCTGAAATTATTTATAAACCTACTAAATAGTTAAAGTAGGACAACTCAAGTATTATCGCACGCTTACTTTTCTTAAGACATTCAAAATGGCCGCCATGACTGAGCTAACAGGTCCAAAACCTATTCAGATGTAGAATGAAATGAGCTAAACAAGATGTCAACGTTTTAAAAGCAACTGTGAAGCCGTTTTTCTAAAGGTTTGTAGACAAGGATTTTAGCATTTGACTTCAAAATGGCCGACAGGAAATAGGTATCTAAAACGTTCATCCATATCTGTATGCACTCATAAGTTATGCCTTGACATTTACCCAGAATGCCAAAAAACGAATCGGTTCAAGAGTTTTATACTAAGAATCATCAGTGAACATTTGAAATTGAACTACTTAACGGTTCACCTGAAAACGCGTAAACAAGACTTTACAGAAAAGATTTTAGGACGGAAAATCCAAAATGACTGCCTTGACATTTACCCAGAATGCAAAAATACTAATTAGATCTAGATTTTCATAATAAGAATCATTCCTGAAACTTTGAAATTGATCTACCAAACGCGTAGACAAGACTTTACAGACAAGATTTTAGGATGGAAAATCCAAAATGGCCGACAACAAAAAAGTGATTGTGAGTTTTTGCTGATATATTTTTACAAAATTATCGCATATAACTACTGTTAACAATAACATAGGCTTTTACAGCAAAGTACACCTGAAATTATTCATAAAGCTACTAAATAGTTAAAGTATGACAACTCAAGTATTATTGCACGCTAACTTTTCTTAAGACATTCAAAATGGCCGCCATGACTGAGCTAACAGGTCCAAAACCTATCCAGATGTAGAATGAAGTGAGCTGAACAAGATGTCAACGTTTTAAAAGCAACTGTGAAGCCGTTTTTCTAAAGGTTTGCAGACATGGATTTTAGCATTTGACTTCAAAATGGCCGACAGGAAGTAGGTATCGAAAACTTTCATCCATATCTGTATGCACTCATAAGTTATCCCTGAAAAGTTGAAGGTGATATCTGTAGCGGTTTTGGAGAAAACTGCCGGACGGACGGACGCGCCTAGGCCAACAATACTTATGGCCCCACACTATGTGGCGGAGACATAATAATCGCACTTTTCCCGTGGTAGAGGCATTTGGTACTTGAGCTCATAATGACAGGATCATAACTTCTATCAAAAATCTAAAACAAAAAAGCTAAATCTATAAATGGAACAGTAAAATCCCATCGAAATAAAAATCGACGAAAGACCTCAAAACAATGCCCTTCTGCATTAATACACCTCTGGTATCTATCTCATCACTATTTTACATGCATATCTTTGGAGGCATTAAAGCATTACTTAAGTGATGTACTGACAGCAATCTTGATTTCATCAAGAAAAAGTAGTCCCAGCAAACAAATGGTGGACATGAAATACTAAGATGTCAATATGGTTTGAGCCTCATTATACTCCAACGATGCAAGAAGTACATCTTTGTATGCTCTTTTGATGTTCCTTAGTAAGGTAAGATGATTTGTGGAAAGGACCATGTGCAATATTGCAAGTGATTATTGCAAGTGATTCTGTAGCGGTTTTGGAGAAAACTGCCGGACGGACGGACGCGCCTAGGCCAACAATACTTATGGCCCCACACTATGTGGCGGAGACATAATAATCGCACTTTTCCCGTGGTAGAGGCATTTGGTACTTGAGCTCATAATGACAGGATCATAACTTCTATCAAAAATCTAAAACAAAAAAGCTAAATCTATAAATGGAACAGTAAAATCCCATCGAAATAAAAATCGACGAAAGACCTCAAAACAATGCCCTTCTGCATTAATACACCTCTGGTATCTATCTCATCACTATTTTACATGCATATCTTTGGAGGCATTAAAGCATTACTTAAGTGATGTACTGACAGCAATCTTGATTTCATCAAGAAAAAGTAGTCCCAGCAAACAAATGGTGGACATGAAATACTAAGATGACAATATGGTTTGAGCCTCATTATACTCCAACGATGCAAGAAGTACATCTTTGTATGCTCTTTTGATGTTCCTTAGTAAGGTAAGATGATTTGTGGAAAGGACCATGTGCAATATTGCAAGTGATTTTAGACTGTCATATCTTTCAAAATGGCCATAAATAAAATGGTTTTATTTAAAACAATATGTTTTCTTTCAAGTGAAGTCCCTATGATAATTAAAATAATATCAATCGAACAATTCGAAAAATTATGAATGGGGACCACATGTCAACAATTTTTCAAAATATTGAACCTATTTACTCAAAAGGGGATCTTCCTTTTCTGATTTTTATTGGATGAAAAGATTATTCAGCTACGGGTCTAAAACTTCTTCAAACGAAGAATGGATTGAAAGTATAGTTTTGAAGATATCAATTTTCGGTGACCAAAATTATGCTGAAAACAATGGATAGAACCAACATCCACCTGCAATTCATAGTTATGGAAAATGCGTTTAAATGTGATTTCCACTTTGACACGTCTCTTTATTCAAGAAATACATTAATTTACATAAAGAAAACACATTTTAAAAACAAATGGCTGCCATTTTTTGTACTTTTGATTTAATTAACCGTTAATACCAGCACTTAAAGGGAAGACAAAATAATGAAACTATATTTCTTCATGACCTTTTGAATTCGACCAAGATTTGGCAATTGTGTTATACAAGCGAACTCTGAATGAATGGGTCGGGTCGTTCTTGATGGCTGGTGTAACTTACACTCCTCAACTCAATGTAGTGTCTTAATTGACTGTAATTTAAAAAACTGTTAAAAAACTGTAATTGCTGAAATAAGACATAACAATACATAATATTATTCATGATCCGTACACCACCATGTCCATTCACCATGACTTTCTTTGGGAAATTTCGTCAAGGGCAATTTTAATGCAAAAATACCGTATAATAGTATCATGGCATAGAAAGGTAAATCCCTGGCCCGGATTATACATGGGTATTAACGACACGATAGATTATATTATGTATAAGAATGTGTAATAACTAATAATTATGACCATGTGTTTCAAGTTAATTCTTTACTTCAGTAAACGCCTTGTGATTGACATTATTATCATAAAATAAATAAATAAAACAATATTTTTGATGACGACAGTGGTATGATACTCTTTAAATGATAATATGAATCTCATTATAGTACACACACTTGAAGTAAGGTCTGTTAATTCAAAATCGACTGTCCCTTTAACCAGTGGTTAACTTCCTTTGAAAATATTGATGACGCTCTCCAATTTAACAAGTTGTATTATCACTTCACAGTAGTCTTAACTTTGATGCCATCATGCCATTGTTCTATCCATACGTGCGTCTCTTATATGGAGCTCGTGTGGTAGGACGTTTGCTATAATAAGAACGACGAGTTGCTACCGCGGGCTGGCGAGTGGTTGGTGGTGGTCGACGAGTGGTTGGTGGTGGTCGACGAGTGGTTGGTGGTGGTCGACGAGTGGTCACCGGCCGTCGCCGCGTTGTAACTGGTTTGCGACGAGCTGTAATAGGTGATCGACGTGTTGTTACTGGCGGTCGACGAGTGGTAACTGGTGGTCGCCGCGTTGTAACTGGTTTGCGACGAGCTGTAATAGGTGATCGACGCGTTGTTACTGGCGGTCGACGAGTGGTAACTGGTGGGCGACGAGTCGTTACTGGTGGGCGACGAATCGTTATTGGTCGGCGACGACTGATTGTAGGCCGTGTAAAGCTTGAACGTCCGGAAGCAGGTATAGTGTATTTTTGCTTTGTAGTTGCAGCTGTCGTAGAAGGTACCTTTGCGGATATTCCTGATCCCTGTGCTACAATAATATAATAACATCACTTTTTACTACTAATGATTAAAATATAACATATCAATAGTTTAAATTATTAAAGAAACATGCATGATATACCTTTCGTCAATTTAAGACTAACTTCGGACGAATGACGCGCCATTCAATCTCAAAACCAATCTTTTAGAAATTATCCCAATTCCCAGTATTTCCATATGTCAAATTCAATTCTACAGACTTATAATTGTAAGTGATTCGAAAGTATTAATGGTGAGAGAATTATTGTTCCTGTTTAAAATTGATGTTATTCTTTTTGATTAAATTCTTTAATTTATTTTATAGATCTGTTTGACTAATCAGGATCGATCCATCCACTTTGCATTCCATTCGTCGTTAATAACTAGACCCTGGTCAATTTGAAGCAAGTTGAAAAATACCTTTTTGACCTTTTTTGACCTTCAATATCTCAAAATCTAGGCAAAATTTGTTTAGACGGCAAAAGGCTCTCACTTATAGAATACTTATATCTATCTGTATGCAAAAATTCAGCTAAATATATTTAAGTGTAGTGTCAGGATTTGAGAAACTTGAAAAACTTAGATTTGACCTAGATTTTGACCTTGGACCTTGACCTAGATAAAAAGTTCTTTCCCGCCAGGTTCAGCAAAGGTCCCTGGAAGGCGCATGTAGGAGATGGTTGAAAGGTAGTTGGAAGTAGGAGAAAAAGAGGGGGAAGAATAAATAATAAAGAATAATATCTACAAAATTAATAAGAGGCCCCCCGATGGGGCCTCCTAATAAATACACTCTCCTATACCTAACAACTAGAAATGCATATAGGATACTCTGTTTGTCTAATTGTATTGTTTAGTATATTTTTGAAAGTACCTTATTAACATCTAACAGTCATCCGATAAACCATTCATAAGGAAAGGCATAAAAACACAAGAACACAAATGTGTACAAAATGTCCCCACCAATGGGTGATCCCATCGAATGGTTATCCTGAAAATAGGTAGACAAGACTTTACCGACACAATTTGAGGACGGAAATTACAAAATGGCCACCTTAAAATTTACCAAGAATGCCCAAAAATTAGTTAGTTCTAGATTTTCATACTAAGAACCACCCCTGAAATTTTGAAATTCATCCATCAAACAGTTAACCAGAAAACATGTAAACAAAACTTTACAGACAAGATTTTAGAATTGAAAATCCAAAATGGCTACCTTGACATTTACCCAAAATATCAAAAAACTAATAAGTTCAAGATTTTAATACTAAGAATCATACTTGAAAATTTGAAATTGATCTACCAAACGGTTCACCTGAAAACGCGTAGACAAGACTTTACAGACAAGATTTTAGGACGGAAAATCCAAAATGGCTGCCTTAACATTTATCCAGAATGCCAAAAAACTAATCAGATCAAAATTTTCAGGATTTTAGGACGGAAAAACCAAAATGGCTGCGTTGACATTTACCCAGAAAGCCAAAAAATAATCTTTAGCTAGATTGTCATACTAAGAATCATCCCTGAAAATTCGAAATTGATCTACCAAACGGTTCACCTTAAAACGCGTAAACAAGACTTTACAGGCAAGATTTTAAGACGGAAAATCCAAAATGGCTGCCTTAACATTTATCCAGAATGCCAAAAAACTAATCAGATCAAAATTTTCATACTTAGAATCATCCCTGAAAATTTGAAATTGATCTATCAAACGGTTCACCTGGAAATGCGCAGACAAGACTTTACAGACAGGATTTTAAGACGGAAAATCCAAAATGGCTGCCTTGACATTTACCCTGAACGCCAAAAAACTAATCAGATCTAGATTTTCATACTAAGAATCATCCCTGAAAATTTGAAATTGATCTACCAAATGGTTCACTTGGAAATACGTAGACAAGACTTTACAGACAAGATTTTAAGACGGAAAATCCAAAATGGCTGCCTTGACATTTACCCCGAACGCCAAAAAACTAATCAGATCTAGATTTTCATACTAAGAATCATCCCTGAAACTTTGAAATTGATCTACCAAACGGTTCACCTGGAAATGCGTAGACAAGACTTTACAGACAAGATACAAGACAAGGACGGAAAAATCCAAAGTGGCCGACAATAAAAAAGTGATTATGAGTTTTTGCTGATTTCCTTTTACAAAATTGTCATATATAACCACTGTTAACAATAACGTAGGCTTTTACAACAAAGTACACCTGAAATTATTTATAAAGCTACTAAATAGTTAAAGTATGAAAACTCAAAAACACCATTCAATATGATACAAAGTATTATCGCGCGCTAACTTTTCTTAAGACATTCAAAATGGCTGACATACTGAGCTAACAGGTCCAAAACCTAATCAGATGAAGAATGAAGTAAGTTGAACAAGATATTAAAGTTTTAAAAGCAACTGTGAAGCCGTCTTTCTTAAAGTTTGCAGACAAGGATTTTAGCATTTGACTTCAAAATGGCCGACAGGAAGTAGGTATCGAGTTAATTTTTTTTCATCCACATCTGTATGCACTTATAAGTTATCCTTAAAAATTTGAAGGTGATATCTGTAGCGGTTTTTGGAAAAAACTGCCGGACGTACGGATGGACAGACAGACAAACAGATGGACGGACGCGCCTAGGCCGACAATATGACCCCACACTATGTGGTGGGGACATAATAAAAACTAATAATATAATCATTGCTAATAAGCCAAATGGGTTGCTCGTGAACACCAAATGCAAGGTATAGTAGAGTGAAATAATAATACCTGTGCATTTGTAGGCCTTTTTAATTCCATAAATATCTTGAGCACTGAGATGTTTCCTCTGTCCTAATAGCATTCCTCTTTTGGCAGACCCTTTGACTTCTATAGTATTTAGTTTTTCATTCTTGGAAAAGGCATTTGATTGATAGTGCATGATGCTTTCCAAATCATACTTCATCTTGTAGATTTTGTCGTTTCGTTTATGAAAGTTTACAGAATAATCTGTAAAAGACATAAAGTAACATCTTATTAAACTGAACAACTCTCAATGTAAACATTTTTCTCGGTCCCTAATTTGTGACCTCCTGTTGGCGTACACATTAGGAAACATGAAACGTGGACCTGCTAATTCTAACACTTTTGGCTGGTCCTTGCATTGTGCACTGGCGGATCCAGAGGATGGGGGCATGGGGCAAAAATGGGCCTTAAATTGTCAAAATGTGAGCCCAATCTAGGGGCCTAAACATTTTTTCCTTATTTGAAATGTCCCCCCCACCCTTGTTGGATTCTGGATCAGCCGGTACAGTGGGGTTCGGATTAAACATGTGTCCCTTTATGAACATTGAAATATTTTGAAGAGGCAAACATGAAGGAACATTAGGTTCAAAAGCTATTTTATGAAAATCACTTATTAACATCTAGTATTTCGTCAGATCGTTTTATTTGTATATATTAACTAGAGAGGAACTCGAAGAAGGCCCGCTCTATCACTTTGAATCGCTTTGTACTCGAATCGTTTCGAATCAATCAGAGGAATAAGCCAGGTAACATTTCAATGATTGTTTTTAAATGTTATACCTGACAGTATATTTTTCCATATTATTGTTATGTAACGGTCTCTGTCAGATCTACTTTGCTCGTGGTAAAATCCCAATACATGTAAGAGCTCGTGAATTATTCTTCCTATGGATCCACATCCGGGTCCAAGTGACGTGACTTGCATTCCACCCTTCATGCCTACTCTAGACCAGCATCTACAAAACACAACTCATGAAATAACAACTCATGGTCGAACTCTAGCCGTTCAAGTAAGCACTCTTATACAATACTGGAACTACATTTATTATTTGGGAGAATTTATGCATCTATGGCAAATTGTGCACTTTGAATCTTAACTAATTGATAACATATCAAAGACCTTTCGGGTGAAATTATATTTGAAATGGTGCAGAATACATCGGTAGTTCAATTGTACACTCCGCTTGCAATTTTGTCATCCCAATAGCTCTGAATCTTTTATCATTGAGATGTTCTACTTCATAATTCAACTAATAGTATTTGCCTGGCTTCAAAAGGTCGAGTTTCCCATTTTAATATTAGAGAGATTAGATACACTCTTTTAAAAACTTGTACGAGGATGTGGTCCTTTGTGGAAAACACTACTAACACACCTAACTAGTTCTCGAGAACGGGCTTATACACGATTGTGTACAGACGGATTGGACGTACTTAGAACCACTTAGGGTATACATGTATTTACAAAATATCGTAGGAGTAGGTCCTACAGGACTTACAGCAGGCCAAGAGTTTTCTGGTGGTCGTCACGAACGAGTGACAACCCCGGGGTGACAACGTATTCAAGACGAGCTGAACGTAACGAACAGAACTGTCATACTTCAATCCTACTAGGACGGATTGGGAACGAAGTAGAACTAATTGCCAACGAGTTTTAACTGCTGATTAAGGACATAACTGAACTGCTTGGATACGTTGTTTAGACGGAATAAATTTTAATATTAGGGAGATTAGGTACACTTTTTAAAAAAACTTACACGAGGACGTGGTCCTATGTGGAATACACCTAACTAGTTCTGGCCACTTAGGTTCTCTTAAAAAAGTGAAACTTAACCTCCCTATTGTTTATACTAACCCGTCTTTGCTGGTTAAGAACACATAGTTTCTGTTTCTAATTTTATAAGTATTTTCGAAGAACTGAATACAATTTGCTTTTATCTGTGTTTTTGACTGGATTATACGCATGGCTTCACTGATATTTTTCCTCAAGCCAACACCTGCAAAAATATATACGAACATTTACCTAAATGTGCTAAATCCATTTGTGTATGTGATGAAACGAATCTGGTTGAATTGACAAATAAAGATTGAAAGTTTAAAATTCAAGCTCAAAGTCAAACTTAGATATTCTAGATCAGATGTAAAACTAAAAGCACAGGCTGTAGTAGTGTACTACCCATAATGAACAAATACCTCAGCTAACGAATATAATACAAATAAAAAAATAGAGCAAGTTTAACGAAATCAGCAATGAAAAGTGCGATAGCAATAGATTTCTAACGCATCTAAACATTTATGACAAGCTTATCAATGTCAGCGTGCTTACTTAATCTGGTCTTGTCTATCTTGAAATACACCTTCCCTTCTGGCCAAAATTTAACCTGATCAGCGCCACTTTTATATTTCGATTCATCTTCACGAATATCATCTTCTACAAGCACACCTGCAAATAAAAAAGCAACATATCAACGTTTACAGCCTCATTGTGATTAAGTACATTTGAGCCAAATGAAGCTTCGTAATGAGGCGAGACAGATGACAGAATGTGTTCCAAGCTTTCGGGGTTCATAAAAAACACAAAGTGCTCATCAATACTGGCTATCAAGATACATCATAAGTAGTCTCCCTTCCTCGGATTTCGGGGGTTATGCCACGCGGTCAAAATTGATTGTTTTTTTTACTTTTTAAATTAACTATGAAATATTCTCAAAAGAATGATTAAAAAACGTATATGTTATACGAGGGTTGTCCCAGAAGTAATGCACTATATGCTATAACTTTATCAATGATTGGTATTTTTCCAGGAAATTTTCAGTAAATGTTCCTTAGAGACATTTTGATTATTCTAAAAATTTTCATGTTGACTGATAAAACTATATTGATGTTATAATAAAATCAAGTTGGTGAGTTTGGGTAGGGCGGGGAAGGTTATACAGTCACGTCAAAAGGAATGAAAAATTGAAAATATGAAATAATTAATCAACAAATACCATTTGGTGTAGCTATATGAAGTATGCTAAAAAATACATTTTAAGATACTAAATTACTCTGAGCACATCCTAGATTTAATGGATGTATATTGCACAGTGTCCCATTTCACATTTTCTCAAAATATTGCCCTTTGCATGTTATGTACTTCTGATGCCTGTCAGGTCAAACACTCTCGGCAATTTCTTCCACTGTGACTTGTAGAGTTTTTGCCTCCCATGTTTGGAGTTGTCATACAGGGTTGAATCGTCTCTTTTAAATCTCTTCTGCCACTTCATAATTGTAGTTCTATCTGGTTTATACTCCTTATATACTTTCTTCATGGTATCATTGTTTTGCATGGCTGTGAGTCCAAGTGAAGTATGAAATTAGGCCACCAAACGCAAGCCCTTCTGTTGTTATCAAGTGAGAATTGCAGCCATTTTTGCAATTTTTTGACTGTGACCGTATTTGAATTCGTGACTATTGAATGTGGTATTATGATATCACAGTGCTAAATGTCATTATTTGTACTTGGTTAACATCATGCTGAATAAATTTAACAATTTCCCAAACATTTTGACCATTTAAAGGAAAGAAATATTAATAAAATAACACTAAGATCTTTTCATAATTAGAAAAATTGGTACCTGCCCCACCCACCCCTACCCCCATGTTGTTATAGCAACCATATTAAGACTTAATATTAATGTTGGATGCTGAAACTTCAGGATAAAACTTCAATTGTTATATACACAAAATTTCAGCTGAATTGAAAAGTATTTAAGACAGTTAGAGCATATATATAGGTATATGTTTGTAAACAGTAACTGTACGAATTATGAATTATTTTTTATTTCTTATGTCCGACGAATCACCTTTAAAATGGTATAGTCTAACCCTGGAACAAATAGTGCCATTCCTTTGACCATTGTATGATCATTTTAAACTCCACAATCCTCCCATCTTGAAGCCGATATTATATTTTATGATTCACCCTGACATTCATTTACTCTGACTTATCTGTAGAGATAACAAAATGGCATGGCAACCATATTGCATCTACACTGTTAAAAAACTTACCTTTGGAGTCATCAGGATTCGCATCACCTGAAATTAAATAAACAAACTTATTGGAGTGTTTGCTGCATGAGCTCTTCCATAATTTTGTTGAACTAAAACAACCCAATTAAAATTTTGAAATTTAAGTTATATGGCAGAATCGAATCTGAAGCCAAAAAATCGTACACCTTCTTTGAACATTACTACTGGACCAACGAAACAGTGTGTTTATCATCACTGCTTTTGGGGAATGATGTGTATTGCCTACTGGATTTCCATAAATTATAAGCATTTGCTGGAAAATAGAGTTTCTTCCCAGTTTGTGACTGACTCTCAGCACATTCCATTTTGGGGTTTGACAGAACACATTTGCAAATGACAAAATAGCCATGATTACTTCAGACACAAAAGGCAGTATTATGAAAACACGAATAACAAAATTGAAAATCATTAATCAATCACATAAAAACATAAGAAATGAACGTCAATGTACCTTCTTCTTCTTCTTCATGCGACATTTCCGTACTACTACTACGGTCACTGCTTTGTTCCATTGGTTCCGACTGCACTGCAACAATTGCTAAAGACAGTGCAAGACATAGAAAAAAACAAATCTTCATGTTGGTATTCCACAAAAACGTCTGGTGAAAGTTATTCAAATATAGGGTATAGGACAGTGTGATATGTTACTCCGCCTGTTTTCTAAATTGGACGAGACAAATTGAGACGAAATCGGCATACACTTGTATAAAGCACATGTATCCTGTCGGTTTCCACTTCCTAAGTCGCGCTGTATAAAACTATTGATATATCTATTTCTCTGGTGTCTTCTGATTTCTAATGCCTTATGGTACCTCTGGTGTCTTATTCTGTGTCTTTTAACGTATCTGATGTATTATCATGCCTCTGATGTCATAAGGCGTATCCGGTGTCATATAAGGGTTATTTTCGTATATCTGATGCGATACGGTGCGTCTCTAATAAGATCCTATGTCCAAGAAGCATTCCATATTTAAGTTATAGCCTATGTTGACTGATGTAAGCTATATAAATATAAAAATACGGACAATGCCCAATTGTTTTATCAGTGTTTGAGACGAAGGACAAAATCAGCCGTCATGGGATGTCATGGATTGTGATCATAGTTCTTATAAGGATTGTATATGCAAATCGAGGACATGGGAACCGACGCATGGGCCTGATGATAGAACTATGGGCTTTCTAGAAGTCTATTGGAAAATGTCTAGGAAATGATGGTTTTCATTGTTGAAATTTTTGAAAAGGATAGATTTAACTAAGTACTGCTTCATCTCCGTCTACGTTTCGTACGTTATCTTTATCAAAACCCGTCAAACATTGACAAAGATTTAAGTTGTATCACCTTACATATTGTCAATGTTTTAGTACCTGGGATTAGTAGAGTATATTAGTATGCTTTGGTATTGCACATCAGAGACAATGTTGAGGATGAAATACACATATTTTAAATCATTTATCACCATGTTGTCACCGTAAAAACGGTAACATAGTGACACATTTCCATGAGTTAGTATCCCAAACTAACGTGGGACAAAATCTAGGGTTGTGATATCATCATGGGTTGGAATCACATATCATCATTGGTTGGTATCACATATCACCATGGGTTTGGTAAATTCATATCATAATGGGTTGGTATCACATATATGTCATATTGTGCTATTATTACATATCACCATGGGTTAGTATCACTTTTCACAATGGGTTGGCCATTTCATCATAGACTAGTATCACATATCACAATGGGTTAGTATTATATAAAACTATTTACCTGGTAGATATATTGTCTCTGGTGTTGTTACCTTGGTCCCGACGGCACTGCAACAATAGCAATAACAATAACAATAAGACAGTGCAAGACATAGAAAAAACAACATAGGTTGGTGTCACATATATGTATAGCCATGTACTAGTATCATATATCATCATAGGTTAGTATCACATACATGTAATCATGTACTATTCTAGTATTACCATGGGCTAGTATCACATATCACCATAGGCTGGTATCACATACATGTCATTATGTACTAGTATTGCATATCACCATGGGTCAGTAACACATATCACCACGGGTTAGTACCAAATATCATCATGGTTAGTACCACATACCATCTTGAGTTGGTTTCACATACATGTCATTATGTACTAGTATTGCATATCACCATGGGTCAGTAACACATATCACCACGGGTTAGTACCAAATATCATCATGGTTAGTACCACATACCATCTTGAGTTCACATACATGTCATTATGTACTAATATTGCATATCATCATGGGTTAGTATCACATATCATCATGGGTTACTATCACATACATGTAATCATGTATGGGTATTACCATGGGCTAGTATCACATATCACCATTTATCCCATACTTAGAAGTGTCATAGGTAACTTGCCCGTAGCCAGCTTTTACCAGGGGGGGGGCTTTTTTCCAGGGGGGGAGCTTTTTCACAATTTTGGCTAAAATTCATGCGAAAAATTATCAGAATGGTGAAAAACTGCATGATTTTAAAAGAATTTCTGGCCAGGGGGGCTTATGTCCCCCAGCTCCCCCTCTGGCTACGGGCCTTGGTAAATAACATACGGGAATATAATCGATACCATGAGGTGAGCGGGACATATATATATCACCCGCTCATCAGCAATCACCGGGAATTTCTTTCGGTGCTTTTTTGAATTCCCGGGATATACTTTGGCTCTATTTGATAAATATTAATTTCATACACTGTTAATTAAAAAATTGTTGAGGACTTTAAATTGAGATAAAATATTCATGTTTTGATTGTAATTATCGTTTGTAATTTTTACAGTAGGGTTCCCTAACATCCAATGCATATTTAATTTTCATAATTTTCATACTTTTCATACAGGGTATATCCCTCGGTAAATACAATATATCAACCCTCGGTCCCTTTGGTCCCTCGGGTAGATATATTGTATTTCCCTCCCTCGGATAAACCCGGTATCAAAAACCTCCCATTAAATAACCTCTATAGGTTGGTATCACATAAATGTATCACCATGTACTAGTATCACATATCATCATGGGTTAGTATCACATATCATCATGGGCTACTATCACATACATGTAATCATGTACTATACCTAGTATTACCTTAGGCTAGTATCACATATCATCATGGGTTGGTATCACTTATCACTACGGGCTAGTATCACATATCATCATGACCTAGTATAACATGTCATTATTAGTAGCACATATCATCATAGGTTGGTATCATTAACATGTTATCTTGTACTAGTATTACATATTACCATGGGTCAGTATCACATATCATCATGGGTCAGTATCACATATCACCATGGGTTAGCACAACATTTAATCACAGACCAGTATCACACATAAATATGGGTTGATATCACATATATACATTTCACCATTGGTTAGTATCACATATCACCAAGGGATAGTATCTTATATCACCATGAGCTAGTATCACATATCATCATGGGTTAGTATCACATATAACCATTAGATAGTATCTTATATCACTATATGAGCTAGTATCACATTTCACCATTGGTTAGTATCTTATATCACCGTGAGCTAGTATCACATATCATCATGGGTTTGTACCACATATCATCATGGCTTAGTATCACATATCACCATTAGATAGTATCTTATATCACTATATGAGCTAGTATCACATTTCACCATTGGTTAGTATCTTATATCACCGTGAGCTAGTATCACATATCATCATGGGTTTGTACCACATATCATCATGGCTTAGTATCACATATCACCATTAGATAGTATCTTATATCAATATGAGCTAGTATCACAATTCACCATGGATCAGTATCACATATCACAAGCTCGTATCAAACATCATCATGAGCTAGTATCACATTTCACCATGGATCAGTATCACATATCACAAGCTCGTTTCAAACATCATCATGAGCTAGTATCACATTTCACCATGGATCAGTATCACATATCACAAGCTCGTTTCAAACATCATCATGAGCTAGTATCACATTTCACCATGGATCAGTATCACATATCACAAGCTCGTTTCAAACATCATCATGAGCTAGTATCACATTTCACCATGGATCAGTATCACATATCTCAAGCTCGTTTCAAACATCATCATGAGCTAGTATCACATTTCACCATGGATCAGTATCACATATCACAAGCTCGTATCAAATATCATCATGAGCTAGTATCACAATTCACCATGGATCAGTATCACATATCACAAGCTCGTTTCAAACATCATCATGAGCTAGTATCACATTTCACCATGGATCAGTATCACATATCACAAGCTCGTATCAAATATCATCACGAGCTAGTATCACATTTCACCATGGATCAGTATCACATATCACAAGCTCATATCAAATATCATCATGAGCTAGTATCACATTTCACCATGGATCAGTATCACATATCACAAGCTCATATCAAATATCATCATGAGCTAGTATCACATTTCACCATGGATCAGTATCACATATCACAAGCTCATATCAAATATCATCATGAGCTAGTATCACATTTCACTATGCATCAGTATCACATATCACAAGCTCGTATCAAATATTATCATGAGCTAGTATCACATTTCACCATGGATCAGTATCACATATCACAAGCTCGTATCAAATATCATCATGAGCTAGTATCACATTTCACCATGGATCAGTATCACATATCACAAGCTCATATCAAATATCATTATGAGCTAGTATTAAATGTTAACTTGGATCAGCATCACATATCACAAATATCATCATGAGCTAGTATCACATTTCACCATTGGTTAGTATCTTATATCACCGTGAGCTAGTATCACATATCATCATGGCTTAGTATCACATATCACCATTAGATAGTATCTTATATCACTATGAGCTAGTATCACATTTCACCATGGATCAGTATCACATATCACAAGCTCGTATCAAATATCATCATGAGCTAGTATTAAATGTTAACTTGGATCAGCATCACATATCACAAATATCATCATGAGCTAGTATCACATTTCACCATTGGTTAGTATCTTATATCACCGTGAGCTAGTATCACATATCATCATGGCTTAGTATCACATATCACCATTAGATAGTATCTTATATCACTATGAGCTAGTATCACATTTCACCATGGATCAGTATCACATATCTCAAGCTTGTATCAAATATCATCATAAGCTAGTATCACATTTCACCATGGATCAGTATCACATATCACAAGCTCGTATCAAATATCATCATGAGCTAGTATCACATTTCACCATGGATCAGTATCACATATCACAAGCTCGTATCAAACATCATCATGAGCTAGTATTAAATTTCACCATGGATCAGTATCACATATCACAAGCTCGTATCAAACATCATCAAGAGCTAGTATCACATTTCACCATGGATCAGTATCACATATCACAAGCTCATATCAAATATCATTATGAGCTAGTATTAAATGTTAACTTGGATCAGCATCACATATCACAAATATCATCATGAGCTAGTATCACATTTCACCATTGGTTAGTATCTTATATCACTGTGAGCTAGTATCACATATCATCATGGCTTAGTATCACATATCACCATTAGATAGTATCTTATATCACTATGAGCTAGTATCACATTTCACCATGGATCAGTATCACATATCACAAGCTCGTATCAAATATCATCATGAGCTAGTATCACATTTCACCATGGATCAGTATCACATATCACAAGCTCATATCAAATATCATTATGAGCTAGTATTAAATGTTAACTTGGATCAGCATCACATATCACAAATATCATCATGAGCTAGTATCACATTTCACCATTGGTTAGTATCTTATATCACCGTGAGCTAGTATCACATATCATCATGGCTTAGTATCACATATCACCATTAGATAGTATCTTATATCACTATGAGCTAGTATCACATTTCACCATGGATCAGTATCACATATCACAAGCTCGTATCAAATATCATCATGAGCTAGTATCACATTTCACCATGGATCAGTATCACATATCACAAGCTCGTATCAAATATCATCATGAGCTAGTATCACATTTCACCATGGATCAGTATCACATATCTCAAGCTTGTATCAAATATCATCATGAGCTAGTATCACATTTCACCATGGATCAGTATCACATATCTCAAGCTTGTATCAAATATCATCATGAGCTAGTATCACACTTCACCATGGATCAGTATCATATATCACAAGCTCGTATCAAACATCATCATGAGCTAGTATCACATTTCACCATGGATCAGTATCACATATCACAAACTCGTATCAAATATCATCATGAGCTAGTATTAAATTTTACCATGGATTGGTATCACATATTATCATTGGTTAGTATAACATGTCACATATCACCAGGTGTTGGACTCCTTGAATTTCACAAGTCAGAATTATCACAAGCTATGCAGTGAGTGTCAACATCTGCATTTATTAACTTTAGCAAGAAAATTGTTACTCCATGTTGGGATACAGACGAGAAGGATAAGTATAGGATTTAAAGAGGAAGGTGGATTGTCTCCAAAAACTGAATGGCAGTATTTTTATAACATTTTGTTACATTGAACATTGAACCAATCTGAAGTTTTACTAAAAATATCATGTATACGTTTTACCTAATATGACAACATAACAAACATTTGTTTATCATATCTTCCTTTTGTAAATGTTAATTTATCGTTAAACTGAAAGAAATAAAGTCATAGGAAAAAAACAAAAACATTTTGTTAACTACATGTATGTCCTATTAGTTTACATTTTGCAGTTTGCATTATATGTCATCACTTTAGTATTGTCCATTAAATTGATACAAAGTACAGTAAGACCTGTCTAGTGAACACCTCTAACTAGTGAACACCTCTCTCTAGTGAACACCTCTAACTAGTGAACACCTCTCTCTAGTGAACACCTCTAACTAGTGAACACCTCTCTCTAGTGAACACCTCTAACTAGTGAACACCTCTAACCAGTGAACACCTCTCTCTAGTGAACACCTCTAACTAGTGAACACATGTCTCTAGTGAACACCTCTCTCTAGTGAACACCTCTAACTAGTGAACACATGTCTCTAGTGAACACCTCTAACTAGTGAACACATGTCTCTAGTGAACACCTCTAACTATACTAGTGAACACCTCTAACTAGTGAACACCTCTCTCTAGTGTAAACCTGTCTCTAGTGAACACATGTCTCTAGTGAACACATGTCTCTAGTGTACACCTGTCTCTAGTGAACACCTCTAACTAGTGAACACCTGTCTCTAGTGACACCTCTAACTAGTGAACACCTCTCTCTAGTGAACACCTCTAACTAGAGTACACCTGTCTCTAGTGAGAAAATCTCTCTCTTGTGAACACATCTAATTAGTGAACACATGTCTCTAGTGAACACCTCTAACTAGTGAACACATGTATCTAGTGAACACCTTTCTCTAGTGAACACTTTTAACTAGTGAATACATGTCTCTAGTGAACACCTCTAACTAGTGAACACCTCTCTCTAGTGAACACCTCTAACTAGTGAACACCTCTCTCTAGTGAACACCTCTAACTAGTGAACACATGTCTCCAGTGAACACCTCTCTCTAGTGAACACCTCTAACTAGTGCACACCTTTCTCTAGTGAACACCTCTAACTAGTGAACACATGTCTCTAGTGAACACTTCTCTCTAGTGAACACCTCTAACTAGTGAACACCTCTCACTAGTGAACACCTCTCTCTAGTGGACACCTCTAACTAGTGAACACCTCTCTCTCTAGTGAATACCTCTAACTAGTGAACACATGTCTCCAGTGAACACCTCTCTCTAGTAAACACCTCTAACTAGTGAACACCTTTCTCTAGTGAACACCTCTAACTAGTGAACACCTCTTTCTAGTGAACACCTCTAACTAGTGAACACATGTCTCTAGTGAACACCTCTCTCTAGTGAACATCTCTAACTAGTGAACACATGTCTCTAGTGAACACCTCTCTCTAGTGGACACCCTTCCTCGGCATATGCTCTATTGAATTTTGTATAAATTACCCTCTCTACACCTACCAACACTGAATGTTTTTTCTTGGTAAAAAAATGTTCAATATACACAGGTTTTACTGTACACATATTTACTGATGAATTAAATAAAAAGGTAATTTTTCAAAAGTATCCACAAATATAAATATGTTCTAAAGCATGGAGTCATCTTTTCATATGTCTAAGTACATGTATAGACAGATACATGTAGATGCAGAGCAGAAAACTTCGAAATAGAATTGTCACATTTCATCAAATAATCTATAGACCTATTTCTTCTTATCTCCAATGACAAATATATTGTTATTTATGATGCTATATCCTTTGTGAGTTGGTCAATCTTCCACGCTTCACAAACCACATTATATCCTTCAAGTCCCTAATCCACTTTTCTCTGTTCCTCTGGCCAGTATGATATATGCATGACAGAGCACTTAATTCATATTGAGATTTTACGATCAGAACAAATATATCAAGGCACCAGTTGGAAGGGCATGACGTAGATTGGCTCCTAGAAGTCTACATCTATATATAACAAACAAGTGATAAATGAATCAAATAAAAATAAAAATGCTGTTCTTGTGTATCCTAATATTATAATATTGTAGGGGTTCGATATTGCGTTCAGATTTGAACAAAATTCTCATCTGCCGGAAGCCGGTGTTGAAGATCAGAGAAAATGTGGCTAAGGCATTAAGGCGATCGGAGTTGATAGAATAGCTAAAAATAAAATATGCAATATTTTACAAACCCTTGAAGTAACATCTGATTTAAAATTAAAAATCGTAAGTGAAAACTAACTGAACATAACAAAAAAAAATCCTGCCTATTGTCGATCAAAAAAAGCAGATAAGTTTAATCAAAGAAATATGTCATTTACGTTAATGTTGAACTGTATCGTCACACTAGATGGTTAGTAATCCCTCTATTATTGAAGAAAAACATCTTGCATATTTTTGCAACACAAAGTAACCACACAATGATATACCTGTACCTATATTAATGCAGGGTGAAATATTCATCAATTAAAATCTAATAAAATTAAAAAAGTTAATTAATCCATAATTACATTTGTACTTTAAGGGTGTCTTCATTGATTATTTGGACAATCGCATCACCATCAATAAGAAGAAAATATTATTTGTATATGTGGTATCTTCTGTATTTCATTATAGAATAACACCATTTTATTTACACAGTGTTCAAAATATAAAATCAATTGACATGTTAGAAATGAATGCTTTAATATACATATTTAAATTCCAATTACATATAATTTTAAATATACTCTCCGCTTCCAATTATAATGTACAAAATGAAAACAAAATTGATAAAATATATAAATTTGCAACACTATATGAATCTATTGCAAAATAACAGAACTTAATTGAACAAGGATTCAGGTTCAAAAACGAAAATATTGATTTTGTTATAAATAATCTATACATAATATTTTATACATATTAGCAAAAAGCTTTAATAAATAACATTTTAACCTATTTTTCATTTTATGTTACAATAGAATAATCATTTTCTTCTGTAACAAGTTGCCTCCCCACACCCATTCACATCACCCACAGAGACCTTGTAGGTGTGGTGTGTCTTGGATGATGGGGGTCACATAACGAGGGTTTTGTGTAGGACCTTTGTCAAAAATTAATTTGTGCTTAAAAGAATTAAAGGCTCTTATAGATTCAAAACGCAGCCTCAATGATCAAATATCGAGATATATTGTACATGTACATCAAAGATGATTATGCGTGTTAGCAATTTTCTGTATTGATGAAAAATTGTTCAAACAAACCCCACCCAAACAGCATTGATCAAAAAAGATTAATCTTGGTTATGCATGATACAAGTACATACAATTATGAATTAAATAAAGTTTGTTAAACATATCTTCAAAAATCAGAATACAATGTTAGTATACAATCTGTCTACATAAACAGATCACAATCTTTTCTATTAGTAACCAACAGTTGTTGCATTTCAGATTCATAATCATTAAATCGTATTGCTTATAGTTATTCATGAATTGGAGTTCGATTCCATATTAAAAGAACAATGAAACTTGCATATCTTACAAAGTTTTGTTCATCAGTGTACACAGGTGTTCATCAGTGTACAGAGGGGTTCACCAGTATACTGAGGTGTTTATCAGTGTACAGAGGTGTTCATCAGTGTACACAGGTGTTCATCAGTGTACAGAGGTGTTCATCATTGTACAGAGATGTTCATCAGTGTACACATGTGTTCATCAATGTACACAGGTATTCATAAGTGTACACAGGTGTTCATCAGTGTACAAAGGTGTTCATCAGTGTACAAAGGTGTTCATCAGTATACAAAGGTGTTCATCAGTGTACACAGGTGGTCATCAGTGTATACAGGTGATCATCAGTGTACACATGTGTTCATCAGTATACAGAGGTGTTCATCAGTGTACACAGGTGTTCATCAGTGTACAAAGGTGTTCATCAGTGTACAAAGGTGTTCATCAGTGTATACATGTGATCATCAGTGTACAAAGGTGTTCATCAGTGAACAAAGGTGTTCATCAGTGTACAAAGGTGTTCATCAGTGAACAAAGGTGTTCATCAGTGTACAAAGGTTTCATCAGTGTACAAAGGTTTCATCAGTGTACAAAGGTGTTCATCAGCGTACAAAGTTGTTCAAAGATGATCTACTTAGATAGAATTGTTCAACATCTCAGCTTTTACAGTTGTATATTTCACTTGATGTATGTACTTATTTACAATGTACAGCACAGAATATTGCATACATGGCATACTGTCGAAAATGTGCCATTTTTCAGTATAGGCTTGTATCACCTCCTTTAGCACATGGTAAAAATGGTGAACGAAATAAACATAAAAACCACCAAACTACTGGTTTTGACAGTAAATGTATATACACATTGATCCTCAGAATATATACAATATTAATGATTATGTATAAGCATGAAACCATTTTGGAATGGTGTATTGCAAGATATTGTAAAAATATAAGTTCAGAATTGACTCTGACTATTTCAATTGACTATTTCAACTGACTATTACAGTGACCATTACATTGACTATACACAGCCCTGTGATGTAAATGAAAGTCAATTTCAATTTGCTGTGTTGCTCTCAGAAACTTATCAATTAATCATTTAAAAAAAACATTTTCACTGTAATAGCTACAGTTGAGTAAACTGGTTAGCTTCAAATACCTATGTATGTTTGCATTTTGTGTAATCTATGATATAAATTCATTTAATCATACATCTTATATGAATTTGAAAGTGAATATAATCACATATTTTGTTAGATATCATCAAATTGCTCATTATATCCAGAACATATGTGTTTATAATTAAATAATAAAATAAATTTAAAGATGTAGTCCTACCCTAGAATTTCTTGATGGGGGGGGGGGGTCATCTCAAATGATTTCCACAAAATCTTCATATTTCCAACTTTGTTCACACTTTTTGTTTTACATTCTACTATCCACCCACTAAATGGAAATTACTATGTCTGTATTTGGTGTATTGTTCTGATCAAAATGGTTTATAAATATTTCTAGGGTAGGTCTGTATATTTCAGTTAACGAACAAGACTAGAACGTAATTAACAGGTAACTAAGATTTAGTAATAACTGTAACAGCTTATCTATAGTCAGTCACATCTGCAACCTTATTGTACAGCCTGAACCCACGATTATGAGTACTTGGAACAAGCAACTGTTCATATTTGGAAGAAAATGTTCTTATGTTGAGTGAACTGTTCACAATTCGGGGAAAGATGTTAGCAAGATACAGCAAACTGTTTTCTTCATGCAATGAGTGATTATCACAATCGAGTCTGATTTTTTCTTCATGTAACAGGTCATTATCATTTAGGGAGCCGTCCTTTGCTTATCAATTGAATGTATTGTCCTATAAGTGATGATATCTCAGCTCCCTGGAAAATACAAATGAAATATTCAATCACAGCAATTCATATATTTTTCAATTAAGTATACATGACAGTTGGGGAATGAGGGCTCTTTTCAAAACTATTTTGGAGATTGATCATTGAATGAGAAGTTGGGGTTTGTTTACTTGTATGTTTGTTTACTGGTTTGTTTACTTGTATGTTTGTTTACTTGCATGTTTTTTTACTTGCATGTTTGTTCATTGGTTTGTTTACTTGTATGTTTGTTCACTGGTTTGTTTACTTTTATGTTTCTTTACTTGCATGTTTGTTCACTGGTTTGTTTACTTGTATGTTTGTTTACTTGTATGTTTGTGCATTGGTTTGTTTACTTGTATGTTTGTTTACTTGTATGTCTGTTCACTGGTTTGTTTACTTGTATGTTTGTTTACTTGTATGTCTGTTCACTGGTTTGTTTACTTGTATGTTTGTTCATTGGTTTGTTTACTTGTATGTTTGTTCATTGGTTTGTTTACTTGTATGTTTGTTCCTCTAGGCATTATGCTTATATAAAAGCAGGATTCAATACATTTCACAATAATTACAAATAGTATAAAAGTAGAGTAATCTACAAAGGAATCTATATTGATATGGTGGATTATAGATGATTATTCTCTGAAAGAGTAAAACTACTGTTGCAAATGATTTAACCTTCAAATAATGCAACATCGCTAGTTAGGAAAATAACTACTTAATCCTGTTGTAATAGTTTCTATTGATTCAATTATTGATGACATAGATGAATAGTTCTTAATTAGTGAGTCTTCAGGATGTGGAATCATTTAGGCATGATTGCAGTAAGTCTCATTGAAAGGAATGATGTATCTGGCATTTATTTCAAATGTATACCTTCGATAATAACTCAGATTTTGTGTTGACTAGTACTTACTGATCTTGTTAATCATGTCCATACCCAAAAGGGGCTCGATGAACTCAAATAAGCCCCAAGATTTCGAAGGAAAATTTTGGGTCAGATTTAAATTTTGGTCAAAATTGGCATACATCTGGTCCAAATTGGCATTTTGGGCGAATGCTAAAGCCCCTTGAAAAATTAGCCCCCTCTGATGAAAGTGACGGGTCTCTATCCAAGTAATAATTATCTTACTTAATCTTTCATAATCCAATTATTGTTACTCTCCATGTGATTTTCTTACCTGATCGGTTTCTATCCGAGTGACTTTCTGCATCATGAGGTTCCCACACTTCATATCGAGGAATTGCACCCCTGCTTCGCTCTTGAATCTCCGTGAAGATATAATGTCACTAAATGAGTAAGATATCTGTACAGCCTGAAGAAAAGCAAGTAACAATACACATACTAAGCATATATAACATGTTCAGGGGAAAACTTGCCAAGTACATGTACTTCAATAAATTGTTAAAGCATATTTAGACAAGGCATTAACATGCAAAATGTTACCACCTGCCATTTGTTACAAATGCTGAACAAGTTTGAGACCATAACAATATGTCACCATTTGTGGTGGTGATATGAAATTTTTTTATTAATTGTTTAACAAATAAGTATTAACAGACTGCATAAATTGGGTGACCAGGCGTGGAATGTGATTTTTTATCTCTGACCGTGAATTTTTGAAGTCACTCCTCCAAGGTTTGCATTTCTGAAGAGATTTCTACAATTAAATCACCAACCATACCAAGCCTGGTTCTTTGGAATTGTCTAGACTTTCCATTAAAAAAATGAGACAGTTTTTGAGAATTTCTGTTTTTATTAATCATTGGCTTTCTAGACAGCTCTTTGAAGGTCGAAGGGATGGGACAACATTAACAGGGTGGGCAATAAAAATGGGACACTTTGTATCATTCTTAGAAATAATATAAATCATATACAATTGTAGACAAAAAAGTTATATTGCCTATTCCAATGACAAATTACCCTTGCAATCAATGCATTTGGAGTACTAATGGGAGGGTCAAAAAAAGATTTTTGACTTTACATATATTATATACAGAAAAAAGTCTTAGTGGAACACATTTGGTACCTCTAAGGTGTTCCACTTGGGAGGTGCTCCATTTATAGAGGTTCATTTAACATTAAGTCAGTTGATCTTGGGAATTTGAAAAGTGTTCCATTAAAAGAGGTCTTCCACTTCTAGAGGTGTTCCACTAGAAGTGTTTCAATTTGTTAATACTAAAAAAGCTATTTTTGAAGAACATCAGGAATTGCCTTGAATTGCCTTGTACATGTATGCAAATCCAAAATCACAGCTCATCAACAATTGATTTTTCTTAATTAGGAACAAATTTGTTTCCCCATCTTTTGAACCTTAATAAATGAAGGTCAGTGAAAAATATTTTTTCAACTGTGTATGCAAATTTTGACTGTGAAAAGTGCTGTAAATATACATAATGGAATTCATATTTTATGAATTATGGCATGATACATGATTCAGTGTTAAAAGACTGAAATCATCTATTTATTTATACAAGAAAGCAAGCATTCATTAATGAATGTACTCACATGAGACATAATATCCAAGAAATGGACTCCTTTCTTGTTGATTGCTAAGAGACAGCGAGAGGGAATTCTTGCATCACCAACAGCCTTCAGAGCAAAGAACGTTGACCCGTACAGTGACCACTTCGAAAGGATGTCTGGAATACAAATGGTTTGTACATGTATATATTTCAAGGTTACTACAAATATGTATTTTGAAGAAAAGAATGTTGACCCGTACAGTGACCACTTCGAAAGGATGTCTGGAATACAAATGGTTTGTACATGTATATATTTCAAGGTTACTACAAATATGTATTTTGAAGAAAAGAATGTTGACCCGTACAATGACCACTTTTAAAGAATGTCTGGAATACAAATGGTTTGTACCTGTATATATTTCAAGGTTACTACAAATACAGTATGAATTTTGAAGAAAAGAATGTTGACCTGTACAGTGACCACTTCGAAAGAATGTCTGGAATACAAATGATTTGTACATGTATTTCAAGGTTACTACAAATATGTATTTTGAAGAAAAGAACATTGACCCGTTCAATGACCACTCAGATAGGATGTCTGGAATACAAATGGTTTGTACATGTACGAGGGGTGATCCAAAAGTCTTGGACGCCCTGCTCTAATTTTGTTGGTTTTTGATAAAATTACTTTAAACTTTCCAATAATAAAGACCAACAACCTAACTACTTTGTGTATTAATTTTATGGTGAAATGATATATTTTATGTAGTTTTCTCGATAGTTATTAATATAGTGACCCTGCCACCCAGAACGGTATTCGCACATGGCAACTTTCAGCCTTAAATGTTGCCGCTATTTGACATGTTTAGCAAGTCTTGACCACTATCTTTCCTTAAATTTTGAATGTTAAGGCATGTTAGTTAACTTCCTTTGATACTAGGCAACCAATTAATTGTGTTTTAATCATAATGTCACATATGATAATGGCCGTATATGTCAAGTTCTAAGAAAATGACATTAGACAATCAACACTCATTCTGGTATCATTTTTGCTCCAAGATGGCTGCTAAAATGCAGAACATGAAAGAAATCAAAGTGGAACAAAGAATACTACAATATATTTTCACTATTATTGACCTTGAGCAGCTATCATATGCACGATACAGTCTAGATATGGCTCCGTGTGATTTTCTTTCTTTTCTCCAAGTTGAATGGAGGGTTGAAAGAAAATGTTTTTTACTCATTGGATGAGATTTAGAGTGGCACTCCAGCAGCATTTGTATAACATAAGCAATAGCGGTTTCATAAATGTCTTTCATTCATTGGTAAAGCGGTATGAAAAATGTGTTCAAATTCGTGGAAATATGTTGAAAAGTAGGTCTTAATATGTGAAGATGATGATGGCAGATGACACTCTGACTAGAAATCGGAAATTTTTAATACATATTATAACAGTTGTTACGTGATTTGCTATATTTAAATACCGTTCCGGGTGGCAAGGACCCGGTATCAAAATATATTTAGAAAAGTAGCTAAAATATATTATTTTCTGTTGAAACCTATACACAACGTTGTTAAGATGTTGATCTTTATTATCTGAAAGGTTCATGTAATTATATTAGAAAATAGCAAAGTTAGAGCGGGGCGTCCAAGACTTTTGGATCACCCCTCGTATATATTTCAAGGTTACTGCAAATATGTATTTTGAAGAAAAGAATGTTGACCTGTACAGTGACCACTTTGAAAGAATGTCTGGAATACAAATGGTTTGTACATGTATATATTTCAAGGTTACTACAAATATGTATTTTAAAGAAAAGAATGTTGACCCGTACAGTGACCACTTAGATAGGATGTCTGGAATACAAATGGTTTGTACATGTATATATTTCAAGGTTACTACAAATATGTATTTTAAAGAAAAGAATGTTGACCCGTACAGTGACCACTTAGATAGGATGTCTGGAATACAAATGGTTTGTACATGTATAAATTTCAAGGTTACTACAAATATGTATTTTGAAGAAAAGAACGTTGACCCGTACAGTGACCACTTAGATAGGATGTCTGGAATACAAATGGTTAATCATTCAAGGTTACTACAAATATATATTTTGAAAAAAGGCATCAGGTCAGAGATTTCCCGCGTGACAGCAATCAAATGAAGCCTAACAGAGCCCCCTGACAACAGGCGTGCTCACCATAATTGTTGAGGGAAATTTTACCACTTTATAAAATAGTTCTATCAAGTATTTTGCAATATTGTAAAAAATGCTTTGATAAATGGCATCCCCATAACCTAACCCATACTAATGAGAAATTCCTATACCTTAAAGGTCCCTGCATTATATTCAATCACTAATTGGAAATTTGTATTATATGATCAACAAGATTGTACAGAAAGAATAACAATATATAATCGCATATAAATCCTACTTCGAAAAACAGCACATACAAATCATACAAATATATATCAGATTTTGTATATACTGAAAAGCCAATTAAGAAAACATATACATGTATACCTTGGGGGAGTATGGAACCTTACAGCATGACAGATCCATTTTATTAGACTACAGACTCTTAACTTTGTTCATGATAGAAATAAAAGTCCAACATTAATGAGTTTATGACCAATTAAACAATTAAATATTATTGTCTTTCATCCATCGTAAAAATATCTTGGGAAAGCAAACAGATGGTCACCATAGTATCGTCATAGCAATACACTATACAGGGAAAAACAATAGAGACATTTTATTGACAGATTATTTCATTTTGTATCAATTAACTAGTCATAAAGTATATACCATACTGTCTAGTCAATCTGAGAAAAAAATATTGGACACTAAAATTAAAACTAACAAATAGAATCCCTCAATAAAAAAATGAGTTGATAAAAAAATGAGTTGATTTATTTGATTGACATTTTGTGAGATAATATTGTCTCCAAATGGTGATTTAAAGTGGTCGTATCATATTTATGATTGTTTCATAAAAGTGATTATTTAACAATCCCCTTCAGACATCTATTATCCTTCCCACGCAAATTAAGTTTCTTTTTCTAGGTTTTATACATTTGGGTAGATGTTCATCATGCACATTTCCTTTCTCACAAAGGATATTGCCATGGTATATTACAATGGTTCTTCTATATGCAGTGATTGTAAAAAATAAACAAGAAAAGGGGGAAAGGATCTGGATAACCATAGGAAAGATTTGTAATTTTTATTGTGATCAAATATCTTTTGGTAATAACTCAGTTATGTTTTTGGAACATCTGTATCAAATTTTAAGATCATTCCTTCAGTAATACGTACATATATATTATATTGAAATGGCAATATCTTTGATCTTTCTTCTTGATCACCCTGTATTTTATTGGATTTTTGTGAATCTTTTATTTAAAAATGGATGATCGAGTAATCAGATTTCCTCAATGATTGGTTAGATAGATTAGTATCATTTTTATATTTAAAGAAGCATTAAGTCCAATCAATATCAAAACTAAAAATATGCATTCCCATTTCTCCATTACAATTATTTAATTGTCTCATTGTAACAATTATCTTTGCACAATTATATTAAATATATAAATAACAGTTATATTGTTACCATAGGGGTGTTAGGATACCATACAGATGTTACAATGAAGTCTCAGGTACATCCATGTAATATAGAGGAAGAATGTGTTATAGTAAAGCTATGTTGGATGAAGGTTAAAAAACAAATAAATTGTGGCCCTGATCATGTATACTGATTTTGCTGCCTACGCATTACTATGGCGATGTGTATTTAACATTCCCAAGCAATTATAACAAAAAAATAAGGACATGCATGCCGGAATATGGCAGTCTCGGTATACTTTTCACAAAGTCTGATTTTCTGATATTTGTAAACAGATTATTACAGCCATAATTAATATTATTTAGTGAAATTAACTTGTATACTTCACTACTGGAAAAGTTTTTGCTTTGGTCTCCACTCTTAAAGAGAGATAAATTCGAGATGTTTTGATGTACAAGTAGTCCATATATAGCAAAAGCTAGCAAGGTTAGGAATGATCTTGAATGTAAGAGGAGAGTGTACCTAGTTGATGATAATACAGGGTACATTCAATCTCATCATCTTATCGAGTAAACAAATATTTATGTGATAAAGAGATTAGTCCCTTTATATTAAGATTAATAATGCTTGCTGAAATCCGATCATGGTCCAATAATCCTACTATTCCACAAATGACGTTAATTCGAGTGGATATAAATGCTATTGTCTTCGAATTATTCATCCGAATCCATGTTTCATGTTTTGGTTAATTCCATAACTCATTAATGTGAGATATACCCTGGAAATATATCTCAATGACACTGAAAGAAATTTATAGTTGGTATATCTAAAATTGATAGTACATAATGCTTCAGTCACATTTAACCTACGTCAACCGTATGACGGACATAGCTTCCCAAAATCAAGAAAAATATGCAGCATATAGGGATAAGCAGTATGAAGTAGATGTTCTATATCGATTTTGTGAAGCTATATCCGCCTTACAGCTGCTATTGAGCAAATGTGAATGAGGCTTTTCTATAGCCATTTTGCTTTTTTATGATTCCTTTGATACTATGAGTTGACAATGACAACACAAAATGCACAATTTGAAATCCAGTGATTATATTGTCCACACATATCTTACTTCTTTTGGAATATGAATCTATAAAATGAACAATATTTGGCAAACACTATTTGAATTATTGGTTAGATGGACCATGGGCTTTCAATTAGAGTTGAAAGCCCATGGATGGACATATGGATATACAGACATTCGGACGGACAGATGGATGGATGGTTGGATGGATGGACGTAGGTTAGATGGAAGGATGGATGGTGGTTGGATGTATGAATGGATGGATGGATTGATGAATGAATGGATGGACATATGGATATACAGACATCCAGATGGACAGATGGATAGATGGATGCACATATGGACATTTGGATGGATAGATGAATGGAAGTATGGACAGAAAGACGGATTGGGTGTTGGCTTTCTCTATATCCCCAAACTTTGTTCAATTGGACAAAATGCACCTGAACGTCATGAAAGAACTTACCCAAGAAAGCAGCCTTGGCCCCAGTGGGTGTAAACTTTGTTGTCTCCTCTAGTTTATCATGTACAATATTCACCCATTGCTGTGGTTTCATGTTGGGCAGGTCTGGAATAACTGCTGGAAGTAGGGACTGCACATCCTTCCTGCAGGTACAACAGACATTGTCAAAACATTTTTAGGCACTACTTTACACGGATAAAGCTTGTACAGTGTTTTCATTGATTGGTTTGTGTACATGTACTTCCATGACAATGTTTTCCTGCTTTATTTATATTTATTTCTAAATAGATAATGACTTACATTGTTATGGACACAGCTTGTGTATTGTTTTTATTGTTTTGTTTATGTACATGTACTTCCATGACAATGTTTTATTTATATTTATTTCTCAATAGATAATTACTTACACAGTAGGTAAGTTGTTAAGTCCACTAGCTCTGTGCTGAAGGGCGGCCAATCTGGCAACATCCATCTGGAACACAAACAATTCACCTCTTTGAGAGAACTCATACCCTGAGATCAGTATCTAAACTAAATATGCCCTCTGACTAGAACTGATAGTTATTTAGAGGTTATGTCACTATCGTTGCATATATGCCCGAGGTTTTCAGTGATATATGGCCCGACCTTGGGAGGGACATTGATCACTGAGAACCGAGGGCATATGTGCAACGATAGTGACATAAACGATTTATAACATACCTATGGTGATGCCGACTGGTCAGAGAGTACTGTTTTCTTATTTAATTGACTAGCAATTGTTCGGAAATAATGATTGATTCCCATGTTTGTATCTTCTAAGAATGTACGAGTCATTTAGACCTAATGACGTAATGTATTACTACGCGAATACTGACCGATCAACTGGAGATAAAACTAACCGATCAACTGAAAACAACCTTTGGACACAAATTTATCAATAAACATGATTCACCAATAAATTTATATAAAATTATTTGTGATGTATTTATTTGTAATGTTACGTGAAATAAATTACGATTGGTGTGTGCACTGTTTTTTGTGAGGGAACTATTTTCTTGGCGGACTAGTAGTAAAAATCAAAGTCAATGATGATTCATCAGACGATGACAAACGGAGGGAATTCCCTGGGAAACCCATTGCACTTAATAACCCCTATATGTGACTGAATTTCAGAAATACATGAAATAAGGGCAACCAACATAAAAAAAATACATGTAGTCTATGAAGAGGATCCTACACCTAAAAGGGTCACCATGATATTCAATATTGAAACTATTGAAACAATTCAGTTCATGTTCATAATTGCATTGTATTACATGTATACATGTCACAATTGCTAGCCTACAATAAAGTTACAATAATAACGTTTTCAATAAACATTAATTAACAAAAAAAACATTATTATATCAATGTGTATTAGTCACTATTCCCACGACTTGGTAGCCTGCCTACAAGTCATCATCAGAGTCACTCTCTGCTATTGTAATCCTCCTGTATTTTGGAGCTAGTGCCCCAATAGGTGGACTTTGGCTTGAGGATATCATTTGTTGAGTGTTGGTGGATGTAAACACATTAAAAGTACAATTGTTGTATACATTTGCTGGAGGGACCTTTGATGTGGTATTCGATCCAGAGGGAACAAGGGCCGACATTTCGGGCATTAGGGACCCAGATGCGACGGATAGAGCTTTTGAAATAGTTTCGTGTTTCTTCAAGTTCAGTCCACTATTGTATTCATCTATTGATTTTGGATTTTTGTGTCCAGTAATATGCATTTGATCATATCGGTCAACATTGTTTTTGGTCATTGTCTCAACCAGAGTTTTTCTTACTCCGTGATTAGTATGACGTGTAGTAATACCAGCCATTTCACAGGCCTTCTTGGCTAAAGTAGACAGCATGTTTTTCCCCATAGCGTTGCTATAGTACCACGAATCATTGGTTTTGACTAGTCTCTTCTCAGGGATTGGGGTGAGGTAAAATGGCGAATCAGGTTTACTGTTCGATACAATTCTATGTCGTTGGAACTCTTTGTAAAATTTTATGGGACATCTATCTGTCGCAGTAGCAAAGATTTTAGGTGTCGTTTTTCGTGTGTCCATTTTATCCTCCACAGAGCCATCTCGCGTCTTACTACCACGAAAAACTTTCAGCTCCAAATATTCCTCACCTCCTGAAGACGTGGACAGTATGATATCCCCCCATTGCAGCTTACGATGTTCATCGCGTGCTCTGAAGCCAAAATGCAATGTGATAAAAAACCACATAGAAAACTGAAGATTCCATGGCTTGTCACTAGACAAGATTCCCTTTTCCCATAGTAAATTTATTTCCTCCGGAGAAAATGGGCTCGAAGCATTCGGTTTACGACCTTTTCCGAGTTTTTGAAGTTCCACCCTTTTTGCTTTAAGAGTATCCTGCACTAGTTTGAACTGTTTATCACGTGTTATTGAATGTTCATACCCATGTTTGCCGAGATATCGTTCAATAGAATGGACGAAAGATGTGAGGGTATTGGGTTCATATTGTTCCGTCCCTCCACATTTGCGAATATTCACTATAAAATCTGAGATGTATATGGCTAGATCTTCTGACGGCATCTGGAAGTAATGATATAAGAACATTGTAAGTAACTGCCTAAACGGGGCCTAAAGACTGGTGGGCCGGGTCAGACACTTATCTCCGTGGGGTAGCCGGGCCGGGGGAACAAGTTTAGCAACATAATTGAAGGAAGAAATTGACAAAATCTGTAAGAACTGCTTGATATAATGTAACATGTACATGTTGTCCAAAAATTAGATTCTTGATTACCAGGGACCGAATATATAGGATAATATTTAGAGTCTACTCACTGTTTCTACGGGTCTTTTTTCATTTTTAGGTAGAAAATCCAAAAATCTTTTTATATCCGAACTAGTTTTAGATTTAGTGCTAGCTTTTTCCTGCTGTTCTACAAAATGTCTTAAGTTATCCCGTTTAACAGACAGGTCTTCAACTGCATCAATATCATCCTCAAAAAGTTGTATTAATTCATTGAAATCGTCATCGAAAGCAAAATCCATTTTGTTTATCGGCAGGAAGAAAAGTACCCGGATGTTGGGAAAGTAGTCCCAGCGCTTGACCAATCAGAAAGTTAGCGGGCGCGGGCTTTTCAAAACTTATATTGGCCCGCTGTCTTGTGTACACTTTGCACTATACATCATCATAGGTATGTTATAATCAGTATTATTTGGTAGCTCTCAATGGAGTGATTTTGAAAATAGGGTCATTATTATTACAAAATACAGCCATGTACTACATTTATAACAGGACATTGCAACCAGAGATTCCAAATTACCCCCCTATCACATCAAACTAGTTATTACCCATTCTTGCCAGTCCTACGAAAACGTCGTCAAACGGGCTCAATCTGGCTGTGGTCGAGAAATATGTTTGAAATAATTAGCTTCTTCGTTCTTAAACAGTCTTCAATACGTCCATCTCATTCGCAGTTCGTTCAGGTCGCACCACGTCAGAGTGCAACGTCGTAGAACGCGCCCCTTAGTCTAGGAGGTCAACATGACCTGATTACAGAACGGTATGGTCGTCATCGAATTTAATTCTAAAATCACATTCCCGTCTGAGAACGTTCATAAAGTTCGTAAATAGACCTTAGAAAGTTGCAGCTACGTTCATTCCGTTCGCACACAGTTTAAAACCAGTTTTGAAGAACGCAGTGGCAACTTGTTTGGTGTGATAGCTATATTTTTGCTAACTCGTTCATAAGCAGTGTTAAATACGTTCTTAATCAGTTTAAACCCGTTTGCAATTAGTTCTACCTCGTTCTCAACACGTCCGCATACAGTTCAACTCGTTGTTAAAACGTCCCTAGTAGGATTAAAGTACGACGGTTCCGTTCGTAGTACGTCCAGCTCGTCGTTAATACGTTGTCACTCGTTCTAATTGTAGAACATGACGACCACAAGAACATGTTGAGCATTGTCTAAGTTCTAGAGGATCTACCTGTTCGAGTACGTTCGATGAAGTTTGTAAATAGATCCCAAACGGTTCTTAGTAGGTCCAGTCCGTTCGTATACAGTTGAAGCCCGTTTTCGAGAACGCAGTGAGAACTAGTTTGGTGTGATAGTAGGGTTATAAAGACTTTAAGGCATATTTAAAACATTGTACAAAAATGAATGTACTGTGGTATGAATGGGAATGAGTGAGTCTTGGTAATGGAGTTACAAACATTTTTTCACATTTGGTTGTATGTTATATTCATTATAGGATGAATCATGGGATCGGCCCGTGGATGAATAAAAAGTAAGTTATACAGCTTAGACTTTGAATCAATCAGAGAGTCCAATAAATTGTAGAAAAAATGTTCCATTTTTTAGGAATAACAGACTCTGATTGGCTCAGCAAGTTCAGATGTATATTGGTGATATAAAAGGATGAGACTCGGACCTCACTCAGTCACATTTGCTCTACGACGGCTGTAGCTTCACAAAATCAATATAGAAAATCTACATCGTACTTAGGCTTATCCCTATCTTATGCTGCAAGTTTCACTCAATTTTGGGAAGCTACAGCCGTCGTAGACTGGCCATAAATCAAATCTGACTGAGACATAACTCAACTGATTATGCAAATAGCACCATTGATTCATTAATTCAAAGAGTGTGAGTCAATACTTATCACTCTTAGAAAGAGTAGCTTAGGTTAATGAACTACAGTGAAACCTGTCAAGAGGAACACTTCTAGAAGTGGAACATCTCTTTTAGTGGAACACTCTCAAGAGTCCCAAGACCAACTGACTAATGTTAAATGAACCTCCATAAGTTGAACACCTCACAAGTGGAACACTTTTCACAGGTACATAAGGTTTTCTATTTAGACAGGTTTTACTGTGATAAATCAAGCTGGAGTGTTTCAACAGTGGAATGAACAATATCATTTGCTTGCTTACCGTCATCTCAGGTGTGAGTGCCCCACCCTCTTGTATGAGTAGCAATAGCCCATCTAGGTAGTCAGGAATACACTGGAAGTATGAGAATGTATGACTTGAGTTGAAAGTATTAGATTTTAGTTGAAATGCCAATATTCACTAAAAGTACAATCAGACATTAGCTGAATAATGTCAGTATGCACAGAAAGTACAATCAGACATAAGTTGAATAATGTCAGTATGCACTGAAAGTATGATCAGACATTAGCTGAATAATGTCAGTATGCACTGAAAGTACAATCAGACATTAGCTGAATAATGTCAGTATGCACAGAAAGTACAATCAGACATAAGTTGAATAATGCCAATATTCACTGAAAGTATGATCAGACATTAGTTGAATAATGTCAGTATGCACTGAAAGTACAATCAGACATTAGCTGAATAATGTCAGTATGCACAGAAAGTACAATCAGACATTAGCTGAATAATGTCAGTATGCACAGAAAGTACAATCAGACATAAGTTGAATAATGCCAATATTCACTGAAAGTATGATCAGACATAAGTTGAATAATGTCAGTATGCACTGAAAGTACAATCAGACATAAGTTGAATAATGCCAATATTCACTGAAAGTATGATCAGACATAAGTTGAATAATGCCAATATTCACTGAAAGTATGATCAGACATTAGCTGAATAATGTCAGTATGCACTGAAAGTACAATCAGACATTAGCTGAATAATGTCAGTATGCACAGAAAGTACAATCAGACATTAGCTGAATAATGTCAGTATGCACTGAAAGTACAATCAGACATTAGTTGAATAATGTCAATATTCACTGAAAGTATGATCAGACATAAGTTGAATAATGTCAGTATGCACTGAAAGTACAATCAGACATTAGCTGAATAATGTCAGTATGCACAGAAAGTACAATCAGACATTAGTTGAATAATGTCAATATTCACTGAAAGTATGATCAGACATAAGTTGAATAATGTCAGTATGCACTGAAAGTACAATCAGACATTAGCTGAATAATGTCAGTATGCACAGAAAGTACAATCAGACATAAGTTGAATAATGCCAATATTCACTGAAAGTATGATCAGACATAAGTTGAATAATGTCAGTACGCACTGAAAGTACAATCAGACATTAGTTGAATAATGTCAGTATGCACAGAAAGTACAATCAGACATAAGTTGAATAATGCCAATATTCACTGAAAGTATGATCAGACATAAGTTGAATAATGTCAGTACGCACTGAAAGTACAATCAGACATTAGCTGAATAATGTCAGTATGCACAGAAAGTACAATCAGACATAAGTTGAATAATGCCAATATTCACTGAAAGTATGATCAGACATAAGTTGAATAATGTCAGTATGCACAGAAAGTACAATCAGACATAAGTTGAATAATGCCAATATTCACTGAAAGTACAATCAGACATTAACTGAATAATGTCAGTATGCACTGAAAGTACAATCAGACATTAGCTGAATAACGTCAGTATGCACAGAAAGTACAATCAGACATAAGTTGAATAATGTCAGTATGCACTGCAAGTACAATCAGACATTAGCTGAATAATGTCAGTATGCACTGAAAGTACAATCAGACATTAGCTGAATAACGTCAGTATGCACAGAAAGTACAATCAGACATAAGTTGAATAATGTCAGTATGCACTGAAAGTATGATCAGACATTAGCTGAATAATGTCAGTATGCACTGAAAGTACAATCAGACATAAGTTGAATAATGCCAATATTCACTGAAAGTATGATCAGACATAAGTTGAATAATGTCAGTACGCACTGAAAGTACAATCAGACATTAGCTGAATAATGTCAGTATGCACAGAAAGTACAATCAGACATAAGTTGAATAATGCCAATATTCACTGAAAGTATGATCAGACATAAGTTGAATAATGTCAGTACGCACTGAAAGTACAATCAGACATTAGTTGAATAATGTCAGTATGCACTGAAAGTACAATCAGACATTAGCTGAATAATTTTAGTATGCACAGAAAGTACAATCAGACATTAGCTGAATAATGCCAATATTCACTGAAAGTATGATCAGACATAAGTTGAATAATGCCAATATTCACTGAAAGTACAATCAGACATTAACATGATCAGACATTAACTGAATAATGTCAGTATGCACTGAAAGTACAATCAGACATTAGCTGAATAATGTCAGTATGCACAGAAAGTACAATCAGACATTAGCTGAATAATGTCAGTATGCACAGAAAGTACAATCAGACATTAGCTGAATAATGTCAGTATGCACAGAAAGTACAATCAGACATAAGTTGAATAATGCCAATATTCACTGAAAGTATGATCAGACATAAGTTGAATAATGTCAGTATGCACTGAAAGTACAATCAGACATTAGCTGAATAATGTCAGTATGCACAGAAAGTACAATCAGACATAAGTTGAATAATGCCAATATTCACTGAAAGTATGATCAGACATAAGTTGAATAATGTCAGTATGCACTGAAAGTACAATCAGACATTAGTTGAATAATGTCAGTATGCACTGAAAGTACAATCAGACATTAGCTGAATAATGTCAGTATGCACAGAAAGTACAATCAGACATTAGCTGAATAATGTCAGTATGCACAGAAAGTACAATCAGACATAAGTTGAATAATGCCAATATTCACTGAAAGTATGATCAGACATAAGTTGAATAATGTCAGTATGCACTGAAAGTACAATCAGACATAAGTTGAATAATGCCAATATTCACTGAAAGTATGATCAGACATAAGTTGAATAATGCCAATATTCACTGAAAGTATGATCAGACATTAGCTGAATAATGTCAGTATGCACTGAAAGTACAATCAGACATTAGCTGAATAATGTCAGTATGCACAGAAAGTACAATCAGACATAAGTTGAATAATGCCAATATTCACTGAAAGTATGATCAGACATAAGTTGAATAATGTCAGTATGCACTGAAAGTACAATCAGACATTAGCTGAATAATGTCAGTATGCACAGAAAGTACAATCAGACATAAGTTGAATAATGCCAATATTCACTGAAAGTATGATCAGACATAAGTTGAATAATGTCAGTATGCACTGAAAGTACAATCAGACATTAGATGAATAATGTCAGTATGCACAGAAAGTACAATCAGACATAAGTTGAATAATGCCAATATTCACTGAAAGTATGATCAGACATCAGTTGAATAATGTCAGTACGCACTGAAAGTACAATCAGACATTAGTTGAATAATGTCAGTATGCACAGAAAGTACAATCAGACATAAGTTGAATAATGCCAATATTCACTGAAAGTATGATCAGACATAAGTTGAATAATGTCAGTACGCACTGAAAGTACAATCAGACATTAGCTGAATAATGTCAGTATGCACAGAAAGTACAATCAGACATAAGTTGAATAATGCCAATATTCACTGAAAGTATGATCAGACATAAGTTGAATAATGTCAGTATGCACAGAAAGTACAATCAGACATAAGTTGAATAATGCCAATATTCACTGAAAGTACAATCAGACATTAACTGAATAATGTCAGTATGCACTGAAAGTACAATCAGACATTAGCTGAATAACGTCAGTATGCACAGAAAGTACAATCAGACATAAGTTGAATAATGTCAGTATGCACTGCAAGTACAATCAGACATTAGCTGAATAATGTCAGTATGCACTGAAAGTACAATCAGACATTAGCTGAATAACGTCAGTATGCACAGAAAGTACAATCAGACATAAGTTGAATAATGTCAGTATGCACTGAAAGTATGATCAGACATTAGCTGAATAATGTCAGTATGCACTGAAAGTACAATCAGACATAAGTTGAATAATGCCAATATTCACTGAAAGTATGATCAGACATAAGTTGAATAATGTCAGTACGCACTGAAAGTACAATCAGACATTAGCTGAATAATGTCAGTATGCACAGAAAGTACAATCAGACATAAGTTGAATAATGCCAATATTCACTGAAAGTATGATCAGACATAAGTTGAATAATGTCAGTACGCACTGAAAGTACAATCAGACATTAGTTGAATAATGTCAGTATGCACTGAAAGTACAATCAGACATTAGCTGATTAATTTTAGTATGCACAGAAAGTACAATCAGACATTAGCTGAATAATGCCAATATTCACTGAAAGTATGATCAGACATAAGTTGAATAATGCCAATATTCACTGAAAGTACAATCAGACATTAACATGATCAGACATTAACTGAATAATGTCAGTATGCACTGAAAGTACAATCAGACATTAGCTGAATAATGTCAGTATGCACAGAAAGTACAATCAGACATTAGCTGAATAATGTCAGTATGCACAGAAAGTACAATCAGACATTAGCTGAATAATGTCAGTATGCACAGAAAGTACAATCAGACATAAGTTGAATAATGCCAATATTCACTGAAAGTATGATCAGACATAAGTTGAATAATGTCAGTATGCACTGAAAGTACAATCAGACATTAGCTGAATAATGTCAGTATGCACAGAAAGTACAATCAGACATAAGTTGAATAATGCCAATATTCACTGAAAGTATGATCAGACATAAGTTGAATAATGTCAGTATGCACTGAAAGTACAATCAGACATTAGTTGAATAATGTCAGTATGCACTGAAAGTACAATCAGACATTAGCTGAATAATGTCAGTATGCACAGAAAGTACAATCAGACATTAGCTGAATAATGTCAGTATGCACAGAAAGTACAATCAGACATAAGTTGAATAATGCCAATATTCACTGAAAGTATGATCAGACATAAGTTGAATAATGTCAGTATGCACTGAAAGTACAATCAGACATAAGTTGAATAATGCCAATATTCACTGAAAGTATGATCAGACATAAGTTGAATAATGCCAATATTCACTGAAAGTATGATCAGACATTAGCTGAATAATGTCAGTATGCACTGAAAGTACAATCAGACATTAGCTGAATAATGTCAGTATGCACAGAAAGTACAATCAGACATAAGTTGAATAATGCCAATATTCACTGAAAGTATGATCAGACATAAGTTGAATAATGTCAGTATGCACTGAAAGTACAATCAGACATTAGCTGAATAATGTCAGTATGCACAGAAAGTACAATCAGACATAAGTTGAATAATGCCAATATTCACTGAAAGTATGATCAGACATAAGTTGAATAATGTCAGTATGCACTGAAAGTACAATCAGACATTAGATGAATAATGTCAGTATGCACAGAAAGTACAATCAGACATAAGTTGAATAATGCCAATATTCACTGAAAGTATGATCAGACATCAGTTGAATAATGTCAGTATGCACTGAAAGTACAATCAGACATTAGCTGAATAATGTCAGTATGCACAGAAAGTACAATCAGACATAAGTTGAATAATGCCAATATTCACTGAAAGTATGATCAGACATAAGTTGAATAATGTCAGTATGCACTGAAAGTACAATCAGACATTAGCTGAATAATTTCAGTATGCACAGAAAGTACAATCAGACATAAGTTGAATAATGCCAATATTCACTGAAAGTATGATCAGACATAAGTTGAATAATGTCAGTATGCACTGAAAGTACAATCAGACATTAGTTGAATAATGTCAATTTGCACTGAAAGTACAATCAGACATTAGCTGAAAAATGCCAGTATTCACTAAAAGTACAATCAGACATTAGCTGAATAATGTCAGTATGCACTGCAAGTACAATCAGACATTAGCTGAATAATGCCAATATGCACTGAAAGTACAATCAGACATTAGCTGAATAATGTCAGTATGCACAGAAAGTACAATCAGACATAAGTTGAATAATGCCAATATTCACTGAAAGTATGATCAGACATAAGTTGAATAATGTCAGTATGCACTGAAAGTACAATCAGACATTAGTTGAATAATGTCAGTATGCACTGAAAGTACAACCAGACATTAGCTGAAAAATGCCAGTATTCACTAAAAGTACAATCAGACATTAGCTGAATAATGTCAGTATGCACTGAAAGTACAATCAGACATTAGTTGAATAATTTCAATATTCACTGAAAGTATGATCAGACATCAGCTGAAAAATGCCAGTATTCACTAAAAGTACAATCAGACATTAGCTGAATAATGTCAGTATGCACTGAAAGTACAATCAGACATTAGTTGAATAAATTGCCAGTCTGCACTTTATATAGAAGTAGTCACATTTTCATTGATAAAACATAACAGAGTGGCCTATGAATAAGATGAATATGGTTACACTGACTGCCTTTAGTATAATCAAACAAAAGTGAAAAGATATACAATGTATATCCATTCAACCATAACACAGGAAGATTCTTGTCAGGTTATCGTGCCTTGTAATTAATATAAATCGAGCATTGAATAAGTATTATTAGAATTGAGCAATGCAACTTCATTGCTTATTATATAATTGATTACCCTGAGCGAAATGATAAGTATAACACCATCTGATTAGAACGGACTCGCTAAATAATGACAATACCTAAGCATACACAGACAATCTCTAACTGTGTTAGGGTTTACAAATTTCAGGATACCTGATTGTAGATAATGTCAATATAGAGGTCACTACTGCCTTCTAGTCGCAATGGGAAAAACCAACTTGTCCTCTGGAAAAGCAGGTAAAATTCTTTGCGTTGAATCATCAGTTCCGTTGTGATGTCAAATATATACTCATTCCTTGTCAGTGGGCAATATAAGTTTTCTGAAAAACATATTATGTTGCTTAAAGAGTATGACTTGTTTAAACCAGAACAACGGCAACGCCAAAGCGTAGCGAATCCCATCGAACAGCCATGGCTGGCATTTTTACAAACAAAGTATATAGCAAAAATGGCAGCCATTTTTCAAAATGGCCACCTTCTACCAAAAGTGTCATTAGACAGTGTGCTATGCTTATAATATTCACATACCAAATATGAACAAAATCGCTCTACTACTTTTCGAGTTATAGTAAAATACGTTAAAATGGCCGCCATTTTGAAAAATGGCCGCCTTCTACCAAAAGTGTCATTAGACAGTGTGCTATGCTTATAGTATTCACATACCAAATATGAACAAAATCGCTCCACTACTTTTCGAGTTAAAGTAAAATAAGTTAAAATGGCGGCCATTTTTCAAAATGACCACCATTTTCAAAATGGCCGCCTTCTACCAAAAGTGTCATTAGACAGTGTGCCATGCTTATAGTATTCACATACCAAATATGAACAAAATCGCTCCACTACTTTTCGAGTTACAGCAAAAATTGTAAAATAACGAGTAAAGGCCGCCATTTTTCAAGATGGCTGCCATGTGCTTTTATACTATCTACATTTCTAGCTTTATTAATGTCCTACATAATTTTTTTACATTTAAAACATATTGCCATTACAGTTTTACATATTGCACCTAAATTACTGTAAAATCAGCACTAAAATGGCCGCCATTTTTAAATAAGCGGCCATTTTGAAAATTGGCTTCCGAGCAGAACTTCTACCCCCATAGGGTATATGTGTACAAAATATGAACAAAATCAGACCAACGGTATTTGAGTTATTGCTCGGACGGACGGACGTATGTACGGACGGACGGAGGCGTTCCCTATATCCCTCCGAACTTCGTTCGATGGGATAATTAATGAAAATACAATGTACAGTTAGGATATGATTTAATGTATAATTTCAAGCCTCATTCAAATATGTTCATTTCTCAAATATTTGACATTGGATCTGAAAACCTATTTATAATCAATAAGGAAAGGTAAGTTTATCCGATACACAAATCATATGGGTGACCTGGTTATTTGGACCGGTTATTTTGAGTTCATCAATCAGTCAAACAGACCACAAATCCATGGTAATAAGTTCTTATACTATTAAACTAACACTCCATCCACCAAAATATGTGCATGTACTTACCTTTTTCAACTACATAAAATATTGCATATTCTTCCGTCTCAATATCATTTGAGATGTGAAGTTCTTGGCAAATAGCTTCGACTACATCTTCCACAACTGTCGTCGATTTTGACTGCATCACAAATGGTGTTCCACCAGGAAGCACGATGAGTTGACGTTTTGTTATACGTCCAACTGTCACTTGGTCAATTTCTACAGAAGTGGGGATATTTTTTCTACCACCATATTTTAGTGTTTTTCGTATATTTTGAAGACAAACTGAAGCCAAGCCTGAAACGTAAATCAATGTATCATCAAGGGTGAACCTGCTCAAACAAGATTAGACAGGCATGAACTTGCTTAAACAAGATCAGACAAAGTTGAACCTGATTAAACAAAATTAGTCAGGCATGAACCTGCTTAGACAAGATTAGACAGGCATGAACCTGCTTAGACAATATTAGACAGGCATGAACCTGCTTAGACAAAATTAGACATGCATGAACCTGCTCAAACAAGATACAATGTGCCTGGACCTGTTAAAACAATATCAGACAAGCCAAAGCCTGTTTAAGACAAGCTTATAACTGTTCAAGCAGTGACCAGTATTCTGACATACACACAATACAGTATATACACACCATGGTACTGCCTAGATGAATTGTAGGCAGCATTTTCTAGATATGTCATAAGGTAGGGCCTGAGAATGTCTGAGGTATTGTAGTATGCACACATAATTGACATCAACCGCCAGCCCCTCTGACAGCTAAACCTGAAGAAGAATAGAGAGAGGCAATTATATATGATAATCGTATGGTTTTATTATAAAGCTTAGACAATGTGTATGATATGTCTCTGAGTGGAATTTAAGGAAAAGAGACTGTTAAATATTTTTGACCCTTTGACACCTGTGCAAACATATTTGGAAATCATCTGGTAAACCAAGACCTTTAAATACAAAGATGCATATTTAAGTTACATTAACTTACGGTTTTGTGCTCCTATTACTGGTAGTCTGCTTACAGAGTTGCACATAGACCTCATCTCGGAGATCAGCATGATAATGGCAAGCCTGAAATAAACGTTAAGTTATAACTTGACATGGCGTCTGTTCATACACTATTTGATCAAATACACATGTACATGTACATATACATATACATGTACATATACCTGGTAACAACCTAAAACACTCTCATTTAGTCATTCAACTAGGAAAAGTTGGACAGGAAATTGCAACCTTCCCCTCAATCTTTACAATCTCTATACTCTTTTGAATAGAATTGCAAACAAAAAATATGGAGAAATTGTTATTGAGCCATAGTAATCATGTACTGTTATTTTTCCACATTGTATTAGCATGTTTGTTTTCACTTTTGACTTGTATATTTTCATAAAGCTCAGAAAGCCCATTTTAAGGTTCCCCATGGGAAGTTAGGACCAAGTATACAAAAAAATACTGAGATAATCTATGATACCAATTACAGCCATATTTAATTTAATCATTCTTGTTGTGACTGCATGGACTTACAGTAAGAACAGCATGTACACAGTCTACCAACTTCTGGTTCTTGGCTAGAGGGTAGTCTCCCATGTACCGCATTATTGCTGCAAAAGACAAATAAACAAAAACTGAATTTTCATTTCCAGATTTCAGTTCTCTTATTTCTACCCAAAATGACTATTCAAAGAGAGGTGTTTAGTTGAATGAAAAAACATCTGAAGCTTTCTATAATTAGAAAAACTCGAGTGATTTCTAATTTAAAATATGCGACAAAAGCCCTACAAGCCCACCTACTCAGGTTCATACATAGAAATTGTTCAAGTGATAAAAAAGAAAACCCTTAACTGTGGAATAAAAATGCACAAATATTGTGATTTTTATCCACTGAGGATATTCAATATCTTCCCTCTTTCTCTATAATATAATGCAGATATCAAATCCGATTCACTCATTAATCACATATATCATTCGTATGAAGACAAAAAGTGTAGAATATTCCTTCAAGCAATATATCAAAACCATCATTGAAATGCCAATAAATTATTTTTAGGAATAGTGATGTTGTCTTATTTATCATTACAATGTTTATTGCTACGTAAACCCCTCTAATCCTTACACTCCCTGGACCTTTATTCCGGACATTTTCAACATGTTTTTCCATGAGTTATGGAAAATTGTTCTATTTATGATGATTTACAAATCCTCAACTATATCTATTTTACAGAAAAATTAATCAAATTTCTAAATCTATTTGTAATGTTTCTCAACATAAACTATAATTCTACCAGAAAAATAAATCAAAATTTCTAATCAATCTGTGTGTTTTTCACAAAAACATTACATGTTATTTCACAAAAATGAGGTTATTGCCTGATACAACTTGAAGTTCATTGATATATGGCAAACAATGCTCCCTCTAGAGGGGGTCAAAGGCACTATAACCTGTAAATATTTTCTATTGATTTCATATTCAAAAATAATTAACTAAAGCATTAGGCATTAACAGGAAAAATGTCACCACCTGCTATTTGTTACAGAGGTTGAATGACGAACGCCAGACGCCCACACAAAAAATAGGAGACATAACAATATTATATGACTATGCATCTAGTCTCAACATTCTGTTTATGGAACATGGGATTTACAAGGAGTGTAGTATGATAGGATGATGCTGATTCAGATACAGGAAAAGAGGGTAAACCCCAGGGTTCATTGAAGACATTTAGTCTATAATGTAAATGTGTATTGAGAAGACATCTTTGCTGATTGGTCAAATTGACAGACAATTGAAGTCATTCAATGGCACTCTCAAAATTTTCTAAAAATGCTTCGAATAATATTATGTTAATTTCTGGCATGTTAACCAATATCATAGCTTGTTATTTCACATCAAGATATAACAAAGATGTAAAGAATATGCTAACATCGATTAAAACATCACAAAATGTGGTATTCCAAAACTAAGATACCAAAAATTTGGACAAATAAAATTGGTAAGCAAGAAACATAATTGTCTGTCATCTCTAAGCTCTAGGGTTTGCCCTCCTCTTGGGTAAAGGATGATATTTGTTTCTACTTACAAATGAAGCACTCCAGTGCCATCTTATTGAGCTTTGAATTGCTGTGCTTCAGTAGAGAAATCTGGATAGGAGACTAAAATGAAAAAACAACATAAATGCAAGTTTCTAAACATGACAATGTAACAGACAATTATATATGTAACAGACAATCATATGTAACAGACAATCATTTGTAGTGACAGACCATCATATGTAACAGACAATCATATGTAGTAACAGACAATCATATGTAGTATCAGACAATCATATGTAACAGACAATCATATGTGGTGACAGACAATCATATGTAACAGACAATCATATGTAGTGACAGACAATCATATGTAACAGACAATCATATGTAGTATCAGACAATCATATGTAACAGACAATCATATGTGGTGACAGACAATCATATGTAACAGACAATCATATGTAGTGACAGACAATCATATGTAGTGACAGACAATCATATGTAGATACAGACAATCATATGTAGTCACAGACAATCATATGTAACAGACAATCATATGTAGTGACGGATAATCATATTTAACAGACAATCATATGTAGTGACACAATCATATGTAACAGACAATCAAATGTTTCAGACAATCATATGTAACAGACAATCATATGTAGTGACGGATAATCATATTTAACAGACAATCATATGTAGTGACACAATCATATGTAACAGACAATCAAATGTTTCAGACAATCATATGTAACAGATAATAATCATCACTTATCTCAAAAATGGTGGTTGTAAAACTTGCACAATGAACAGAAGCAAGAACCCTTTTTAAAACTATTCCCAAAATGGTCAAATAAATAAATGATACACTATTAAAATATACCTTTGTCCACTTGACAAGCTCTGCTTGTTCTTTCCATGACCAGCTATCTGTTTTCTTTCCTAAAATACAACATATTAAAATCAAATTCAACGAAAGGTCAAGGTCATGCAAGGTCCAAATATTCTGCAACGTCGCCAATGAGGTCAAATGTCAAATATATAATTATAATTTATTTCAATAGTATATTTGAAAGACTATTTCACCATTATCCTCCTAATGCTTGCAATTATAGAAACTTTTAGAAACTGGCAATAAATTCTTTTTATAGATAGTTATAATATTCACCGTTTATGAAAACATAAAAATTTTCAAATTCTTGCCAATTGAGAAACTCTCACTCTCATTACCTAAGTTCACCCTATTTTACACATTATTGATTTTCAGATGCACATGTATTGGGATATGCAGTAAACACATTTAACTTAACATCACAATTAATAGCTAGTTCATATTGGGAAATACATCAGCTACATGTATCTACATCTTGGATTGATTGCAGTATACATCACTGGTATCAATAATTTTGGCCAATCATAACTTTTGAATTTTAATAAAAATTGTTAAATTAAACCTTCATTTTTATAAGCATATCAATACTCAACTGTAAATCTCAACTGTCTTGGCAGTAAATGTAAGGGCTTTAAAAATCATTAATATTACTGAAGGGATAAGGTGTAAATGCACTTTGCACTTAAAACGCAAAAGCTCATAGGAACTAATTTTTACTAAGACTGTTTCGTACAAGCATTCCAAGCATTATATAATAGGCAATATTTGTTCAGGTCCAAAAACCATAATTTCATAATTCCAGAAGATTTTCTTTTGATTTCTTATCTATAATTTTTCAATTTGAAAGCAGTTTTGATTTCAACATTTTATTTGAATGCATTTAACAGCTACTGAAACAGCAAAGGGAACACCTCATGGCACATGCCAAGATTATGAAAGGATTATACACATGACAAGATCAAGAGCCCTTCATGATGCAAGACAAAGAGCCCTTCAAATGCACTAGTATGAGGAGACAAAGAGCCCTTCATGATGCATGACAAGATTTTATAAGAGCCCTTTATGACAAATGACAAGATCTGGAGGACCTTCATGACACACAAGTCATGACCTCTGCATGATGCATGACAAGTTTAAGAGTCCTTTGTGATCCATGACAAGATTAGATAACACTTTAGTTAGCATTGTTAGTTGTTAGTAAAAGGATAGCTATGTTAAAGTTATATAGAAACTACATGCTAAATGCATGTCCCATCACCTTTTTTATGACTAGAGTTTTTGTTAGATTTCCCAAGCTTCATACTTTCAAGTTTCTTAACTGTCCCTCTAATAGAGCCATCGTCGGTGCGGACCATCTCATACCTAAATGAAACACAAGCCTACGTAATACAAGCAACTTAAATATGGATGTTTTTTCTCTATTTGGATGAGGGGGAACCATGCTGTATTTGTCAGTTTGTAGATTCCAACTGGAACTAGTCTCTGAAAGTCTATTCTTAGTTCAGTAATACAGTAAAGCCTGTTTGAACAATCTGATGATTGGAACTTTTAGAAATCTGGACAATTTTTGAGTCAGTATACTCAATGGTAGACTGATGCTATGCTATGAAAACTGAATATGAATGAACATCACTGAAAATGAATGAACATCATTGAAAATGAATGAACATCATTGAACATGAATGAACATAATTGAAAATGAATGAACATCATTGAATATGAATGAACATCACTGAATATGAATGAACATCACTGAAAATGAATGAACATCATTGAATATGAATGTACATCATTGAATATTAATAAACATCATTGAAAATGAATGAACATCGTTGAATATGAATGAACATCATTGAAAATGAATGAACATCATTGAATATGAATAAACATCATTGAATATGAATAAACATCATTGAAAATGAATGAACATCGTTGAATATGAATGAACATAAATGAAAATGAATGAACATCATTGAATATGAATGAACATTATTGAAAATGAATGAACATCATTGAATATGAATAAACATCATTGAAAATGAATGAACATTGTTGAATATGAATGAACATAATTGAAAATGAATGAACATCATTGAATATGAATGAACAGTATTGAAAATGAATTGACATCATTAAATATGAATAAACATTATTGAAAATGAATGAACATCGTTGAATATGAATGAACATAATTGAAAATGAATGAACATCATTGAATATGAATGAACATTATTGAAAATGAATGAACATCATTGAATATGAATGTACATTATTGAAAATGAATGAACATCATTGAATATGAATAAACATCATTGAAAATGAATGAACATCGTTGAATATGAATGAATATAATTGAAAATGAATGAACATCATTGAATATGAATGAACATTATTGAAAGAACATCATTGAATATGAATAAACATCATTGAAAATAAATGAACATCATTGAATATGAATGAACATCATTGTATATGAATGAACATTATTGAAAATTAATGAACATCATTGAATATGAATGAACATTATTGAAAATGAATGAGCATTATTGAAAATGAATGAACATCATTGAATATGAATAGACATCATTGAAAATAAATGAACATCATTGAATATGAATGAACATCATTGTATATGAATGAACATTATTGAAACTTAATGAACATCATTGAATATGAATGAACATTATTGAAAATGAATGAGCATTATTGAAAATGAATGAACATCATTGAATATGAATAGACATCATTGAAAATAAATGAACATCATTGAATATGAATGAACATCATTGAATATGAATGAGCATTATTGAAAATGAATGAACATCATTGAATATGAATAAACATCATTGAATATGAATAAACATTTTTAAATATGAATGAATATCATTGAAAATAAATGAACACCATTGAAAATGAATGAACATCGCTGAAAATGTATAAACACAATTGAAAATGAATGATCTTGCAAATGTTAACAGGTTACTGACCATAACCCAATTAAATTGTCCAAATGCCTAATGCCTCAATATGAAAGCACATTATTTTGAAAAAATTAGCCTTACACCCTGAGCAGTGATTCTCACAAATAGGCTTTACTGTATTTTAAAATCCCATTATAGCTGGAAAGGGATGGTGCCCTTAATCATGGAAGAAGGAAATTATTTTCGTTAGAAGGGAGGGTCAAATGTCTTATCACTTATTCTTGGGTGAAAAATATTGATTTTTGATCCAGGGAATGTTAGTATTATGAACATTTAAAACTATTATAAGGGGGGAGGGGTTAAACCGTTACAAAATTAACCTTTCTTCCACAACATTGCTAACATTTGGAGACCACCCCTAACTAAATAAATACAATCCAAATTATACACAATATCTCCCCAAGCAGGTTTATTAACAAAGCTTCATGGCTCATTCACTGTATGTTGTGCATGTGGCTACCTTTTCTCCCAAAAGATCTTCGTTTTCGATTGCTACAATATAAGACATATAGATGGCAGTTCGTTATAATTGAGATTGTTATTTTAAGAATTAAATATTAGTTAGATGAATAAAAGCAAAATTGTTAAAAGCAATGTCTAGAAACATTAGTTCAAACCAATTCAAGATTTTTTATCGTATCAAAATGATTATTAGAGAAAAGAGTAAAAAAACAAGATAACCAAGATTTATTTTCTAGAAAAAAGAAAACAAACGATTCTTGTTTTTTAATTGTACTTAACAAAATAACAATAGAAACATTGTTAAAGACAATCTGAATCAGAATTCAGAATATTCCTTCTGGGAACATGCTGAAGTTGAAATAATATGCATTAAATCCATATAAGACAGCCAAGAGATGGTGAACATACCTATCCATGGTTTCTCTAAAATGTAGCATTGCAAACTCCATCATAGAATATTTACCATCTCGCATAACAGAACTGCTTTGACTAGTGACACTGCCTTCATCCTATAACACACAAGTATTTGGCATTTTATTTTCATCGCATTAACATGGAAAATGTCACAACCTGCCATTTGTTACACTATGAGGCCCCTGTTATCTTGCACAATCAGAAAAATAATTTTGAGGGCCAAAATGTGCTTCTACCCCGATAAATTGGACAATTTAGCTGACAAATTGCCATTATTTTCAGATTTTGAGCCCAAAAATATCAAATTCGAGGCCAAATTTTTGCAACTCCCTCTTGATTTTCAGATCTGCCTCAGATAAGTGAACACATAATGAGTGAAGTTGTTTTTGTTAACATTACAATGGGTGAAAAAAGAATGAATAAATTGAAAATTTTGGTCTTGGCAAGAAATATGGCCTGTAAAGTATTGCATACTATACTAGTATAACGGATACAGAACATAGTTTTTTTACTACATGTATGTTGCTATATATTAATGTGGCCGGGCCTGCATATAAGGAAAAATCATTTTAACTGGCATATTAAATAAATTTCCTCACCAATTAAATATTACATGTATTTCACAGAGTGAAATAAATGAATTGTTCTGGTTATTAAATTATGTAAGAAACCTGGAATGTGTAATAAAATATTAATGACCATGTTCAGATGAGCCAGCTTGAATTTCAATAAAAAAAATCGGGAAAGAACATAAAAATGAGCCGACAATTTGCTGGACAGCTCTACCTGCATGTATATACTCACCCTATATATGTATTGACTTCAATATCATTACTCTATACTTACTAGGACTCTGACTGGGTCATCATGGAAGATCATGAGGGGCTCTTGTGGGGAGAATTGTGAACTTTGGGGCTCAGGTGGGGGTTCCTCCCTGCGTTCCCGAACAGGCTCAGGTATTGCTGCTACTGTGGTTACAGGAATAATAGGTCGCTCCGGAGGCTGAGGAAAGATAAGCGCTAAAGTTGACTACACACAGTTTAGAAGCAACTACAGAACAGACCCAATGCCAAAGACTTCTACTATGACAGTAAACGTTCACCTACGTGAATACTAAAGATTGGTTTATTATTAAAACACAATTAAATTTATGTTAGAATTATTTGATGTAGATATGTTTTTTTCATTTACTAGTATCAATCAGCAACATAAAATGAGAAAATATAAAGGACATGCATGCTTTAGAACCATAGGCTTTCAACTAGAAATCTTATTGAAAGCCCATGTTTAGAACTAATAGTTAAGTATCTCCCCATTCAGAGTGACCTTCACCCTCTATGTCCATTGCTCATTACCCATAATGCCCAGACTAGCAGACGATATATACATTTGCAGGTTATCAACATCTCATTATCATCACCAAAAGATCAACACAGAATTGATAAACAAAATACCTTTGTACTTATCAATAGCCTTGCATCCCAAATAGCCCTTGTGTGCCCCCCCCCCTCCTCAATAAACATGCACACCTTTCAAACAGTGTATTCCCAGAGTATGATAAACAAAACAAGGCATGAACATACAAGATGTCACTACCTCCCATTTGTTACAAATGCTAAACATTGATTCCCAAACATCAAACACCTAATGCCAAACACCAACCATTAAACGGCCTCCACAAAAAAGTTGGAGACCATTACAGTATGCCACCGCTTGTGGTGGCAACATAAAAATAGATTGATGCAAGGCTGAGTTTCTAAAGGCATTTCACAATCCATTCAGGATCCCACACTTTGTCTTCCCTGCATTTAGACTAATAGGATCCAAGTGAAGAAAGATCAGGATCACCTTTAAAGCATTTTATCCATATATAAACCAATTGTAATCCTTACCTTATATAAACTGCTCTCCTTACGTATGAGCTCATGCCTCGCTAAAGGTTTCACATATTCTGTTGGAAATGCTCCAGTTCTACCTTGTAATGACCCATACAGCCAGCCTGGATATTAGAATATAATTTTTATTGGACGTTCACGCACATCAGCTATTTTATGTAATAACATTTCATTGAGAAATTAATGAACAATGCATATGTAGAATTTTTATATTGATTTTTGCGTTTCATTTGTTATTAATTAAACCTCCATAAAACCTCCATGCAATCACATGTGAACTCCATGTCGATTAATTCTTTGATGTATATTTGAAAAGCTAGTAATTAGCAGGCCCGTAGCCAGGGGAGTAGGGGGGGGTTGTTAAATGTTAGCCCCTTTGGAATTTTTTAAAAGTGAACCCCCTTGGCAATTAAAAAGCTTGCTATTGGCCTGACAAGTCTTATATCAACTCCATGTATATGCTTCTCCGTTAATTTACAGGCCTGCCATACAAGAAGATACAGATGTTGAGAAATATATAACAATGGGATATGAGATTTATTGCATGACTTCCATTTATCAGTTGTCGAATTTATGTTAAACTTTTACAGGGGAGGGTGATGATAAGAGAAATAGATAATAATTTGAAATTCTATTGTAGTTACCTCTGTCCATATACATATCTCTATTTGTTAATACTATGATGTCTCCCTTCATAAAGCTGAGTAAAGTTGATTCCCGAGTGATGTAATCCTTCAACGCTCTCACATAGGTCGTCTCCTGAAAACGGGAGTAACGCGACCAATAACACATTTTGTACTTCTCCATGTTGTCAACTTATTGTACATTTACTATTGCCACCTACATTTGTTAATTTCAATTTTCATCACATATTCATTTTGATAAGTGTCATACTCCTTTTTGTACATTTTAATGATTGTCAATTTTCATTGTATATTTTCACTAATTGCCCAGTAAAAGTATTGTATATTTCCATCTTAAATATTGATAGTCATGTACATATCCTCATTACAAATAGCAAATAATTGTGAATTTCAACATGTATTTTGACAAAAATCATCAATATGTCAGCCAAGCTAGACAAACAGGTCAGACAAAGTATTGTTTTAAATTAGAATAACACAAACAGAGTTAATGAAGCAAATTCATGACTTGACAACACACACACACAAGCTTGGGGGCGAAAAGAGCCTTTAACGTAAGCCTAATCAACTTTAGACATATTTGTGGTGCAATAATTGACATGTAGCTGTTGAATTTGGAAAAACAGATAATGAGATCAGTGTAAGGTAAAATTCAAAATTAGCATTTTGTGTAAAGAAATTATCATATTGCGTAGGACGTCAATATTTGAATTTCCAATCTTATGAATAAAATAACTCACTAATTAGAATTAGAATGAATTGCGATTATTTGAGATTTAGTAAAGACGTAGTCAAGAACAGTATGTTGCACACATTATTGTATTTATTACCATCTTAGTATTGAATAGCATGCTTTATATCATGCATTAATTTTGATACATGACCTCAAGGCATAATAGATAACTCAGATTCAAAAAATAAGTTATTTAATGATTCAAGTGAAAAACAGAAAATTATTCTGCACAATAAAGGATGCATGATGTCAGTTTGATACATGATACATGATGTCAGCTTGTTATACAGATGATGTCAGCTAATACAGATTCATCTTTAAATATATGAGATACATTGACATATACTGACATCATACGGACTATTCTAATTACCAGAAATGACGCTATTATGAGATAAATGTGATTTATAAGTAAAAAATGAATTTGCAAAAATGCAAATTGACCACTAATATGGGGGATATGTTATATTACTTTATGGAGGTATTAACTAAATGGTTCATATAGTGTACAAGGGGTCTTACCTTTTCACATTCAATGCAATAGGCTTCTATCATCATTTTGATCTGTTTTGCCTAAAATAGAAAATATATCCATATAGGAAAATTGAGTTATACAGCAAAACCTGTCTTTAGTGAACACCTCTTAGTAGTGAACACCTCTGTTAAGTGAACACCATTTCAAGTCACATTTTACATTGACTCGTTTAAAATCCCCTCTCTGTAGTGAACACCTACCTATTTGTGACTCCATAGATGTTCATTAAGACAAATATTAAGATAAAACCCATATTCAATCCCTCTCAATATATGACCCCATCATGTTTCATTAGCAGCAGGTAACAGGTGGTTTTCACTGGTTGTTTTCACAAAATCGCCTGTTGTTTTTAGGGACTTTTCAACTTTCCATGTTAAACTTATGATTTCCATTTTGCTTGTTATTTTGATTAGCTTAGCTTGTGAGAAATTCAAGTGAAACCCCTGATATGGCATCTCACTAGAATTTACTCCATAATCCACTCACCCTATTGGTGTAAAGTATCAACCAATCATCAGCAAGACGTATTTGTACTGTATGTTTTTTCGGGACACTGACATCAATTATTTTGTCAAATCTAAAATCAAAATAATTTAATTCAGATGACTTAAAAAACTCCTAACAAGAGTTCTTTTGAAAAATACTTTTCTGGATATTATTCTTGACCTAACCAATATCCAAATCTAAAATGAAGTGAGAAATCATGCCATCGCATTTCCTACTTGTAATAAATAGCTAACATAAATTTTTCATTCAAACTCCTGAAAGTACAAGAAACTACATTTGATATCATTAAAATCTTATCAACATTGAAACTGTAAATCCTCTGCAATAGTAAGAGGACAGGCAAGTTGCCAGGCCAATGAGAAACAGGGTAGCTGTACTTACTTATGCGACTGCAGTATTTTGATGGTGTGTTCATTTGCTTCTTGGTCTCTTTTGCATAGATGTATACCTGCATGGCTGACTGCTAGCATATGGGGCCTGGAAAGCTTACTGCCTCCCTGTAGCACATATATGAAGTATAAGTATTATGTTTTAATGAAATAAATAAAAAAATAAAAAAAGACAAAGATTTCAATGTTATACATGTACAAGTATAACTTAAGGAACATGTTAATGGTGCTTGTAACCTTCATGAGAAATGTTAAATATTGCATTTATATGAATTAATTATGCAATTAAAAACCACGTCAAATTGTCAAAAATAGCTATAGGGGTACATGACAATTTGGATTTGAAAATGTTGATTTCCCATTCCTTGGTCACTAAAGCACTATAACATTTATACCTGGCAGCTATGTCGCCTTTCCAACAAGATCACAAAACTGACAAAAGAAGGGATGCATATATAAGGACAAATAAGAATGAGACACATTTTATCTTGGGGAATCTATCTTAATACTTTTATTCTTAAACATGTTCTTCAGGTTGGATTATTAATGGGCGTTTCAGATCACATCTGGATCCTTTTTCAACTGTAATAATACATATCTTAATACTATTTCATAACTTACATTTATAGGAAACAATCTACTGAAGTAAAGGGGGAAGTCTTTGGCTAACTCAACCACTGTTCTCTTGGTCTGACCCTTATGGTTGCTGGAAGTCATATTCTCCACTGTAACGTTGTGGCTCTCTGAAAACATGTAAAATGTAAATATACATAATACAATATATGAATTGACACTTGGTTCTCTAATCTCTAGGATAGATGGCACTGTATTCCATTTTTGTGAATTATATTATTCAAGATTTTTTCGAGGTCTCCTCTGCCGAAGGCAGCGCGAAGTAGGAGCGTAGTGACTACTTTGCGGGAGACCTCGAACCATTGATCACGTTTGCTCCTGTAATTATTCACTTCTTCACCTCTTTAAAATGTGATTTCAAACAGTTGATCAAATTTTCGGACTTTGACCTCAAATTCAAATATTAATATTTATAAAAAAAAATACTGACTCCTTATTATATTTTAAAAAGTCTTTCAAATAAAGTGAAATGAAGCCAAAATCAGCTAAAATTATGCAATGTCGTAAAATGGCGTGACTGGAATATGATGCAATCAACTGTGACGTCAGACACGTATTGCCACATCAACAACTAAACAAACAATTAATATAGACTTCACTGATTGGTTTAAAGATTCTTCGCATCATTTGTGACGTCATAAACATGTTACCCAACCAACAACTAAACAAATAACAAATAGGAATATAGGTTCGTTCAGTGCCACGCTCTTCATGCTCTTGAGTCACAATCTCCAAGCCTTTCGCAATCAGTACCTCCTGTGCCTCAGGTAGTGAAGGTATGCAACGAACGAAATGAATTTTGAGAATGCTTGAATCAATTATAAACAGGGATAATCAACAGATATATGAGAGGGTCAAGCATTTTTTGACTTGGAGACCTCGACTCAAGGAGTTTGCTGCATTTTCTTGTTTGAAACAAGATATTTGAAATCAGGGATATAAGGAGTGACAAAATTGCAAGCAAATGATTTTCTATTTTAATATCCTCTTCATTTGATTCAGAGATATACTGAGTGACAACATTTTTTCATCCCATTTTCTAATCTGGCATAGACTCCCATGTTATAAACCCTTTAAATGTGAACACCTGTCAATCTGAACAATTTGGCAAGTGCCCATAGTGGAGTCTAAATTGGATGGGTTTCACTGTATTTTCATTAAGCTTACCTAAGAGATGTCTCATCTTGACCTTTTCTTCTCTGTTCAGTCTAATACATGGATACTCATACACATCCATAACAATTTGGCACATTGTGAGGGTTAATGCTAGTGGATTGTCCAACTTTTCATTTGGTGAAAATACCTGCAAAAGAGAATATGAGGAATTACAAACATGACTTATTTGAGACTGACAAGTGTCATGCATGCTAACTAGTTTTCCATTTTTTGATGCAACAGCAGTAGAAAAAACGCAGAATTCTGTTTTCACAGATTTTTAGTGCAATTCATATTTTGTGCAGAGAAAAAAACTAGAAGGTTAGCTCCCAATGATGGCCGTGGCATTTTCTACATAATTACAGCATGAATGTATATTGGTTTTAAAAAAATAAAAATTGATAAGTGAGGTTACATCATCCTCCGATCACAGGGCTTCAAAATACTTCTTTCTTTTTACCCCCCTGCGATAAGCAGTTAGCATTTCCCCAATTTAGAACTCGCAATTTGATACACTGTCACAACATTGCGACAGCAATCATATATGTCATTGGCGCATAATTAGATCACGTGATTCTGTTTTATCAGGTGCTTCCAAATTGGTTATAGCAGGGGGAAAGAAGGAGGTACGGATTCTGGACACCTGCTTAGGAAGATGAGGTTGCATATACCTAAGCATTAGTCACAAAACATTTGAGTGTGTAGGCACTGTGCTCCATAGGGGTCTTATTGTACACGTAGTATGGGTCAGTGTTTGGGCCATATAGCTCTGTCTGAAAATTCTCTAGCATGAGTTATAAAACATAAGTATGGGTACCTACCTCCTTCCTAACAAGAAGCTCCCAAGGGGTTTTATTGTACATGTAGTATGGGGCGGTGTTTGGGCCATACAGCTCTGTCTGAATATTCTCCAGCATTGACGGATCAACTTGAGTAACTGCTACATCTGAATGGAATAGGTTAAATTCATAATTTATAGTTATATATAATGCGGATAAAGGTTAATTTATTGTGAATTAAATCTGTAAATCATTTTGTGTTCATGTGTTCATCAACATATCCAAGTTTTATTTTAATTTTGCGCATAGTGAATCTAAATGAAGTCCATTAGTCATTGATTCCAATGTAAATCTTTAAAAAATGTGTTTCTGTTTTATCAATTGTGATCTCATGCAACTTATTCTATTTTTCATGGCTCACCATCAATATTGGTAACTGGCAATATGGTATCATATATCTGTTCCTCCTCGGTTGCTTTCGTGGCCTGAACTACTGGCTCTGGTTGAGGGGGAGGGGGTGGTGGAGGGAGGGCTTTAACGCTACCAGTGGGGGTCTTGTTCGCCATTAATTTCTCCAGTTTGTTTGCACGGTCCTTCATGTCGATGTGCTGAATTTCAGGCGTCTTATTTTCCTTTTTCTAAAATGTCAATATTGATTTTAGCAATTTTTTAAACGTAGGTACACTGTGTGGTTCATCAATTGAACAGACTGGGATCCACTCCACTAATCATTTTTTATTATTATGCATTTTCTGTAATCAATGAGCCATTAATCCTACATTCAGTCACAGATTTATTTACTAAAATGTGTCTATTCATTATCAAATTACTTTGATATTCATAATCAACAAAACAAATTCACGAGATGAATGAAGTCTACTACTAGTGCCATCTATAATTAAAGTATATAATACTTCTGATAATCAGTCCTGATATGATGTATTCCAATAATAAATCTCATGCTATCAATAAGAGAGAATTAAAACATAATGTCTGCTCCTGCCATCCATATCTAGTAAACTAGATAAGGGCAACTCCGCGGAGTAGCAAATCCCAACGAACAATATATCAATTACCGAATTCTAATCAATTATACTCATTACTTTGGTTAAAATTGAACAATTTGGATTTTAGAATTGCAAATTCCTGCAAAGCAGCCATTTTGAATTTTCTGAGGTACGAGTCTGAAAAATATACCATAATTGTGATCTACTCCAAAATTCCTTCAATTTGAGTATAATATAGCCATACTTTAAAGGGATCGAAAAATTATTGCGAAATCGTACATAAGACGGCCATTTTGAATTTTACGAGGCTCGAATCAGAAAAAAGATACAATTTTTGCAATCTACTCTTAATTGCCTTTTATTTGAGTATAATAAAGCTATACTTCAGAAAGATCTAAAGATAAGCGAAAATTTCTGTTTTCCTGACCCCCGATAAACGGCCCCTGGGGGTCAGGATGAAAAACACGGAATATATGTCAAATAGATAGATGTTGCGAATATACTTCCAGAATTTCAAACAATAATATTAATTACTTTGGTTTAGAATGAAAAATTTATGATTTTTGCGAAAAAGTCCCGTCATTTTTAAAGCGGCGGCCATCTTGAAAATTTTTTTTTTGCGTAAAACTATTAACCAATATACATCTTTCCACTAAATATGAAGAAAATCTGTCAACTAGTATTTGAGTTATTCTCCGGACGGATGGACGGACTGACTGACTGACGGACTGACGGACTGACGGACTGACGGACTGACAGACGGACGGAGGGCTTCACTATATCCCTACCGAACTTCGTTCGTTGGGATAATAATGTGAAAACATTTTGATTTGAGATATTTAAGAGAAACGTACCAGTTCTTTGAGGGCTGTTGCGGCCGTTTTAGCATCCATACTACGAGACCTAATCAACTCCATGGTGCGATCATGGCGCTCCTGGTTTGTTGCAGGTTTCTGAATCTCGGTGTCCACCTTGGCTTCATCTATCAGAAGCTTGTTCACTTTTACTGCCTCTTTCTCGACAACTTCTTGCTTCGGAGGCCAGGCAAATTTACCGATTTTGATAGTCCTTGCTCTTTCTTCAGCATCTAGGTGGTGCGTGTCATTGTTTTCTGATGATGTCTTGGAAGATGACATTGTAGGAACTGGGGGAGGGGGTGGCGCAGGAGTTGATGGCGGTGAAGGAGGTAAAGATTTAGGAGCTACAGTCCCAATTTCCTTTGTCTCTTTAGGGGGATCTGGAGACACAGGCGATATTGTCTGAACACTTTCGGAAAATTTAACTCCTTTTTCAGGGACATCCCCATTGGTGACAATAGGGGGTGGTGGAGGAGGTACATATTGCCTTGGATGATCAACCTGTCGTTTCTCAAACTGCCCTTTCAGAGTTCCAAATCCACCTTGAGAACCTGCATCCACCTCCCCCTTGGCAGGGGCTTTGGTCCTATCAACCTGTTTCTTGTATGAAAACTTAGGGGGCTCTTCTAGGCCATTAAACTGGGGAGCATAGGATGCCTGTGGGGACACCACAGGGGCAGGGGCCTTTGTTGGTGGTGGGGACTGCATACTTGTCAGCTGTTGCTTCAAAGTCTCTGTTTGTATGGTCTGCTGTAGGATCTGATTCTGCAATGTCTGGTTCTGCAGCTGTGATTGCAGCTGTGCTGTCTGCTGTTGCTGGGCATTCTGTAATAAACAAATAATGAATGAATCAACACACTGGAATTCATACAAACAAACAATGAATCAACACAATGAAATTCATACAAACAAACAATGAATTAACAAAATGAAATTCATACAAACAAACAATGAATCAACACAATGAAATCTATACAAACAAACAATTAATCAACACAATGAAAGTCATACAAACAAACAATAAATCAACACAATGAAATTCATACAAACAAGCAATGAATCAACATAATGAAATTCATACAAACAATGAATCAACACAATGAAATTCATACAAACAAATAATGAATCAACACAATGAAATTCATACAAACAAACAATGAATCAACACAATGATATTCATACAAACAAACAATGAATCAACACTATGAAATCCATACAAACAATGAATGAACACAATGAAATTCATACAAACAAACAATGAATGAACACAATGAAATCCATACAAACAATAAATCAACACAATGCAATTCATACAAACAAACAATTAATCAATGCATTTCAACTAATCATAAACACTGAATGAACCTAGACTAACTATGAATTAGATATTTCATAAAAGTTTTGAGTCAGTTTATCACTTACAATTTGTGTCAAAGTTTGCTGCTGTGTGAACTGCTGGGCAGCTTGTTGGGCAGCTAGTTGTTGTGCAGCTTGTTGCTGTGCAGCCTGTTGTGCAGCTAACTGCTGGGCAGCTTGTTGTGCAGCTAACTGTTGAGCAGCTGCTTGTTGTACAGCTGCCTGCTGAGCTGCTGCCTGTTGTACAGCTGCCTGTTGTGCAGCTGCCTGTTGAATAGCCACTTGTTGTGCAACTGCCATTGGATCAACAACAGGTGCTGTTGAAAATGCTGAAATGATATCATGTCCATGGTTATGACTAAATTTACAACTAGATAGTCTGTAACACAGGTTCATAGTTTCACATTGATTTATCTAAAAAAAGATTTATCAAAATAGAAATATCACTGTGGTATGAAATAAAATATTACTTCTATTAATTGTTGTTTAAAACAAATGTTTCATTAAAAAAAATTAATTGATTCCAAAAATTGAAACAATTTTTAAGAAAACAATATTGAAAATAAACTACCACCAGCTTGTACAATGATAGCTGCAAAAGCAATGGGTAATAATGAAGGTGTCATACATATTGGCCCATAAAAAGGAGGTAGTAAGCTCAATATACCTGGGTGTTATATGTGGACATAGACCATGGGCTCATGCATATTTACTCCTATGAAATCGAAAATCCACACCAAATAATTTGAAATATAATACAGTGTACCATTACATGCCTTGAGAAATACACTAGTAGACAAATCCAGTAAATCGTGCCAGCTTTTAATAATGATGCCATTTTTCCAATTTCAGGACAGAAACAAAATTAACTTATTGTTAATCCTCCAACATATTACTTGCTAACGGTCACATAGCTGTGTGGAATAACTGTTCACCACTGTGTGGCTAATTCTTTTTCAATTAATTAATTAAATCTTGTATTTGGTATGATGAGGTATAGTTATCTTGCCATAAAACTACTCGTTTTGCCCACCATATATATCCATACCGTGCACCGCCAAAAGTATTCACACGGTGAAGAACAGTGAGCCCACATGGCTTAGGTATGACTGCTCCATTACAAATTCTGTTTCCTTTTTAGTCTGACATCACGAAGTTTAGCCAACATTATCTAATTTCTTAATCAAAAGCTGCCAGGACTTAATGGAAGGGTTTAATTTATATTGCCAATTTGACAAAAAATCCACAAATGTACCAAAAATCGGGCTTTACCTAATGTTTAGTCTTCAAGGAATCTGATTTGATTAGTATAAGTTAAAAAGTTTAATCAACCAAGAGTAGTCCTTAAATAAAGGTCTAAGAATATTAGTAATTGAATTAGTATGGTTATTTTACCCCTAGATGAGAGAAAGTTTGAGGACGATATACCTGCTGTTTGCATCAGGGAGGAAGTGTGAAGGGATGCAGGGTCAGAATTTAAAGGTTCATGCTTATTGGAATGGACTTGCAAGTCTGAGCTCAGACCCTGACTTGGGCTCAGATTAGACTCATCAAAATCACCATGTGCCAAATCAATGTCTATGTTTGAATTGTTTGGATTCTCAATTTCAAGTTTTTGTTCAGATTCTAAGAATGCTACATTGCTGACTTGGTCATCTTGGTCAGTAAGGTTTGTATCGAGTACATGTGCACCACCACCTTTTGCACTAGCACTCCCATCTGGTGCAAGTGTACTTTCATCTGGTACAACTATGCTTTCATCAGGTGCAATTATATTTTCATCAGGTACAAGTGTACTATCAGAGTGTATGGACTCTCCATCATTTGAGAATGTAAATCCTCTTTCCGAAGAGCACATTTCTATTTCATGGTCTTCGTCATGTAAAGTTTCAATTCTGTCAAACTTTTTCTCAATATTTTCATATATATGAGTTGAGTCATCATTGACCTCTGTTCCTGCACCATTTTTATCAATGACAGGTGAGTCTACATTCGTATCAGTATCTAGATAAAAATCAGGTTTTTGCGGCACAGTATCAGTTAACAGAATGTCATCACCATCATGTTTGGTTTCTTTGTCAGATTTTGAGTCATCAGGTTCAACGAGTACAGGTGGTATTTTGGTCTTGATATGCTTGGAGTGATTCAAAGAGACATCATCAATATGTTCTACACTTTCAAAATTGGTCCTAGGTAATGATTTCTTCTTGAGTTTCCTTGTGAAGGGAGGCAAGGTTTTAAAATCTATATCAGGAAGTGACAGAGTGGTGGTAAAATCTGTTCGTGGAAGTGAAAGTTTTTTGTTGATACTTTTCTTTGGGAGATCAATCCTAGGAAGGGACAATTTCTGTCTGACAAGATTCGGAATTGACAATTTCTTGAAATCATTTTTCGGATGTGATACATGTTTTGATGATATACACGGTAATGGTGATTTTGCCGAGTTCCTTCTTGGCAGGGGCAATAGTTGATGGTGGCCTTTTTGAGTGGAAGAATGACCTGATTTATGACCAGATTTTGGAAGACTTGACTTTTTGTTATCCTTTTTAGAAGGAACCAAATCACAATCCATTTTAGGATTGAATGCATGCTTAGCATTCACTTTAGTTTTCTTGTTTTCCATTCTAGGGAGGGATGATGGAGGGAATGCATTCTTGTCATCCAGTCTGGGAGGTTGGGCCTTTTTGCTATCCACTCTCGGGAGAGATTTTCTTTTCTTAGTGTCATTATCAATGAGGTGCAATTTCTTGTTGTCTAACTTAGGAACAGGTTGTTTTTCTTTATCTGTTCTAGGAGGGGCAGCTTGCTTCTTAGCAGAAACTCTAGGTAGGCTAAAATTTGGAAGTTTGAAATGGGACATAGGTAGTTGTTCAGAGTGGTGATCATTGCGAGAGCCTTTGGATTGATGGATGTCAGGTAAAATAGCTTTAGGCTGGGTAACATTGGAGCTAAATGGTTTCGGGTCGGGTTTATGCCCGGGGGTATGAGTAGGGTCAGGACTTGGACTAGGGGTCTTGTTAAGAAGGATTAAGGCATCAAGATCAGGGTCAGATAGGGAATCTGAAATATGAAAAGGAGTTCATATTTACAAGAAATAGCAATGTATAGACTATACTTAAGATTTAAATGTCAAGGTCATACAGATGTACATGGGAATAGACTAAGGTTGAACACAGGACTGCCATAATTTAACATATTGGCAATCATCTCCCAAGTTCATTGTCAAGAGTGAAAAATGATTTTTCTTCTGAATTGTCTGAATAATTGCTAATATTTTCTTTCTCTGTAAAGTTTCTCTCTTAAACTCAACCAAATGTTTCAGTCATCTGGTCTTGAGTTACTATGCCATTTATATTAAATTTAGACCCATGAATTCTACAAGAAATTGGTAGAGCTTTGGTCACTGATCTGTGATATGGAAGAAGCAGGGAAGTTAATAAGGATGTATCTATTGATGAACAAGATGACTTAGGGCATTATCCTAACACAATATGACATAGGGCATTATCCTAACACAATATGACATAGGGCATTATCCTAACACAATATGACATAGGGCATTATCCTAACACTATGATGCTGATGTTGCATACAATGAGGTTGAGTGACGATGAAACTACAGCAATATGGCTATTCCATATGAAAAACAAAGGATGTGAGCGGTGTTTAATTTCAAAATCTAGGGAGAGACGCCAATAAAATAGCCTCAGGATGATGGGAACATATCAAATTAAATTAAAACTTAGATATAACTTAAAATCACTGAAAGTTGAGAATTAATAGGACAAAATTGGAAGTTTGATATTGTCAGAATCAGACTTTGAGAGAAGGATAATACAAGTCCATGTATAAGACACAGCCTTAATTAAGAGAGGCAATGGTCAAATTATCAACAAGGCACATCTAGAAAACAGTAAATGGACTCAACAGAGAAGAATGATAACGAATATTAAGACCAATCCATCTAGTGCAAGTGTAAAGAAGGTATAGGTTATAGGGATAAACTCTAAATAAAAGATAATCACATCTAGAAACCTGAAATGGTTTCATGTATCAATGGAGGAAAACTTACATTCTAAATTCTGAATTTCTGATGTAATGCCTAGAATACCTATAGGATTTTGATTCTGAATGTCTGGTGTGATGTCTATAATACCTATAGGATTCTGATTCTGAATTTCTGGGGTGTTGCCTAGAATACCTATAGGATTCTGATTCTGAATAGCTGGAACGATGTCTACAGTACCTAAAGGGTATCAAATGAGATAATGTTCAGTTAAAAGAACCAGTATGAAATATCTCTCCTAGGATACATCTGAAGGTAAAGCTAGAAATCTTAAATTATGAAGCTTTGGACATTGGTGGCAGGATCTGAAGCAATGTAGCATCAAATGATACACCTAAAAGCTTCAATTTGTGGATTACATTTGCCTCATCTGATCCTAGCTAGCATTTCAAAGCACTCCTTTAAAGCACTAAATCTTTGAATTTCAAAAATAAAATAATTTCTCACGAAAATATGTGATAGAATTCTGCCATCAAGATTAAAGTCGAAAATGAAAATGATAAATACGACATAAATAGTACATTTATAGTGCATAACTACAAATGCATTTATAGTGCATAACTACAAATATGTATGTGCAAGACAACATAAACATGCTCAAATGAACTGCTTTGAAATCTAGCAAGAATGATGACCATGGCTTTGAATTCATACCTCCATATGCTGAAGGAAAGGGTGTCTGGCCCTGTGGGTTTGAGACTGGAAATGGGAGCTGAGTCTGAACCCCTGTAGTTGAAATACTTTGGGCTTCAATTGGGGTGACATTCTTGATCCCAGTGGTTGTTATTTTACTTACTGGCACAAGTGGTGTAGCCAATGGAGGTGTACCAAAAGTAACAGACTTTGAAACCACTGGAGTGGGAATTGAGACTTTGGTGGCTACAGGTTCAATTTCAGGAACAGTTGGAACTGGTAATGGTGGAGGTGGTTCGAATGAAGGATCCTCAAAATGTGCTATAACTGTTCCTTTATCTGGTTCAGGTGTATAAATATTCTCATCAGCTGTAGTTTTTGTTTTCTTCTGGTTAATGGGTTCAGGGAATTTAGGTGCATCTGTCTGAAGGAATAGAGCTTTCCGATCCTTGAGGCTCACTTTAGGAATTTTCTCATCAAATTTTGTTGATGCCTTTACAATGATTCTGGGTTCATTAGGTTCAGATTCCTTGGCATTCTCCTTTGTCTTATCAGGCTTTACCTCAGGAGCCTTTGGTTGTGATTGGGCAACAGGGTTATTGTCATTTGATACTGGAGTTTTGGAAGTAGCTGGTTTGGCTTGTGTTTGAGTTTGAGTGACTGGTTTCTTGTCATTTAATTTACTTTTCATCTGGCTAGTGTCATCTATTGGTTTTGGAATGTTTGCTTTAGGTTGGGTGGCTTTCACCTCTGGTTCTTTTTTAACATTGTTTACCTTTTGTTCTTTGTTAACATCTTTATTTGTTGGTGGAGTTACTCTTACATTTGTAACATTATTTGCCCCTTTCACTGGATCTTTTGGTTCTGTTTTCTCCTTGATCTTTGGCTGGAGTGCAGTGTAGCTGACTGCATTTGGATCATAGTGAGCCTGAGACTTCTTTTTGATATCATATAGCTCTCGTTTTGATAGCTTTGGCCTCTCATATCCAGAGTTTCGTTTATCTGGATCTTTTGTGGTGGTAGCATTTGAAGGAGCACTGGCAACAGCAGGGTTTGCAGTTTTGTCTGGTGTCTTCACAGGCTGTAGGTAATCTTCAAGAATTGCATTAGCTTTCTCCATAAAGGAATCTTCTGAGGTAGAACTAGCTCTCGGATCAAGCAAGGTAAGGTAGGAATTATCGATTGGACCTTGCTCTTCATTTCTAGGGGGTACTGGGGGGCCTTCATTTTTGGTATTAGGCGAATCTTTTGAATCTTGACTCTTTTCAGGAGATTTTAATTTGGGATCTTTACCCTTGGGGATTAGTTTTTTAATGATAGATTTACTTGGAGGTTCTTTGGGTTCTGACTCAACTCCCAATATCTCTTTATCCCTTTCCATATCCAAGGTATGGTAAAAATTCTTGACATTTTTCTCTTTGAGGTTTAGACCTTCAGTATCAATTTGATCTAAAAGAGAAGGGTTAGTAACTTCTTATTTGAGAATATGAATCTCCAAGATATAATAATATAAATTTTACATTGCCAAATTGACATTCATTTGACAGATGTCTAAACAATGATAGGCAAAGATCACACAAACCTAAAAACACTATATATAAAACACAAAAAAATTACTGACAATATATATATATATACTTATAATTATAGTATTTAGTAAAAAAAACCTAGAAAAGAGCTCTTAACTTTAAAATGCTTGAATTTAAATGATATAAATACTCTTAAAGCAAAGTAAAAATTTTCTCCAAATCTGCCAATTTTGTGTTTGGACTACAAAAAATTGCGATTACTAAATAATAATAATATCTAGTGTACTGACACAGAAAGCAAATACAAAAGAGGGAATAGGGGCAATAGTTAAGACATATGAAGCACTTTATGTATTGTATTATATTGTATTATTGTATACTGTATATGATACAATGGAATCAAATATTGGGAGTAAAAAGATTTAAACAAATAACATTTGCAACTACTGATGATACAGAATCAGAGATACGAGTACATGAGTTGATAAAACTGTATTCGCATATAGCTAGGCAAGGTGTGTCCGATTCCAGCCAATCCGAACAGAGTATTCACATAATGAACAGTGTGTGAAATATCAATAATGCATTTGTTGTGTACAGTTGCTAAGCGATTGAGATTGAAATTGAGTTTTCCAAAACTTGACCCTTGCAAAAGGTGTCATTGAAAATATGTTCTTTTTGTGATTTTGTATCTTTTAAGTAATTTTATAGAAAATATTTTTGCAATGTGTGAAAAGAATTTAAGCCCAAGACTAAATGTATTGTGGTTGCTTCATTCAACTCAGATATTGTTACCTAAACTTTTTGAAGATTTTGAAACAACATCTTCGTGGAATGGTTCAGGCTTAAATCCTTAAATATTTACAAATGATAACCAACGTGCTATGTATAATCCAAAATATGACATAGCCAAGAAAAATTCATAGAACTATTCTTACAAATGTTGGTATATAGCTCTGATTCTGCCTTAAATAGATTCTAAAAGATCAGTGACAATTCATATATCAGGTTAGAGGATCACCATATTGAGATCAAAAGATTTGAAAGAAAGCTGTAACATTCATTGTAATTATCAGAATATGCAACAGTCAAAGATCTTATGGGAATGAAAAATGGACAATTTGGAATTGGGGACTTTTGGGCAATCATTGATGTATTGAAGCATCTTGTAAACTTTATTTCAAGGGTTAACTGCAGAATGATGCTAGAGTGAGATGCATTCATTGATCAAGCTTTATGCACACGAGGGTTGGACCAAACTGCCTCTGGGCACTAATTCCACAAAGGGAGAGGCTGAATTTCGTAACGAGGGGACCACCAATACCCATTTCTACATGCCCAACATGCCTAATATCATCAATATGAATATTATACATCTCTTTGCATTGATCTATCAACAACTACACACTATATGAGACCTGGCACAATCAAGCAAAAGTGCTCAAAGTGTGCACTGAAGCAAAAGATGTGAAATGGATGAAATGCATGTGAAAAAGAAAAACGGATCATGACGTGTTATGAGTTGTGTGTTTATGGTGGAAAATTTCTTATCTCATCTCCACTTGTGACATTTACAAGTTTCGGATTCACGAAAAGCAACATTTAAACATGGCAGTGTAATTGTGCTGGACTAAGCATACTCTGCTGAACTACTCTACAAACACACATCCTTAATTAGAGTTAAAGGCTCCTATAACACGTACCTGTAGGTCCTAAGGGTACCCCTGCACCTAGTACACCGCCCACACCCATACCACCGTTAGCCAGTGAAGTGTTCACAGTTAGACCCATAGGTCCAGCAGGCTACATTCAAATCACACATTATATATTACAAGGTTCATATGTTATTTCATTCTAATATTCTAACATGCATCTACACCCCCCACCATAAGTTTGGCAATCCTGGTGACCCTTTGAGGAGCATGTTAAAGTCTGTTTTTGTTGGCAACATAATTTGATGAATCTTTTCAAATTTTTTTCTCCAGAATTTCTTGCATAATTTAATAATACATGTATGATAAACAGATTGCAATAAACTCATCTGTCACTTAAGACATATTCACAAATAAATACAGACATAAGGCAAAAATATGATGAGAAGATGAATGAATGAAAATGAGAGAAAAAATTGTCACACATAAACATGCAAGCTTTAAAATATGTCAAATATGCCAAACTTATGAGGGGAGTGTATGTTATACTATCTGAGGTCGGAGAAATTCAAATATGATTTTTTGGATACATACACTGGATGCAATTACCCTACCCATGGGTTTTATTTTAGTAGATACATCTCCATGTATTATTTGTTGCTATTGCTCAGGCCTCATTGTTATATTTCTCCAAACATATTCTTTTTGCATGCATGTCAAGATTCTTTTGATCAGGAAAAATGTACTTACTAGATTTGAGCCTTCTAGTTCTAATATCTCCATTCTGTATCAATTAATATTTGTTTTAACTTAAGTTTTAGTGTGTGTTACATCAATTTAAAAACTTTTTAAATGAAATTCAATCAAATTAAGTACAGGAATTATACAATTCAGTCATAATTTAAGAATTAAAGAATCATGGGAAATGATTACCTGTGAGGTGACTCCTGGGATACCTTTCCCCCCTCCTCTAAGGACTCTTTCAACTGATCTAGCATCACTTAGATCATTCACATTTTCATCATCAAGTACGGGATCAAATACTCGATCGAGCCAGACATCCATATCTCTGGGGGCTGAAGTAGCGCCCTCTGATCCAAGTGAAAAAGTTCTATCTCGATTCATTTGTGATTTGACGTTACCATTTGGTACATGCCCATTGGTTTTTGCATTGTAGCGTTCGTTTAATTTATTCTTTGATAAATCTGGGTCGTTGACTTTGCCCTTTTTATCAGTATATCTGCTATTCAATCCTCCTTTTGCTGGCTTGCCATCAGTCTCTTCAAGCTCATTATATCTTTGGTTCAGCTTATTTCTGGCAAGAGCAATATCCTTCTCAGCTCTGTATCGATCATTCATTCTTGATGGGCCGAGATCGTCTCCAGTACCATTCGCAAAAAACTCCTCCTTCTTAGGTAAAGGGGGACTTTCCCTTGGAGGTGGCAAGGCTGGGGGCACGGAAAGAGGAGCGGGAGGGGGAGGTGCTTTCTTTGGTGTTGGGCGCTCTTTCTCTGATGCTCTTAAATGGCGATTTCTTATGGCCACATTGAACTCATTGTCCTCATCAGATGGTCCCCTGTCCAAACTTGGGGCTTCTGGCAGAGGAACTGGGATCGGGCGGTCAAGTTCCTTAATACCAAGATCACTTAGTTCCATGATGTTTATCTTATCAGGATCATGTTGCCTGGAGATACAACAAGTATTTTTAAGCAAATTCAGTATTTCATATATTTCATACACACATACAGTATATTTCATACATGTGCATGTTTCATCAAAGATGTGCTTCAGTATATATTTAACTGGATGGCTAACTACAAACTTAATGCATAGTTGCAATTCTGTGATAACTAAAAATAAATTTGCCATTTGTTTGTTGATGTTATATGTACTTAAAAATTTTAAAAGTAAAAGTTAAAGCAAGGCATTGACAAAAGGTCACCACCTGCCACTAGTTACAAAAGTGTATGCCAAATGCAAGTCACAAAAAATGTTGGCTGTAACAATATGTCACCAGCTCTTGAAACTGATAAAGTTCATATTATGGTACATGTACGAGTATAAAAGAAATGAAACTGTTCCCTCTTACGTTCCAGGTCTTTTATGTCCGGGTGTTTCCCTATATCCCTTATCTCTTGATATCAGGAAGTACGACTTATTGCATGGAAAGTTAGGTGGTTGTTCCAATTCTGCTATTAAATCCATGACATAATCTGTCCCGCTGAGCTCATAGATGTCTCTGTCATCTTTCAATGCGACTGTCCAGCCATGGGAACTCTGGGCAACATGACGGGAACGTAGAATGTGGGCTGTTAGCTCCTCGCCAGTTGTCCAGGATTCGCAGTGAGCTTTTCCTTTTTCTCCTGAAGAAATAAATTCAAAGTTGAAATAAATAATAAAAAAGTTAATTCTCAATGAGACTTTTTTCGAAGTGCATTCAAATTTACCAAAGAATGGATTTGATCCACTAACAACACACTCAAGGTCAGAAGTGATGATTTATAAAGACTGGTTGAATTGTAGCACTTCAAAGTTGTAAATCAATGTCCCATAAAATATGCCCGAATTATGTATAACATGATAAACAGCCTCTTTCGGTTGAGTTTTGCCTCGCCTGTTTAGGTATGCCTCGCCCATATTTGGGCCAAAGTTACACCCCTGCTTCAGTATTGCTAACATGTACCTAAACTAATGGGACCCAACTGATTGTTTTCCCTTACCATCTGTGAATTGGACCTCTACGGCCATGTTGGCACGTTTTCTGGCTGCTCGCGACTCTAGCAAGTTAATGGGGTAAGTTCTTGCTAGAATGCCTTCCTTGTGGTCTGTGCATTGCAGTAGCTTGTGCTGACAGTAGGCTTTGTAACCATTGTATGCTTGGTCAGAAATATATCTGTAAAGATATATATAAAATACTAAATATTACACTATTGAATCATCATAATAATAAAAAAAAAAATAAAAATCAACTCGATGCTAGATCAATGCTTTCTAAGATTAATTCAGTTAACTGCATTCATAAAAATCAGGTTTGATAAAGAAAATAGCCAAAACTGCACTCAAATTCATCATTTTAACCTGAGATGTCAGTAGAAACATTTAACGATGGTAATCATTTGAAACAATTTTCAAGGTGACAAAAAGATCAGTAGTAAGTGGTAATTGTCAGAAATACTACAAAGCTACATGTCCCGAACTACTATACAAATGTCTTCATACTTATACTTCCCCGCAAAAAAGATTGGCAATTGAATGCCTCCTTTCTGTGTACCTGTTAATGATCCAAACTTTAACAAGCCTTAAAATGCTATACAATGGGTACCTCCATTTGCCACACTTATTGAGGGGGGTGTAAATATATCTGTTGCTCTAATCGAATAATGTATGAGTAACATGAGCATAATCTTTAAGAGGTCAACTGATAACAACTACAAACAAACAATCCTTAAAAGTAAACAGATATCTAACATACTTAACACTTAAGAATTCTCGAATACCTGAAATTAAGAACTTGAAGATATCTTGAAATTTTGTGGTATCTAATTTTGTATGATGAGAATAGTCTCAAAATTTAAGTGAAATAAATCCTTGATGAACACATGAACAATGTATATGTCATTATTTCGTGAGCTGAACATGTAGATAATTGGCTACACATGAACTTATACGAGAATGTGAAAGACTATGGTTCTTTGGGGATTAGTTGTTCCGTTAATAATATGTATTTACATGACAATCGAGCTAATTGAGAGTGTTAGTGTGTTGCCTCTAGTGTGTTTTAGCGTTAACACCTGTTCGGTTTAGTCAGATTGACTGATGAAACAACCTTTTTCATGGTTGGCTGAGCGGGCTAGAGTGCTGAACAAGGTAAGCTAGGCTCTATCACTGTAAAAATGAGGTAGTTAGTTTGAGAAGCCTGAACTCCTTGCATTTATTCATTTATGAGCCTGAGCTCCTTGCATTTATTCATTTATGAGTCTGACCTCCTTGCATTTATTCATTTATGAGTCTGAGCTCCATGCATTTATTCATTTATGAGTCTGACCTCCTTGCATTTATTCATTTATGAGCCTGAGCTCCTTGCATTTATTCATTTATGAGCCTGAGCTCCTTGCATTTATTCATTTATGAGTCTGACCTCATTGCATTTATTCATTTATGAGTCTGACCTTCTTGTATTTATTCATTTATGAGTCTGACCTCCTTGCATTTATTCATTTATGAGTCTGAGCTCCTTGCATTTATTCTTCTATGAGTCTGAGCTCCTTGCATTTATTCATTTATGAGTCTGAGCTCCATGCATTTATTCATTTATGAGTCTGACCTCCTTGCATTTATTCATTTATGAGCCTGACCTCCTTGCATTTATTCATTTATGAGCCTGAGCTCCTTGTATTTATTCATTTATGAGTCTGACCTCCTTGCATTTATTCATTTATGAGTCTGACCTCCTTGCATTTATTCATTTATGAGTCTGACCTCCTTGCATTTATTCATTTATGAGTCTGACCTCCTTGCATTTATTCATTTATGAGTCTGACCTCCTTGCATTTATTCATTTATGAGTCTGACCTCCTTGCATTTATTCATTTATGAGCCTGAGCTCCTTGCATTTATTCATTTATGAGTCTGACCTCCTTGCATTTATTCATTTATGAGCCTGAGCTCTTTGCATTTATTCATTTATGAGTCTGACCTCATTTCACTTATTCATTTATGAGCCTGAGCTCCTTGCATTTATTCATTAATGAGTCTGACCTCCTTGCATTTATTCATTTATGAGTCTGACCTTGCATTTATTCATTTATGAGTCTGACCTCCTTGCATTTATTCATTTATGAGCCTGAGCTCCTTGCATTTATTCATTTATGAGTCTGACCTCCTTGCATTTATTCATTTATGAGCCTGAGCTCTTTGCATTTATTCATTTATGAGTCTGACTTCCTTTCACTTATTCATTTATGAGCCTGAGCTCCTTGCATTTATTCATTTATGAGTCTGACCTCCTTGCATTTATTCATTTATGAGTCTGACCTCCTTGCATTTATTCATTTATGAGTCAGTCTTCCTTGCATTTATTCATTTATGAGCCTGAGCTCCTTGCATTTATTCATTTACAAGTCTGACCTCCTTGCATTTATTCATTTATGAGCCTGAGCTCTTTGCATTTATGATGAGTATGAATGCATGACTTACTTTATAATGAGTATGAATACATGACTAACTTTATGACGAGTATGAATACATGACTAACTTCATGATGAGTATGAAGCCATGACTAACTTTATAATGAGTATGAATACATGACTAACTTTAAAATGAGTATGAATACATGACTAACTTTATAATGAGTATGAATGCATGACTAACTTTATACTGAGTATGAATGCATGACTAACTTTATAATGAGTATGAATACATGACTTACTTTATAATGAGTATGAATACATGACTTACTTGAGGAGATACTTGCTGCTGGTGGATGAGGGTGGGAAACAACTGAGGCAATTAGCCATGAGCCACCATCCTCTCTCACAGTTAGCAGGGTTATCATTGCCCCAGGTCTGATTGCATAGCTGTACATAGATTTCATCTCTAAGCCCCTCACTAGATATACCCTACAATACATAATGTAATAAAATGTAGTTTATCTATTTATGTAACATAATCTTAAGCTGAACATGTAAAATACATAATGAATTGTTCATGTTGTTATATTCATGTCACATTGTTCCATTCATATCACGCAATCAATGTGTGATATAAGTGCCAGCTAAAACCAGATAGTTTTGAACTGGGCTAGATAACATTAAAGTCTTTATAGAGAAAAACACCATGAAAACTGGTTCATTCTGTTTTTACCAGGATGTCTAAATATCTTTTGACACATCGTAATATCAAAGGGCAACATTCTCGAATTGTGGACACGTCTTGGAGCAAAATATCCAAGTTGTATGGAGTAAAACCTGAATATCTATACCACTCTAATCTGAAAACCTTTGTTGTGAACACTTTTGTGATCCTATTTTTAATCTCCCATAGGTCTGTAGGTCACCATGTTAAAATCCTTGAAATGTGAACACCTGCCAATCTGAACACTTTTGGCCAGTCCCAATGGCATTCTGATTAGACAGCTGTCACTGTACATAAATTAATCATGTTTTAAAAAACTCACAAAATGAGTATATCCACTTACCATATGTACAATGTAAGCAGCCAGGGCAAGCTCTCTCTTGCCACTGAGGTTAGCATCATTCATGAATCGCAGGATCTGAAATAGATTCAAAATATTAAACGTGTAAAAACTGAGCATTCTACTTGTGAAAATACCCTGGAGAAGTTCAAAGAGGACACATTTCTGAGTATCTGGATCATTTGCTTTTAGAGAGGTATGCCTTCCCATTCTTGCTATCCATCATCCCTTTGACTGGGTCTAGAGGTAGAAACAACTGAAAACTTGTGAATCACGATGCAAGCATCGAGAATAAGATAATTGTAAAGCTGCAATCTGATTGGATGAGAGATTCTAATAAACAATGGTTGTGTCTGAATATCTATTTTATTTAATACATTGATTGACTAAACCTCTGAAAAATTATTTCAAAAATAAAAAATTATTGACAAAAATAACTGACAAATGGATTTTTACCAGACTAAAGAGGGCGACGGCATCTTCTCTGTTAGATGGCGTGTCTTGATTCAGAAATGGAATCTTTACGGGAGACTTAAGCATTCCAAACTCCACATTCTGAAATGATTTATACATATCCATATAGACAAATAAAAATTTAAACAAAAGATTTTTTATTATTTTATGATATAATATCATGAAAATACATTCATACTGTACAATGCACACACAAAAGTACATTGACTCCTAAATCTGGTAGACAAATTCATTTAATGAAGACCAAGGACAATATATGAGAAAAATATATCAGATAAGGATATGTGTGGGAAACTGGCATCAACTTTGACTGTGGCACATTTCAGGGTCAATTTTCCCAGACTTAACTTACTCTGCTAAAGTATGTGTTAGAATACTTGGTGAAGACATAAGAGTTGATATCTTTGGGCAAAAGGAACTGGTATTCTTGTGGTGGGATGTTTCCAATCACATTAACAACATTACGTTCAACATGTAATGGCTGCCAGTCTGAAAAACACATTCAACAACTTTATAAATTGATGCTTTGGATTGTGATATTGATTTCTAAATGATGAGGGAGGGGTGTTAGATTTTTATCTTTGTGTGTTATGTTGTAGGATATTGGGGTTTGTTTTCCTTATGACTGGTTGTACGCTTCAATGTTTCTTTTTCACAAAACTTTTTGGTCTCTCCTCTTTTTCCTCTTATGCTTACATATTTTCTTTTATTATCTGAGCAACTGAAAAAATTAATCCTTCCCTTGTGGTGTTACATATATCAACTTATCTTGAAATGTTTTATCTTTTATTGCTGTAGTATTAACAAATTTTAACAAATAAAACACAAGAAAACAAATATGAAACATATGCAATTGCATATTTGAGAACAGGGTATGTACAATATACTCTTTGCAAAAGGTATCATCTACGACTCACTCTTACAATTTTGCCAATAAACCTCTGAAAAAGCTGAGCCAATCAGACAACCTGTCTTTGCTTGAAGACAATTCCCTTATATATGAAACCATAGTAAATTGGCCATGAACTGCTCACTGATTGGTCAAACTGTAAAGTGACTGATTCTAGTCAGAGGGAAGTACACTCACATACGAGCAAAGGGTGTACAAACATGATACTTGAAATGTACCTGTTACTTGAGCTCTATAGGAATGTTGAAATCCAGTCCCCTCAAAAGAATATCTGAATATCCCATGTTAAATGATAATTTTAAAAAGAGAAAAGATACAGCATCAGTCATTACCTGACTTATAAGATGCAGCATTTACAAAGGCAATATACCAAAAAATATACTATGTTAATAACAAAAGCAGGAGTTTGGCTATCATTCAACCATTGATCATAATCTTTCCTGTATTATACTTTATATTATAAAATCTGGTATTCCTGTACTATAAAGATCGCCAATTCTTAATATCATCCTCCAAACACGGGCCTCCAGAAATCATACCTCATTCTTCCAGGATTGTAGTGGCTGATGCCTGGAGTCTTGCGTTTAGAGGATGCTTAATATCAAATTAATGACTAAATATTTCTTAATAAAATGTGCACAACTGCAGCCTTACCATCCAGCTTGCTGAAGATGAAGGCCAATTCAGGTGGTATCTCTAGCTTTGCGACACCCATTGTAGTTCTGGCCTGTCTCTCCTGAAATAGATAAGTGATTTGTGTATGTACATGTATTTATGTATGTATGTACATGTATACCAAAAAACCTAAAAAGCTGATAAGATTTGTATATGTATTAACTGAACACATACATGTAAGCCCATTTTTCTGGAACATTAGTAATTTCTCTTGAATTTCGCCCAAAAAATTTGCAGAATTTTGACTAAGGCTTAAACCAAACCAAACAAAATGTTTTTAAATTATGTTTAAAACAAGAACACAAATGTGTACAAAATGTCCCCACCAATGGGTGATCCCATGAAATGGTTATCCTGAAAATGAGTAGACAAGACTTTACCAACACACTTTGAGGACGGAAAATCCAAAATGGCCACCTTAAAATTTACCAAGAATGCCAAAAATTTAGTCAATTCTAGATTTTCAAACTAAGAACCACCCTGAAAATTTTTAATTGATCCGTCACACAGTTAACTAGAAAACATGTAAACAAGACTTTACAGACAAGATTTTAGAATGGAAAATCCAAAATGGCTGCCTTGACATTTACCCAGAATGTCAAAAAACTAATCTGTTCCTAGATTTTCATACTAAGAATCATCCCTGAAAATTTGAAATTGATCTACCAAACGGTTCACCTAAAAACACGTAGACAAGACTTTACAGGCAAGATTTTAAGACAGAAAATCCAAAATGGCTGCCTTGACATTTATCCAGAATGCCAGAAAACTAATCAGATCTAGATTTTCATACTAAGAATCATCCCTAAAAATTTGAAATTGATCTACAGAACGGTTCACCTGGAAATGCATAGACAAGACTTTACAGACAAGATTTTAGGACGGAAAATCCAAAATGGCTGCCTTGACATTTACCCAGAATGCCAAAAAACTAATCAGTTCTACATTTTCATACTAAGAATCATCTCTGAAAATTTGAAATTGATCTACCAAACGGTTCACCTGAAAACGCGTAGACAAGACTTTACAGACAAGATTTTAGGACGGAAAATCCAAAATGGCTGCCTTGACATTTACCCAGAATGCCAAAAAACAAATCAGATCTAGATTTTTATACTAAGAATCATCCCTGAAAATTTGAAATTGATCTACCAAACGGTTCACCTGAAAACACATAGACAAGACTTCACAGACAAGATTTTAGGACGGAAAAATCCAAAATGGCCGACAATAAAAAAGTGATTATGTGTTTTTGCTGATTTCTTCTTACAAAATTATCACATATAACTACTGTTAACAATAACATAGGCTTTTACAACAAAGTACATCTGAAATTATTTATAAAGCTACTAAATAGTTAAAGTATGAAAACTCAAAAACACCATTCAATATGATACAAAGTATTATCGTGCGCTAACTTTTCTTAAGACATTCAAAATGGCTGACATGACTGAGCTAACAGGTCCAAAACCTAATCAGATCTAGAATGAAGTGAGCTGAACAAGATGTTAAAGTTTTAAAAGCAACTGTGAAGCCGTTTTTCTTAAAGTTTGCAGACAAGGATTTTAGCATTTGACTTCAAAATGGCCGACAGGAAGTAGGTATCGAGTTAAGATTTTTTCATCCACATCTGTATGCACTCATAAGTTATCCCTGAAAATTTGAAGGTGATATCTGTAGCGGTTTTGGAGAAAACTCTCGGACGTACGGACAGACGGACGGACAGACAGACGGACGCGCCTAGGCCGACAATATGGCCCCACACTATGTGGTGGGGACATAATGAGCAAATTATCTTAACTGCCTTTCCCAAATTAACATTACATATTGTGTATCAAGATAGTAAAAAATCTGGTAAAAATGAAAAATAAAAAATGGTCTAGTATGCATCCAACAGGTTAAAAATATCTTTAATTGACCCACCCTGTATTTGAGTGACATACAAGTGTGTAACATAGACATGTTTTACTCCATAATGTAAGTCAATGGGCTTTGCTATATATATGTACACATGTATACATGTACAAAACAGACAGCTGTCAATCTATTTCAATGATTGGAAAACTATATATGGACAGAAAAATTTAAAGAATGAACATTTAAAGAGTCAGCTTTGTCATGAAATATGTGAAAATTCTCAAAAGTTTTGTCACATTAAAAGGGGCTTTTGCTTTCTGTCGATTGTGAAAGTAATTCGTATAAATAGGAAGAAAGTTATCAACTGAAGTAAATTTATGATTAAAATGGACTTTAATCCTTAAGTTGAAATTCAGTACATGAGAGATAAGGCAAAAGGAGTCAAGTTACTTTGCATATTAATACAAATATACATGTATAATACAATATACAGTACAATGATGTAAGTAATGGTAATATATCACACAATAAAGTTCACTGACTGTAAGACAATTTACAGAAAAATTCCCCATATATGTATACTATCAATTAAACAATATAACCATGAGATAAATAAAGGCATGGGATACATCAATTATGTAACTATAATGTGAAATATGTCTCCACTCTTTCTCAGATATAGGGTCTTTCTAAGTAGTCTCATATTGGCAGATTTCTGGCATATTTCATGTTATGAATTAAATAACCCATAAAAATATGTAATATGTTAATGAGTGATAAAAACAAAACAAAATGTTGAGATTTACGAATTTTAGATGTAGTCATACATCCTCATCGGGTATAAATATTACAACAATCTTTGAATGCAACTCTCTGTATGAATAAATCGTAAATCTCAACATTTTGTTTTGTTCCATAAAAATACAATATACAAATTGTACAGTGGCATAACAATAGTCTATCCCTCATGTGAGTAAGGGCATTCAAATGTTTGGATAATTAAGATATGATTTGCATTAAGATACATAGGATAATTAACATAAAGATTCATGCTTAGAACTTTATTTAACAAACCAGCATTGGCGTCTCTGAAGAAATCACGCGTGACTCTGACGCAAGATTACGTTGCAACTGTTGAATTCTGGGACTTAGGAGGCCAATGTTACACTATTATGATACAACACAAACATTGAAGAAAATCACCACAATATTAAAGGCACTGATTTGGCTCCTAGTTTATATTAAAGCCACATATTCCACTCAAAGACACCCCTTAAATCCTCATACCCCATATATCCTCAAACAAAATAAAGGGCATTTCATCAACAAAATAGCCTCAAACCAAAATAACTGTTGGAAATCCAAATCACTCAGAATATCCTCAAACCAAATAAAATGCAAACGTTCAAAATCAAAGCCACCCAAAACATCTTGAAACCAAAATAAATCTTTATTTACATGCACCATGCGACCTCATTCCTCCCAAAGGGAACTGTGATTCATAATTTAATTTTGATAAGCATATTAAGGTTTGTGAATTAATCTCGGTAGATAACATGTGATTTCTAAAAAGTAGAAAAAAATGAAACTGATAAAAAATGATAAATTATAATATGGTCAACCAACCTCTGTTTTAATTGTATGATTTCAAAACGACATATATGCAACATAATAAAAATTCTAACAATCTTTGAACGAAATTCTATGTAACATGAAATTAGGTGACTGGATGGTGCAAATTAAAGTTAACAACTAATATTTATGTGAAGAATCCTTCCAGTATGTGATAATAAAATATAAAATAAATGTATTTTAAAAAATGAGCTTACATGTACTTGTATAGCCAAATAAACATAGAAAGAGAAACACCAAGAAATCGATTCAAAATCATATTTCAAGATGTACCCAGTTTTTCAAATTGGTGAAATTGCAGATCAAAGATCAAACTCTCATACCATCAACCACATCTTAAACTTGATCTCATACCAATTAAGTCAACAGATTGTTTTCAAATGAATATTAATTAGGGGAGAACTGTGGAATATACAGTTCTCTATTTACATAAAGGTTCACAGTCACAGGTGAGTGTGTATTTCCATTATGAGAGTCCGAGACTACATATCTTATAACAATTTCTGATTTATTTAAAAATGAAAGAAATATGTACCAACAAACAAATATATCTGAATCTATTTGTAAACAACAACAATAGTCCACAAACAATAATAGTCAAAAATAGTTTCTTATTTATCAGTAAGTTACATCCATACGACATAATCCCAAAATATTCTAAAGAGAACCTAATTAAAAATGACGCCACTTTGGGTGCGGCTATAAACCATTCTACCTCACCGATAAATTACCACCGATAAAACTTCTCCAGAGATTAAAACACCAACTAAACTAAACAACATTACACCAATAAAACACATCCCCATAACAATGTCCTTCAACTTAGTCCAACCAGGAAATAAAACAAACAAAACAAATCGTGAAAATTGAAAAGTAAAGAATCGTGCATACCTTTAAATTAGTGCCTCATGCTAAAGTTTTTACCTTGTACAGCCTTGTGTACCATGACCCGTGTGCTTGACTTATGTCCTACGATGGCAATTAATTATAAACACCCAATCAAAATGTGTTAAATATTAACTATTGGTTCTACTGATATCGCATCATAAATAATCCTTTATCTAATACCTAGTGTTTATATACTACTATATACTTCTGTTTTGAGGTTGTACCGTGTTTAAAATATCAGTTTGGTGATATTTTTGAAATTAATACCTCAAAAAATTGAGATTCTAAGATTTCAATCTAAAAGTGGTAAGTTCTTCATTCAATTTTTTTTTTTTAATTCTCACTTTTGTGAGTAACAAATATAGAATTTATCCCTAAGTGAACTTTTATCATTATTCAGATCAAGTCCGGCCTTCTATTTTATCTATTCACTTTCACCACGATGAGCATCATAGTGAATGTATAAGACAGATTATATACACCCCCTCCATAAGTTTGACAATCAGAACTCCTCATTGAAAAGCATGATAAAGTCTATCTATGTTTGAATCCCAATTTTGTTCTTTCATGACAATAGGCTACACATTTGTGATTCTAATGAATTTGTTAAAATTCACAACCATAAATAGGCTACGACACAGAAAAGGTACATTCTGGTTTCCAAACTTTTGGAGGGGAGTGTACATTATGTCAATCATGTTTTTGTTACATACAGAAGTGCAGTATTGAATCATTCTAATCACTTAGTGCTTTAAACATGTACATCATGTGTGTTTATTGCCCAAGAGTTTAGCTGATACATATAGAAACATTCACTGTCATTACAAAGTAAGGGAGTTATCATTCCCATCCATGGTTGTAAAAAGGGCTTTGAGAGATGCAATACAGGGCTTTGAGGGGTGCAATACAGGGCCTTGAAGGGTGAAATATGGCGCTTTGCAGGATGTAAAACTGGGCTTTGAGGGGTGTAATAGAGGGATTTGAAGGGTGTAATACAGGGCCTTGAAGGATACAATACAGGGCCTTGAGGGGTGCAATACATGGCTTTGAGGGGTACAATACAGGGCCTTAGGGGGTGCAAGACACAGCCTTGAGGGAAGCAATACGGCACTTTGGGGGATGTAAAACTGGGCTTTGAGGGGTGTAATAGAGGGCTTTGAAGGGAAGGGTGTAATAGAGGGCTTTGAAGGGAAGGGTGTAATACAGGGCCTCGAGGGGTGCAATATAGGGCCTTGATGGGTACAATACATGGCCTTGAGGGGTGCAATACAGGGCTTTGAGGAGTACAGTATACCCCTTGCATCACAGGGATGAAATAGAGTATCAATACAAAAGGGTGACCAGGCTGCAATACACTAATCAAGTATTTTTGAATTAGGGATAATATCATTGAATGTTTCTATGTGAGTACAGACAAGATAATTGTTAATATACTAAAATACAATCATATATAATACAGTATTTGTACTATAATCTATCTAAAGAATGAGCCATAAATCACTAACAGTTAAATATTCAATTGCAGATTCATTTATAATCTCAATCAACATACATGCGATCTTATCTCATTTCTCATTTCATTTGTTTCAACATACATGGATATTACAAGCAAATAACTTTACCAGTAGAATCATTTTATTGACTTACTTTCATATCTTTGTCTTGTTCTGTAGTTTCTCGATTGTTTTTACGGTTTATCATCTCCTCGTGGCGATTTCGTCGGAATTCATCCCTTAACTGAAATTCAAAACGGAATATTAATGTTTTACCATTGTCTTCACATGTGCGATGCTCACTTCACATGCATTGGTATTGAAGGTCAAAATGAACATGGGGACCAGATAATTAATCAGATAATAAAAATAACAAGTTGTATAATACATGTATGCTATAAAAACAATATATGCCTTCGGCTATTGACCTCAAATAATACCACAAAGCAAATGAGGAAAACAAGTATGGCAGAACATAAAAAGAATCTAGAAATAGATTGCTAGGGAGTGGTGTAGTTTTCGAACTATTTTTCATTCTGTAAATCATATAATACATATAATATGAGAATCAATAATTTTATTTGGGATATATGTCTGATTAACTATCAATACTGAAAACACAGAATGAAAATCATGTATTGCTAAACTAAGGGCCAGTGGGGACAACCCTTCATGTATTGTTAAACTAAGGGCCAGTGGGGACAACCCTTCATGTATTGCTAAACTAAGGGCCAGTGGGGACAACCCTTCATGTATTGTTAAACTAAGGGCCAGTGGGGACAACCCTTCATGTATTGCTAAACTAAGGGCCAGTGGGGACAACCCTTCATGTATTGCTAAACTAAGGGCCAGTGGGGACAACCCTTCATGTATTGTTAAATCAGAAAAACGGCAACGCCAAAGCGTAGCGAATCCCATCGAACAGAAATGGCTGGCATTTTTACAAACGAAATATACAATCATAAAACAACACACCAGAAAGGCCACCATTTTCAAAATGGTTGCTCACTAGCCAAGTTGTCATCAGAAGTAATATGCTTTTAAGTAGCCACCTATAAAATTTTTGAAGATCGCACACATGTACTTGTAAAATAGCACACGTAGAAATGGTGGCCATTTTTCAAAATGGCTGACTACTCCCCAAAGTTTTATTAGACAATGTGCCATGCTTAGAGTATTCACATATCAAATATGAACAAAATCGCTCCACTACTTTTCGAGTTATAGTAAAAAATATAAAAATGACAGCCATTTTTTAAAATGGCCGCCTACTATCCAAAGTGTCATGAGACAGTGTGCAAGGCTCATGAGTATTCACATATCAAATATGAACAAAATCGCTTCACTACTTTTCAAGTTATAGTAAAAAAAGTAAAAAAGGTGGCCATTTTTCAAAATGGCGGCCTACTACCCAAAGTGTCATTAGACAGTGTGCCATGCTTATAGTTTTCACATATAAAATATGAAATATACCAAATATGAACAAAATCGCTGAACTACTTTTAAAGTTATAGTAAAATATGTTAAAATGGGGCCATTTTTCAAAATGGCCACCTTCTACCAAAAGTGTCATTAGAAAGTGTGCCATGCTTTTAGTATTCACATACCAAATATAAACAAAATCACTCCACTACTTTTCGAGTTATAGTAAAATATGTTTAGATGGCGGCTTTTTTTCAAAATGGCCACCTTCTACCAAAAGTGTCATTAGACAGTGCCATGCTTATAGTATTCTCATACCAAATGTGAACAAAATCGCTTCACTACTTTTCGAGTTATAGTAAATTACGTTAAAATGGCAGTCATTTTTTTCAAATTTTTTTTCAAAATGGCTGCCTTCTACCAAAAGTGTCTTTAGACAGTGCGCAATGTTTATAGTATTCACATACCAAATATGAACCAAATCGCTCCACTACTTTTCGAGTTACAGCAAAAATCATAATATAACGAGTAAAGGCCGCCATTTTTCAAGATGGCTGCCATGTGCTTTTTTAATATCTACATTTGTAGCTTTATTAATGTCCTTTATAATTTTTTTACATTTAAAACATATTGCTATTACAGTTTTACATATTGCACCTAAATTACTGTAAAATCGGCACTAAAATGGCCGCCATTTTTAAATGAGCGACCATTTTGAAAATCGGCTTACGAGCAGAACTTCTACCCCCATAGGGTATATGTGTACAAAATATGAAATCAATCGGGCCAACAGTATTCGAGTTATTGCCCGGACGGACAGACAGACAGACGGACGGACGGACGTACGTACGTACGGACGGACGGACGGACGGAGGCGTTCCCTATATCCCTCCGAACTTCGTTCGATGGGATAACTAAGGGCCAGTGGGGACAACCCTTCATGTATTGTTAAACTAAGGGCCAGTGGGGACAACCCTTCATGTATTGTTAAACTAAGGGCCAGTGGGGACAACCCTTCATGCATTGTTAAACTAAGGGCCAGTAGGGACAACCCTTCATGTATTGCTAAACTAAGGGCCAGTGGGGACAACCCCTCACTATCCGGGCAAGTGGTTTAAGTAACTTACATGGATGAATGTCTTACGCTGGGAGCGCATACGATGCTGAGCTTGTAGTTTTGTGAAACCATTGATCATAATCTGAAGACGACGTCTGGAAACACAAATTAAATTATAGAGATATATATTTTATATTATAAACGTAATATGTTAATAAGAGTTAAAAACAAAACAAAATGTTGAGATTTACAAATTTTTGATGTATTCATACATCTTCATCGAAAATTTATAAATCTCAACATTTTGTTTTATATGATAGAGATATATATTTTTGCACCTTCCCAATTGAAGAGCATTTGAAGAGCGAACCTCCAATTGGAGAATTATTTATTTCATAATCTCAAACATACCATTCTAATCATAATCACATGTTTCTATTTTATAAAAACTATAACTAAAAATCTAATCACCAAATTCTTCATCTAACTGCAAAGTTCATCACCAAAAGTATGGAAACGATAGCCCTTGCTTAGCCCTTTATCCATGTATGTACTTTTCACTATTAAATGTCCACTCATATATTTCTAATTCTTTAGATGTGGTGTAACGTCATTAAATTTCATATCTTATATGATATTATGTACCTACTTATAACCTACTGCCAACAATGTTTATGATCAAACCTAGGCGGTATAACTAACCATAAACTTAATTTATGAAATAAATTATTTAAAAAAAAAATAGGAATATCATTCATCCCACAAGTGACAATAAAAGAATGATATGACAGATGATGATGTAAACATTACTAATACTATAATCTTCGATTCAAACAAATTGTTTGATTTATTTCTATAAACAATCAATATCAATTGTGAATGCAAATCAACCATTGAATAAAACAACTTTAACCACAACAACCATGAATGCATCTAATCCCAATGCCATATTAATTTTCCATGTGATGTTTAAACCTTTTTATAAGCAATATACAAAAACGCATATGGTATATCTCTCTGATCTCCTCTATTGTCTCTAAATAATTGAAGATCAAGTATGTTTTTGTTCGATAAATTCATGGCATTCGCAATAATGTTATCAAATAATGCCGATAAAATAATGATTGATCCTGAAGTCATGAATCTTATCTCTTCCTCACAGTTGCTATGGTTAATATAGTCTTAAAATAAAAAGTCACGCTTGTTGTCTGAATCCAATGTTCAAATGCACAATGGTTGATCAAGCTATCTTTTTATGTAATTGTGTAACTGATGTGGAGTTTGATTTTATGTTTCTTTATAATGTTTTTTTTTTATTCTCATTTGTTTATCATTGCATTTTTGACAATGACATTTTTTAGACAAGTCCTTTATTTCAAACGTGAAAGTAAAAGTTGTTAATCCAAGACTCTCTCAAATTACATGTATAAAAGAAGCAATGAGGGAAAAAGATGACAATAAATGGTGCCATTAAACTAGATTAAAATATATTCAATACTTCTGACCTATTAAGAGGGGAATGATTATTTCTATGTTTTGGCCCAAGGTTAACAATTATAATCAATTTAAAAAGGAATTTGACATACATCCCTAGATGTGACCCACTAAAGGAGCATTTCAAAAGATCAATATTGGAAAATTAACTATATCTGCACAATTTCTTAGTGCATGCTCTTTTTGTTCAGTGCAATTCTGGTACGAAAAATAAAATAAAAACATGTATACAACAAAAGTAAAATCATACAAAAAATGAGCGGCTATTCATTTGTTTTTAACAGTGATAATAATTTACAAGTCACAATAAACTTGTTCAGTATTAAACCTCCTGCTGATAATGCACAGAAATACAGATTTGAAGTTATAAAAATGACTATATTTTACATGATATCTTCGATAAAGTGTAACTTTCAAACAACGCATATATCAACATTTCTCAAACACAGTTATGAGGTGGGATGGAGGGGGTCACAAATTAAATGTGCAAATACAGTTATAAATCCTACATTGAACTTTTCAGATGCTCCCTAATGCCATCTACACGAAGATGGTTTCTCAGTACAATGCATAATCCATTATACTGGTGAATTCCCTACATATCATATAGGCTGGATAATATATCTAGTTCATAATTGTTTCAATGCAAAACATGCTGGTATAAATATTATTAAGGTAATACATCAACTCGCAACCAGACAATAGCCAATTTATACAGAAGAGTTGTTTCATTACAAATATTAGCAACATAAAAAAATTATATTCATTCCATTTTACATATCTGTTCTTTATTTAGCATTGGTTATGAGTAGTCAAAAGAATTCTGTAAAATGCACAAAGCAGAATTTAGCATCTCAGGACTTGCATCTCACAAAATATTTCTGATTTCCTATTTTTAGAGGTAATCACATTTTTGTATTATTTTGAGCCTTTCCATTGATTTCTATATTGAGTTTCCTCACCGCAGAATAAAGTTTATTAACTTAATAAGTACAGTTGAACAAAATAATTCACTATTGATTAAGTGTACAATGTTATGATATAAGTTCCATTCACCAAACCTTTATCTGTTAACAATCCTTTCTTTCAGAAAGAATTATCCAGATGCGATTAGATAGTTATCATTTTACCACCAGGTGGCTAATTTGAGGTAGATACCATGGCAGGTTATTAGAAAGTTCCCCTAAACCTGAATATTCACCAGTTTTAGTGGTTCAATTTCAATATTACCCTTATGTATCTGATCATCGTGCAAATTAAAATATGTACAGTAAAAGAAAATATCTGTCCAATTTAAGAAAAAACTTTTCACTTTTCATGATTTTATACCATGAGGTCTGTGGGGAATCTCCTTGACCTAGATATCACATTTTCAAAGAAAATTTCAAAGTTGGCACTTTTAAAACCACATTTCTGGATGTAATTTTACATGTAGATTTCAAATATGATACCACTTTGACTTAATTTTTAATGATGTAAATCAAAATTATTTCGACTCGCATCTAGTCTATTAAAATAATGCCCTCTTATATGATGTACAAGGGAATATCCATTTTTTCTAGTTTTTGCCATGAAGATTTATTCTGAAAATAAGGTCAACTGTTGGATTTTTTCTAAAATAGGCATGACATGAAATGACGGGAGCATAAGTATTGCAAAATTGTGACAATATTTTCAAAACTTTTGGAATTGTCTCTATCCCTTCTTCTTTGAAGAGGGATATTCAATTTTAGACATTTTTCTACAAACTGTATTTATATTTATATGGTGTTACATTAACATGTAAAACCTTGTTCAATATTTATTTTTTATTTATTGTAATTGTAATGCTGCTTAAGCTGAAATAAAAACTTATTAAAAAGAAAAGGAACTCATTTTCTCTTCTTATGAAGCTACTTCAAGGTAATCTATCTATATCATCATCATTATACAATTCAGAGCATTAGCTGATGAACTGAGTTATCATTATCCTTGTTCTGAACTAACAACAATAAAAATGTAAATATGTACACTAGGCCTGGAGAAATAGGGATGTTTCAGGTGGTTATGAGTAGTTCTGGAAATTCAAGAGTTGAGCCAGTAAGGTTTTAGCTGAAATGTCAAACTATCGCAGAGAAATTTTGAGAATTCTTCTTCATCCGCATGTACATTAACAAAATGATCCAAACACTTGTCTTTGTCTCTGTGTTATATCTATCAATTATGTACCATCAAAAACCATAAACAAAAAATGAGTAAATTTTTACAACTTTGGTATAGTTTTTTTGTTATTTTGGAGAATATAGAAAAAGAAAGTGTAACAGCGGGGATTAAAACTGGATAGCCTGGACTGGTGACAAAACATAAAACACAAGAATCTTCCTTTTCTTTTAATCAATCCGAAGATAAATGCCAAAGACAATATTGACATTGAAGCTGGCAATGCTGTTGACATTGAAGATAATATTGACATTGATGCAGAAGAAACTGAAGATGAAAACAAGGGAAACATTTATGATAAAAAAACACACATCAACAACCAGGATGCAAAATCTTAATGTAAATCAATGACTCAGGAATCTGGCGTTGCATTTTATGCAAATGAGTACCAGCTTGTTGTGACAGTACATAGATTCAAATCTTGATTTCATTATTCAATCCAATAGCACCCTTTGTTAGTTCACCAAACATTGATTTTAAATGTCATTTAATTTGCTATTGATCGGGAAAATCTGTTTACAAAATATTGAATGTGGGATAATGTTGTTTTCAATTGCATAGCATTCTGCATTTTAGATGACTGAGACTTGGAGTTTTCATTGTTATTACAAATTAGAAACAATAATTTGTAGAGCATGAATGTGTTATACGATATATATTTGTTATACAGTAAGATCATAAGTCTATAATGATGTAGCAACTGATTAACCCTGATTGCCACTCCACTTGCAGCCAACATTTGCAACTTGCATCTTCAACCTACATTTGCAACCTACATTTACAAGCTATATTTGCAAGCTATATTTGCAAAGTACATCTTCAACTTATATTTGCAGCCTACATTTGCAACCTATATTTGCAACTCACATCTTCAACTTATATTTGCAACCTATATTTGCAGCCTACATTTTGAGCCTATATTTGCAACTTACATCTTCAACTTATATTTGCAACCCACAATTTCAACCTATATTTGCAATTTACATTTGAAGCCAACATTTCCATAATGCACCAATTAAAAAATTCTGAATCTAAATTCATAACTCTTATAACATCAAAAGTCTTATAGCTTTATACAGTGCTGAAAATAATTTAATATGGAGGCACCATATCTTTTAGTTTATTATGTGATTTATTTCCCTACATATTCAAAAATACAAGTATTTGATTTACTATGTGGGTCAATGGTGTTGATAGTCGAAGTATATATTGTATTTACACAGTCATTTTTATCTATGTTTCCCATAATGCACTATTATGCTCTCCAAAGTCATGTCATATCTACGTGTATCCCTAAAATTCAACACAGAAAAGTCTGACCTGCCCTTTCTTCAGCAAAATGCCTTAAATAGAGTAAAACAGACAAAATTTTGGTCAGAAATGGATTTTTAAAACCAAAATTTGCCTTTCTGACAAAACTTTGAGCTCCTTTACAAAGCACATTGAGTCATCTAACAAAAAC